CCATGTTCATATTTTTCACTTATAAAATTGTAATATTTAAATGTACAGGATTTGACTTTTGGCCCTAGTGGTTAAAAAACAAAACCGCATGCATTTTGCGGAAGAACATAACTAGTTGTGGTTGTGCTTCAGCTCTGCTTGACTGTGCGGATGAATATGGTAATCCTACTGTTAAAAAAAACATTCACTACTAGGCTTAAGAGATATAAGCTATTTAGATGACTATCTGAAGATGTTACTGTAGCTATACCCATTAATAGACGGTATACTTCCTTGAAAATAAATTCCAGCACAAAGCTACAACAACCATAATGAAATTAGGCTACCATATAATGCTTTACCCCGGTTTCACAGACAGGTTTTAGATGAAGCCAGGATTAGGCCTTAGTTCAATTAGGATATTTAAGTATAATTTTATAAACATGCCTTAGAAAAAAATATTACTGGTCTGCATCTTGAGACTAAACAATGGCACTGACACATATTTAATGTCTTTGAAGACCTAACGTTACATTTGGCAATTTGAATAAAATAACTTACTCACCTGTTGAGTAATAAAAAATGCCATCTCCGCGTCGCTTTTACAACATTTTAACGTTAATCCCTCAGTTCTCGCCGTCTCCGAAAAGCCAACCCAATGTTGATTCTCGTTTTATACGAGCTCTGTCGCTTTCTCTTTTTGCCAGCAGACTCCTGTTCGGCGTTTTTTTTTTAAACGGTCGATTCCCCGGAGGTTTGAGATTTAACCTTACAGTCTATGGATTTAACCTGCTCCATGTCAACCTTTCTCACTTGTTGTGACACCTACACCTAATATGCTAACTTACTCTGCTCTGAATATACACACGACAGAGTGGCCGGAGTTGACGAGACAAGCGCTGGCCAGTGACGTACAGGGACGCGATTTCCCGCGAAACCCATCATGTCAGGTCTGAAACTAATGCTGCGTTCCAGGCAGGTTTTTGAGCACGTAAATCACGACTTCAAACCACGACTCACGACTTTGTAGCATTCCAGGCCAGTCACGCCAAACTACCTGAGCGCAATATACATACTTATTTTTTCAGACACATAACATTGTAATACAGAATCGTGTGTGTATATACATACTTATTGTTTCAGACACATAACATTGTAATACATAATCTTGTGTGTATTATTATCATTATTATTATATTATTATTAATTTGACTGCAACGTTATATTGTCCTAAAGTGTATTCTCACTGTGTACCGCCTGCAGAAACACTGCATCCGTAGGGGCTGCCTTTGTTGTTTTGTATGGTTTTGCGGGCTATGTGACGTCAGAACTCGTAACTGGGAGTACATCGATCTAGTACGAGTTCACGGGTGGGAACTCACGGGTTTGACTGCCGTTCCAGTGCACTTTCACGGGTATAAGGTTGGAAAAACACGGGTTACAGGTTGCCTGGAACGCGGCATTAAGCTGCGTTCCAGGCAGTTTTTTGAGCACGTAAATCACGACTTCAAACTACGACTCACGACTTTGTCGCGTTCCAAGCCAGTCACGCCAAACTACCTGAGCGCAAGGAATTGTGGTAGCTAGATGTAAACAAACCATTGCTGTTTTGTATGGTTTCGCGGGCTATGTGACGTCAGAGCTCGTAACTGGGAGTATCTAGTTTCGAGTTCACGGGTGGGAAGTAACGGGTTTGACTGCCGTTCCAGTGCACTTTCACGGGTGTAAGATTGGAAAAACACGGGTTACAGGTTGCCTGGAACGCGGCATTATTCACTATATGCCTTAATACCATAGTGAATTAGGGTGAGACAAAAACACATTTTGGATTAAGGATTGATGATGTATTGATTCATTATTTGTGACCCTGGACTACAAAACCAGGCACATGTGTCCTTTTTTTTTTTAAATTGAGATGTCCTACATCTGAAAGCTTAATAAATAAACTGTCCATTGATGTATGGTTTGTTAGGATAGGACAATATTTGGCTGAGATACAACGATTTAACAGGTGAATTTTATAAAATAACAGCTTCATCGGAATGTTATGAAACTTAGTGACTTTTATGGCATTAGGTATGTGAACACAAAAAAAATTTGAGGTCATGATTTGAGCAGGCTAAATGGTCGTAAAAAAAGGTGCCTTTTGTGCTCTTCGGTCAAAAATGACCGACCATAGGAAATGAATGGGAAATTGACAAAAACACAAAAATTCTGAGAATTTATGTGTGTGTACAATCTACAAATCGGCCACGATGCAGAAATAAGTGCTCAACAATGAAGGGGTGACACTCTAAAACATCAAGAGTGCAAAACAGACACACCCACCCACACACACACATACAAACACACTTTTATACACAGCAATGAATTGTGATTAAAAAAAATCTGTTTTGAATTTTTAAAAATCACAGCTTCATCTGAATGTTATGAAACTTGGTGACATTTATGGCATTAGGTATGTGAACACACAAAAAAGCATGATTTGAGCAGGCTAAGTGGTCATACAAAAATTTGTCACACTTGTGCTCTTCAGTCAAAAATGACCGACCATAGGAATGAACGGGAAATTGACAAAAACACAAAAATTCTCTACAAATCGGCCACGATGCAGAAAAAAAAGTGCTCAGCAATGAAGGGGTGAAACTCTAAAACTTAATAGTGAAAAACATAACATAATTAATAATTATAATGAATATATATATATATATATATATATATATATATATAATTATAATTTAAATTTAAATTTAAATTTAAATTCACTTAATTTTGAACAAAAAAAGTAACTTTGAATCTATAGCCTATAAAGAATAAAAAAATAAAATAACAAACACGGCATAAAATAGCCTATTTAGAATTTATCCTCTCAATATCATTTTCAGAGGTATATCATATTTCAAGATTGATCCACCCATCACTAGTAGTGTATACACTCCAAATATCTGACCTGATATAGGCTGAAGCCGTCACTTCCTGTTAGAATGTGTGAATGTGAGGTGCCCCACAGCATTAATGAAGTCCAGTGTTTACCAGTATTCCCTCTCTCTATGGGCTTGTCTTTGAACTCCTCTCAAATGGGAGCACACCAACAACACAAAACTCTCCCCTCGCTCTTTTCTCTCCTTTTCTCTGGCATCAAACAGCAGAATAAAACCTTTGATAGTGCACGTCACATTGAGTTTAAATGCAGCTGATCCTAATCATGTACGATGTGACAAAGTGACAGACGTTAATCTGAGTTTTTGTATTTACCAGCTCTGACCACAACAAAGCAAAGGATCTCCAAGGTGTTTTCCTGCTATTTGCTATTTTTCATTTTCAGTCATGGTTTTCTCTTAAAGAATCTGTTTTATCAGGATAAGTTAATGATAAAAAGTGCATATCTCCTAACAAATTGCTAGTTGATAGTGATGTAAACTGAACGATTTGAACCTATAACCTTCCAGTTATGTATTCAGATCTTCAAAATAAAACCTATTCAGATCTTTGAATGAGCTCAATGGAAGTAAATATTGGCATTTTTGGATTTAATAGCAGAAATATAAAGCTTACAATTTTACAAAAAAAAAACTGTTAAACTAATTCTTCTGTTAAAACTTGTCTATTATTTGAGCTGTAAAACTGTTTAAATAATTTTAGCCACTCTATTGGGTTACAGGTTTATGACATTTCATTGTCATGGCAACAAAGTTGTAAAATATAAAGGTTAGTAGGCCTAGGCATTTTTTTCCACTCCAAAATGATGTTAACAACATGCATATTGTTTATGTCTTGTGGCTATATACTATTAAAACCGTATATTTTTACATTTACAGATTGGCCTCATTCACTTCCATTGTAAGTGCCTCACTCTAAGAAGAAAGAGGGATTTGTGGAAATTAATCATTTTTTTGTGGTAATTAACATTATGCCACAAATGCTGTCAACTGAGTTTAACTTGCACTGAACCGAGAATAACTGCATCACCTCAACCATTGGACAGTTGCATCATATTGGACGTGAAGCTGCATGTTAGCGACCCTCTATCCACCTACACACCCACTGCTCACCCGGACAACACACTAGTTACTCATCCCTTCTGTTCAAAAATACTTTACAAACTAAACAAGAGCTATTTCTCTGCAGACTCACTCTCTGTGGTTTATAGAGTTCAAAAGTGAAGCTTTTCACAATCATCTGCAGTTGTGGAGTAGTGACAGATGCACCTGTTTTCCCTCTTTAAAGGATCTTTAACCTCTTTCACCCTCAATGAGCCTTCCAGATGTCAAGTCAAATGTATTCTTAAAAACACAGTGAAATCCTATTACATTGCTTCTATTCTCCAGATTATGTCATTATTTTAGACGCTGAGAAAAAAATGAAACAAAATGTCCTAGGGATGCAGGGAACAGATCACTCCACAGAATGTCTAAAATAAGCAGATACGCAGCAACCAGAACCCATGCAGCGAGACAGGGAATGAAAGTATAAATCCCTTTCTTTAAGATTGATTAAGTTTAATCAAGTTTTACCCAGAGCTCGGTGTTGCACAACAGTTGAAGGGGAGCTGACAAATAACGTGGGCTTTAACTTTAAATCAAAACCTAAGTTTTATGAATATTTGAAAGAATTTGTTTTTTTTCATATATAAACTTTTTTGCAGTTTACATAAATAGTCCTGCAATGTGTCCAATTTGAAAAGTACAAATATTTAATGCAATTAATGAGACTATAAAACTGCATGCATAAAATTATTTTTTAAAAATCTAAAATGTTGTCTAAAATAGTTTTAAATGTAGTAGCCTATGTCCGAATGACTGCTGTCGATGGCATGCCAGCAACCCACAACAATGTTATGAGACAACTGCAACCTGCTACACGAAATGACTCCACGCGCATGCATGAGAGCTTTCAACTGTTTCACTTTACGCACTGATGCAAATAACTTAGGGTGGATGTTCAATTTGCTCAAAACACTTATTATTTGCATTTGACACTTTGGTGAAGGAAATGTAAGTTGGTATGTTCTGCGCACTTACGGGTGCCATCGAAACGGGTGGCGATGGTGTCGAGGAAGGTGTTCTGCGGGGCCAGCAGACCTCTCATCACGGGCATCCTGTTGCGGGTCGACTGCGTCCTCCTCCCGCCTCTGCGCCCAGCAGAGGCAGTGGACTCCTGGTCAGACCCGAACCCAGGTAAGAATCGGGATGTTCCGGGCGCGCATCCTAGACCCTGCAGGAGCGCCCCGATCCGTGATACGCGCGGCTCCACTTTGGCAGCTCAGCAGTGACCATATCCCTCAACGGAAAGCCCACATATCTGCCTTACATCGTGTCATAAAGAGGGCGAAAATCCGCGTATTTGTCTCTGTAAATCAGGTGCTTGGTGATGAGATGAACCTGTGCGTAACGGCAGCGCTGGAGACCGGAGCTCCGACTGGTGAAGCGACTGCGCACTGATGCCGTGTGAACTCCTCTGTGCCACCACGATCCTTTCTCTCTACATCAATATTACTGGCGTTCTCTGGTTGCTATAACCAGCAGATGTCACGTCACGTGGTGAGCAGAGTCTGGTGAGGAGGCTAGAACCTTTGTGCCAGCTCATTGTCTTTTTATTATTTATGGAAGGTTCTTTGTTCAGATGAAATAGTCGAAAAACAAAACACATTTGGTAAGATATTTAAAATAGCCTACATTAAAAATTACTTGAATAGTCTTCACCTCTATAATATAATGACACATTTGTCAAGGTAGTGTAACTGTTTGGAGATTTTTAAATGTTTTAAAGAATTTTTAAAATAAATGTTTGCATAAGTAGTTGGCATGACTTGTTATTTCTTTGGGGGAAAAAATGTGTATAGCCACAATCAAAAACGCGTTTTTGAACTCATGAAATGCACCTTTTTTTCAGTTACAATATATTTGTTTACCTTGAAAGCCATGTCTGAAAATGTTTTTGGAAATAAAACAAAGTGATGTGGTTAAGTGCAAGGCAAGCATTTTAGTACTTTTCAACTGGTTACACCACTTGATATTTTTTTAATTGAAAAAAAAATCTGAATTTTTGTACAAAATGTAACGTTTCTTCTAAGATCTTAGCATTTGTATGATTTCTCCTTTTTATCATCTGCATCATCTTTATTTGTTATTGATTCATAAATCAAACAGTTTAATAAAATAAAAAATATATAATAAAAACAGTTTAACTATGTGTTCAAGAGTGTTTTACTTTTACCCCTGACCATTTATTTTATATTTAATTTGTACTCGGTCAATATGTGTGTTGTTAATAATACCAGAAAAGAAGAATGGGGGGAATAATAAGTCTTTATTGTCATTTTTTCTGGGTAGAAGAAATAAAATATAGTGTCTCCATGGAAAAACATATAACGAGACTAACAATTTAACGTGATTTGACACAGGCAAAAAATAAACTATTTCACAACTCACCACTGAGGTGGAAATACTGTAGTTCAAAATATAAAGAGAAGAATAAAAAATGTAATAATCATAGCAAGTTTATTTATGTATATCTTACTGTATATCCTTCAACATAAACAAAAACATTCTTCTTTTTCTCTTCTATGCTAAAACAAACTCTCAAATGTAAAATTTGTCCCCTTGGCCTGCAGACTCACATTCAGTAAGCCCAAAATATTCCAAAGGACGACATACAGACTGTAAAAGATATTAGTAGGCCATAGCCTTAACTTGGGTCCATTCATACAGTTTGCAATTTGACTCATCAGGATTCTCTTTAAGACAAATTTTACATTGCTATAAAAATATACAAAATAAAAGGCAGATTTTAGGAATGCTAAACCAGGGTTTTTTAAACGTGGAGCCCAGGGTTTGTGGAAAAGTTTAGAGAAAAACAATGTAAAAATAAATAAATATATGCTTTTGATTTAAATAAATAAATGATTAAAATTAATAAAATGAATACAAATTAATGAAATAAAAATGATTAAAATAAATAAACAAATAAATTAAAGATATAACAGTACATTGCTACAGTGAGCAGGAAAAATGTAATATATTTTACACATTAAGTTGTACATTTTTTTATAGTATAAATGGAGTCTTTATGAAAATGTAGCCTAAGATAGCTGTCATTTTAGAATTGGGGTCCCTCGCATAAGGATGATTATATTTGGGGCTCCGTGTCATTTAAAATACTGAAAACCCCTGTGCTCAAGCTTTACAGTACACACTTGTATAAATCACAAAATTGTGGCACCCACACTTAGAGACTTACAAACAATGGAATTGTGACATCTGCCGGTAAGTCTGAATACTGCACTCAGGCAGGAGAACGACTGCTCTTTCATGCAATAGTATCCAGCTGCAGACCCGCAGCACCACCAGTTTCAGAACCCCAGCGCCAGAACCGGAAGTAGGGGCGGAGCTTACGTTCTAACACCAGCGCCAGGACCGGAAGTGAGGGGCGGAGCTTACGTTCTAAACCGAGTAACGCCACCTAACGTTTTGGAGCGTAATTTGCTTAGACACGAAACGGCATTATTACACACGAAACGTCATACTTTATACGTATTATAATGATAAATTAAGGTATAGTACAATAAGCATTTTAAAACAATGATTTTGTGTAATATAATTGTATATAGTTATCCGTTTCATTGTATTATGAGAGTTACTTCCTGGTCATGATGGTAAAAAAAATAATAAATAATAAATTTTATATAAAATATACTTTATTTCACAAGAACATGTGCAGCATGCATTTTTCTTTATGTAAAATAATGTCCAAAATCTTTGAACATTCGGCATTGTTTTAAAAGAAACAATAAAAATGTACCGTAAAACTTCAAATAATAGCCGAGTCCCAAATAGCCGATTGTCTCTTTAGCCTACACGCCTGGTGTGGCTGCAGGTTTGGGTCAATAAAGGCCGGTCTCAAATAGAGGTCGGGTCTGTTTTTTAGTTTCAGGTTGTATTTAATCTTCTAAAACCCGTCAGATCGTCCGCTTTTTGGCGGCCGCCAAAGCAAATTTGTGTCCCGCCAAAGCCTATTTTGATCGGTGAGTGATGTAGAAAAGAATGACTGCTGCGCATGACAGGGCGCTTAACGAGCAGAGAGAGAGAGAGCCCTGGCCGCGCGCGCGCACTCTGTCTTAAAACAACACGAGCGCTGTCTTGCTCTTTATTTGTCACATACCAGTTATAGTTCATACAACGAGCAGTGAAATGTAAGTCTGGTATTCCTATAGACTCACTGTGTAATATAAACATACCCTAAATATTATTTAAAAGATGCAACAATTTTAAATATTTTTAAATACTTGCAAAAATAACCTTGCTTGTGTCATTGTCAATAATTCCGCCCCTCCCTCACTTCCGGTTCTGGCACTGGGGTTCTGGCGCTGGGGTTCTGAAACTGGTGGTGCTGCGGGTCTGCAGCTGGATATATCTCCTTTCATGGACTCGTCCTCACGAACTCAGAGGATAAATAGCTACAGTTTCGCACATGAAGAGCAGCGTGCTCGCGATGGTGGACTGAGAATATGGATTGCTCAAGAAACAGAATGCGTTTTGGAGGTAGGCTGAACCTGTATCTGTCTTGCCTCAGTTGCCTGTATTATCTTCCTGCTGTTTCTTATGCTTTTGTTGCTAAAAGTTAGCAGGATGCATGATACCTAGAAATCACCCATTTGTTTTGTGTGTAAAGGCTGCTTCAAAACCATTAACAATTTGGGTTATGAATATTGCAATTGATAGCTATCAATTGCAATATTCATAACCCAAATTGTTAATGGTTTTGAAGCAGCCTTTACACACAAAACGCTTTCTGACTTTGGGGGGGGGGGGGAAATGTGTTAAGAGACGCACTTTTATGACGCGGTAGTATGTTACACCAATTGACTGCATACTTGATAGCATTTACCTTTAAATAGAACGCAATACCTTAAAATATAAATTTAGATAGACGGGTACTAGAAGTAGGCTACGATAAAAGTGAGTAGAATTGCAAGGAGGTCGTCTAAATGGAGTGTCCAAAATGGGCAGGGCTTGGTGGCCCGGATTGTCTCGAAGTTGTCAGAGGAACGATGGGTCTAAAAATATTTTTCTGTATTCAGTTCGGTGTAAATTAATAATAAAATAAATATTGACAAGACGGCCGCCGTAGTCACGTGCTATTTTCTCCGCGCTGAATCCTGGCTGGAATCAGACTTTATTAATATTAACAGTTTGAGTTATATGGTATTTTTCGTTGCGTGAATTAAATCCAAAACATGCAAAAACTTAATGCAATTAACAAATGCAAATCAAAAGCATCAAATTTATGAATCAAAATCCTATGATCAAAATTCACCTTAAGATAATGCCTTTTTTTTAAAGATCATCAATTCCTTCTGGAAATGAGAGAGGTGTTGTTTTTGTTGTTTTGCATTTGTTTAAAATATTGCCCGAAACTACAATATTTTTTACCAAAAATTAAACGTCAGAATTCAGTGTGAAAGTCAGAGGTCAGGTAAAGATAAGACATACCAATGTTAAAATGGTTTCCTTAATGAACTTTTTTTGCGGATGTTATATTATTATGTCAGAATAAGATGTCAGAATAAATGTGTTTTGTGTTCTAAGTGGATTTTTTACTAGTTTTTTTTTTTTTCAAAGTCATTGCTAGCCTTACTGGAATTATTTGCAATTTTAGAAGTTGAAGAAAATGTGCAGCTCAGCGAAGGATTCTGTTTTTTGAGCTGTATAGCGCCACCTAGAGGAAGACAAGTGTCCGTCCCACTTCAAACAGCGAATGTCCAGAAACATGCCTCCAAATATGATTCATAATGAGGGAGGGGCTAGTCATTTGAGTTAGTTCCTTATTCTCTTGGATTGGTGGATGATTATCTGATTGAGGAGTGCAGAGCAGGGGAGAGCCTATGCCATCCGCTCAGCTGATACGAAACAACGCCTTCCAAGACTAGTCCAAAACCTTTCAAGCTTCCATAACACATCAACTATCTGAGAGAGATCTCTTCATTTACTCCCGTACAACCTCAAGAGAAAAGGTAGGCTTCGATTGGCTTCGTATGGGTTGTGTTGTTTGCTAAATCACATTACAGTCGCTGTCGTTTGATTTGAGGTTTCCTGCAAAGTGCTACCGGTATGTTGAGCATTATCGAAGAAAACACTATGTGCATTCATCAGAAAAGACCTTGTTACAACCTCGCTGATCATATATAATTGACATATTTAATGGATTGTTTATGTTCCACTAATAATTTTTTACGACAAATCGTAAAATAACCCCCATATTCGTCTAAAGCTTCATTACGATTCATTTATTAAAACATAAAATTATGTGTGTAAATCAGTATTGCACGTCCTGTATTTGACCTTTGTTCTAGTTGCTTTATGTAACCAGTACCAGTTTGTGGAACTGCCAAAAAAATTAATAGTGACACAATTGATACAATGATACACTTAATCTGTCGTGGTGGATAAAAGGCCAGTGTCATATTACACAATGGCTGCCTGTTTGTCAGGTGCTGTTACTTTATCTGAAAATACATGAAACATGATAATAACTAACTGATGTCTTTCACAAGCTGTAGCATTAGTACAGAGATAGTAATACCATACTGAACTGTACTTGCATTTTAGTCCAAGGTACTTAAAAGAACAGCATAGAACTGCATTGTTTAAAAAAAACATTGAAAACCATTAAAAAAAACCTTTTTTGTTACATGCTACAGACTTCTAAATCTGATATGTGGTGCTTATTAGTCTGCCTGTTCGAAAATGCTGTCTGTTAAAACGGGTTTAAGTCAAAAATGCTGACTCACTGGTTGTGTAACTTTTTTTCTCAATGGAATCAATTCATTCTTCAGGAGTAAGTACACTACTATACATCTCCACATATAACTGTCATCGATCTTGCAGGGTCCAAAATGTCTCAGAAGATCAAAGCCGGTTCTGTGGTCGAGATGCAAGGAGATGAGATGACTAGGGTAATATGGGAGCTCATAAAAGAGAAACTCATCTTTCCTTATCTGGAGCTGGACCTGCACAGGTAAGATTAAGTGTGTGTGTGTGTGTGTGTGTGTGTGCGCGCGCGTGTTTCTCTAATTATATTTGATTTCCCTTATGAACACGTTACTCTGATTTAATGCAACTTTACTGCCAATTAGTCATGCATTACAAACATTTGCCAGGGTAACCATAGTACTAAAGTTGATGCCATATCACTACAGTAGATTATAAATTAATATGGAGCTCTTTTCAAAATCTTTTTATTTCTATATATTCTAAAAAATATGCCAATAACTGCATTACTAACAATAATCACACCACTGAGCAGGTACCTGCCAAGTTATACAAATATGTAATTTCCTGTTTGTCAGTACAGATTTCTCAGGCCACAATGTGGTAATCCTCAAGGCCAAAGAGAAGTGTTATCATCCCATAAGTTAGAACATTTATTACCTAACATCGCTTTCTGTGCTTGAAATTGTCATGAATCGTCAGCATCTGAACTTTGAACTTGTGGTTACAGTTTGATCTGAGTGGCTCTTTAGCTATGAAGTATGAAGTATAAATAAAGTGCATGAACTTGACCTGAAGTATGGCAAAATAGTGCTACAACTAAAACTTTGTCAGTCTGATAAGAGTATTATCAGTATGTTAGCAAACAAGGTGTTGTCACTTAAGAGGGATCTCTTTGCATGTTCATTCAGTCACTGAACTGCTCTTTGAGCTGGAGTTGTAAGATTGTTTGCGTATCTTTACCTCCCAACATCCTTTAGTCGCATTGTTGAGCACTACAGGCTTTTATTGATGGATTAAACTGACCTAAGTCTATGGCAGACCCTAAAAATGTATAATAATTTGTTCTGAAATGTCTAAATCCTCTAGCGCCACCAACAGTTTTTGACAATCATTATTGCACCAGGGAGTGGAAGTAAAGTGGGTGAAAGGTCACAGCATACTTCACAAAAGCGAGGCCAGAGAACAAGGAAAGTATGGGAAAGTTCCGCCCCCCTGTGTTGTAGCTTAGGGATGCTCTATCTAAAGCGTGTAAAGTATGTCCCAATCTTCCTCGCTAGTTGTAGAGACTCTGAGAAGACGCCTTCATTGTTTCAGTCACACATATCCAGAACAGATGAGGCCTTTCATTTGCTCAACTGCTCAGAGCACAAGTGAGAGTTGCTTGGATGAATTTAAATCAGTGTGGATTTAACTTTAGTTTGGAGATTCCTGTTTTTGGTAGCTGGAGATCACAAAGTATTTACTGAATGAAATATATGGGGATATGAATAATAAATGAAATCATTTTGAAACAATTAGGCTCTAGTACTCTCTGCTCGGCTAACACATTTTACTATGTTATGCTTTCTGCAGAATTCCACAGATTTGTCCCTCTACTTAGCCTGGTTAAAACAGACCATTCTCAGTTGTAACGGACGTCACGGATAGACCTAAAACCAATCAGAGCGATGAAGGAGATGACGTATGCAGAGCGGCAGAGAAACATCTCCGAGTGTTGTTCTTTGCTCGGTTTTTAACAAAAAGGAAACGTTCAAATCGCTTAAAACAGACGCGATAGCTGATTCGAACGAGTGATGTTCGACGGCGGCATCCATCTTTGTAATGTAGGCTACAAAATCTGCTTCAAAATCCCAGCGCTGTTGTCATCGTGTAAAGCCCGCCCCAACGTTTCTGATTGGTGCCTCGATTTAGACGGATTGGAAATGGGCTTGAATGAGCTCTTTGCCAGACTAACTTTCAGAGCAAATCTAAATTTGCCGGAAGTTGTCTGGGTTTTCCCAGGCTACCCCCTACTACAAGGCAAAAAAGCATGTACACTACGATTTAAAGGTTTAGTGACAGTACAATTTTTTAAATTATTATTATTCTTTGAAAGTAATTAATGCTTTTGTTCAGCAAGAAGGATGCATTCAATTGATCAAAAGTGACAGTAAAACATTTGCAATGTTCCACAAGATTTCTGTTTCAGGGAAATGCTGTTTTTTTTTACTTTCTATTCTTCAAAGAATCCTGAAATGTAACATGGTTTCCACAAAAATTTTAAGCAGCACAACTGTTTTCAACGTTGATGATAAGAAATGTTTCTTGAGCAGCAGATCAGCATATTCGAAGTATTTCTGAAGGATCATATGACACTAAAGACTGGAGTAATGAATGATGCTGAAAATTCAGCTTTCCCATCACATGAATAAATTACATTAAAAAATATATTAAAATAGAAAAGTTATTTTAAATTGTAGTATTCTGTCTGTTTTTATTACAGTAAGAAATGAACTCTTCTGTTTCAGTTCACTGGAACAGTGTCTTTGTGCTAAATTACCATGGCTCTAGTTTCCCATTGACCTCATTTAAAGTGTGCCGTGGGGCGCCATCTTCTGACTGCTAGTCTTCTGATTGTGTTCCAAGTCCAACATTACAAATTTGGCTGTCAGTATGAACTGAGTTATAAACTTTTTTAAAAATCTTTTAGACTTTTTTTTTTTGTAAAGTATTATGTAGGCAGGAAAGTAGGGGTAAGAGAAGGGAATGGGATCGGAACAATACCCAGGTCAGACTCAAACCTGCTCGTATGTGTTCCGAGCATGTGCACAGTCCACTGCACTACAGCTCAGACAGGTTATAAGCTATGTACCTTATGTAGCCTGTCTTACGGTTTGTATTTCCACAGCATGATAAATAAATCTTACAGATTTATGAATGAACCACTAATTTTAGAATCTTCCCGGTTTACTGACATTTGTTATGACATCTGCTTCAAACATTACAATGCGCATGATAACTTTAGTTAACTCTACAATAAGTAAACGCACTTCACCAGCTAATTACTCTTCTACAGCAATGTCATAGAAATCTACAGAGCTTCCGCAAAAACAGAAGTTCAAACACAAAATTCTGAAGATGGCTGTGTGCTTGCTTCTCGGGTGCTAAGGTTTATAAAACGCATTTTTCTCCCTTTCCACTTGAATCGGCATCAATAATAGAACCTTTATAATAGAGCTTTATAATTATCTGATTTTTTGACTACTAAAATATAATTTGCAAAGAAATGCATATGTCAAGAACATCACAGAGTAGTTCTCATGGATGAGCAAAACTCAAGTTTTTTTTTTTTTTTTTTTGCTGTGTAGCTTTGACCTGGGAATGGAGAACCGCGATGCCACCGACGACAAGGTGACGGTTGAGGCGGCGGAGGCTGTGAGGCGCTACAACGTTGGCATCAAGTGCGCCACCATCACTCCTGATGAGAAGCGTGTGGAGGAGTTCAAGCTCAAGAAGATGTGGCGCTCTCCCAATGGAACAATCAGGAACATCCTGGGTGGCACTGTGTTCCGAGAGGCTATTATCTGCAAAAACATTCCCCGCTTGGTTCCAGGCTGGATCAAGCCTATAATTATTGGCAGACACGCACATGGTGACCAGGTGAGGAGCTCCTACTCGTGCATATATTACAATGCATATATTACAATGTCTATAATTAAGTCTAATTGTGAATTTGTTCTGGGTTTTTTTTTTTTTTTTTTTTTTTATATCGCTGCTGTTTTATCAAAATGTACATGCCTAACATCCTTTAATCTTGGTAAGATCACGTTACAGGTCAAAAGTCTTCTGACATAACATGTCCTCTTCACTTTTACAGTACAAAGCTACAGATTTTGTTGTCCCAGGCCCTGGAACAGTGGAAATGACGTACACTCCCAAAAACGGAGGGGAGCCGCTTAAGTTTGTTGTCCATGACTTTGAAGGTAACCTACATTGATTTACAATAATAGTGTTGGTGTTTTAAAATTATGTTTTAAAGTATTTTTTTTTAAAGCCACAATGAAATCATTTTTGTTTCTTGTTTGAGAAGCCTGTTTACTCAAATATACATTACAAGACTATTGCAACTTCCATTCATACTGACTTTAAACAATCTGGTTTATTTGATCTGAATTATTGACTGTAGAATAGTCCTTGGATGCATCTGAAATCGCATACTCTCTAAGTACTTATTTTGAATAAGTATTACTTTGTGACTGTTAAAAAAAAGTCTGTTCTATATAGTATGTATGTATGTATGAAGTATTAATGTAATCCAGATGTACTACATTCATCATGGTATCATTGTCATGTGATGTGACCTACCAGTGTCAGTTGTTTGTCTTCACTGCTATTCACAAATCCTCTCCTGTGGCCACATGGGATTGTAATAATTTGTTCATTTGTATGCGCACGTCATAATCTCGCTGGAAGTAGTAGGTATTTATAACTGTTTTATAAACACTGTGAATTCACAGAGGTGTAAAGAGTACCAGAAAACCATATTTGAGTAAAATTACAGGTACCTTAGAGTGAAAATGATTCCATTAATAAACCAATATCCTTCAAAAAGGCCTCTTCAATATAACAAATAATATTAAGTAGAATGAAATAGTCAAAGCCTTCTTGCACTGGACGTCATCGGCCTCATCACTGACTGCAGCCATGTCCTCATCTCATATGACGTCCAGTGCAAGTAGGCTTTGACTATTTCATTCTACTTAATATTATTTGTTATATAGAGTGAAAATTATAACATATAGGATAGCTTATATATATAATATATATATTATATATAGGCCTACTTTTAAAAAAAATGTAGTTAAGTAGAGGGTAAAAGTTACTAATATCTTTGATACTGTCAAACTACAATGTAGCCAAAAAGATATGGTAACTAATTACATTTACTCTAATACTTTACACCATTGTGAATTCTTATATACTACTCTTTTCACATACTGTTTTTCGCCTACTATTTAGTAAGGGAGTATGTGTTTTTGGATGCAGCCCTTCTGTATCTCAAAGATGTGTAAATGTCTCTGTATGATGATGTCATTACAGTGTACTGTGACCTGAGATTAACACTCTCCTGGGTCTGCAAACTGATCAGATGAAATTATTGTGCAAATATTGGATTTGAAATAATTTGGAATGTAGCCTACTTGATGCTAAATATAATTTTGCACAAGCATATCTGCTTTCAGACCAGGTTTGCTTGACAAATGTCATGATTATATATGTTCAGGTACTGGTGGAGTTGCTCTGGGGATGTACAACACAGACAGCTCAATCCGAGACTTTGCTCACAGCTCTTTACAGATGGGGTTGACCAAAGGCTGGCCGATGTATCTCAGCACCAAGAACACCATCCTGAAGAAATATGATGGCCGTTTCAAAGATATTTTCCAGGAGATCTATGAAAAGTGAGTAACCATGAAATGGTTGCGTATGAATTGTCACTGAATAAATTGACCTTGATCTAGTTACACAGGGTCTTTTGAACTAAGCATTGAGTGCTTTTGCTGTATGTATGATAACTGAAAATCTGCCTGTTATAAAACAATTTTTTTAATGGCTTGAATCAATAAACGCATGGCATTGTTTCATTATAAAAGATTTTCTCCTGTCATGGCATTAAAGCATAAACATTTAATCATAATTTCTTATGCCCACACTGAACAAGCTGAAAAATACAGAAAAAATTAAATAAGTTGCTCTTGTAACAATAGCATTCTGACACTGTGTGTGTGTGTGTGTGTGTGTGTGTGTGTGTGTGTGTGTTGCAGAGACTACAAGGCTCAGTATGAGGCCAAAGGCATCTGGTATGAGCATCGGCTGATTGATGACATGGTGGCTCAGGCCATGAAGTCTGAAGGTGGCTTTATCTGGGCCTGCAAGAACTATGATGGAGACGTGCAGTCAGACTCTGTAGCTCAGGGTGAGTAAAACTAACATGTAGTGAAATAACCACATTTATTTTAGATATTTATCTTTTGCACCCAACCAATACCAAACAATCTATGGAATAAATGAATTGGTCAGCACTGAACATAATAAAAATGATGGATTATCTTAGTGTACACTACTATTGAAAAGTTGGAGGTCAATGAGATTTCTTTATTTTTATTTTTTGAAAAACAAAAAAAAGACTTTTATCCTGCAAAGAAGCATCAAGTTGATTCAAAGTGACAGTAAAGACTTTTACATTAATATAATTCCCTTTTTAAAAAAACATATCCGCATATTAGAATGATTTCTGAAGGATCATGTGACACTGAAGACTGGAGTAATGCCTTTGCCTTCACAGGAATAAATTACATTTGATCAAATAAATGCAGCCTTGGTGAGCATAAAAGAAACCTCTTTCAAAAGCATTTAAAAAATCTTACCAACCCCAAACTTTTGTATGGTAGTGTATAATTTTGAGTTAAAATCTTATACATGTTTTTGTGGTGACCGGGTGTGAAATATGCATTAATTTAAGCCATTTGCGTAATGGGTTGCCATTACTCTTTGTGAATGTATTATGAAAGAATGATGAAATTTATAGTGAGTAAACTTTTTGGTCTCTGTCTCTAGGTTATGGGTCACTGGGTATGATGACCAGCGTGCTCATATGTCCTGACGGGCGTACTGTAGAAGCTGAGGCAGCCCATGGCACCGTCACGCGGCATTATCGGATGCACCAGCAGGGCAAGGAGACGTCCACCAACCCCATCGGTGAGGAAAACACTTACTTCATTACCAGTCTTAATCAATCAAATCCACAGATGATGCCATAGAAACTGTTTTTCATGATCATATAAAAACAATGCTCGTCGCACAATGCAACTTCATAGACTCACAATTTTATCCCATCAGCCTCGATCTTTGCGTGGACGCGAGGGCTGCTGCACCGGGCGGAGCTGGATAAGAACGCAGAGCTGCGTGTGTTTGCTGAGGCACTAGAGGCCGTTTGTATTGAGACCATTGAAGCTGGTTTCATGACCAAGGACCTGGCCATCTGCATCAAGGGCATGTCTGGGTATGTCCATTATCTACTCTGGGTCACTTGCCTTTAAAATATATGTTATTTATTGAAAGTTATTATGGTTTTGTCAGTTATAGAGTGGTGTTAGACATGGGGATTTGATGATGACTTATAGGGGACTTACAAAAGACAGCGCTAATTCAGTGTTAAAGTGATATTGCATACCAAAATAAATACTGAGCACTTTCTGTAAAAATACAGTTTTTAAAGTATATCCATGCCTGTGCAAGGATAGTTCTGATATTTATATATGCATTTCTTTCTGTTTATTTCTTTGAAGTGTTGCACGCTCAGATTACCTCAACACTTTTGAGTTCTTGGACAAACTGGCCGAGAATCTGAAGATAAAGTTGTCAAGCCAGCCCAAACTGTAAAGATGCTGGATTTTGATGGGGTGTCCACGCGCACGCAGCCCTCAACCCACGTCAAGCCGCATCTCCTGTCTAACCGGGACCAAAGACAGAGAAATTGACTTCACCACTACAACCAGTAGGGGAAGCAGTGCACTTTCAACTGGAAGACATGAAAGTGCCTTTTTAAATGGAAGGAGCTACTGTAACCTTCATTATGCTTTTAAAAACAAATTGGAAACATTCATATAGGAAATTTTTATCTATATTTATACATTTTATCATTGCCATTTTATTTTTAATCATGCCCCCTGTAGTGCATAAATATGTGTATTAATGTTCTACTGCTATAGTGCAGCCCATCTCTCAGGTGCTTGAAAACCTGTTGCCTTATCAAATGCATCTGTAATTCGTCTTCAGACAGCCACTCTTGAAGCCATCCCAAGAACCGCAAGATTAGGTCTTAACAATGTAAATACCTGCTTTTAACTGAAATGCTGGTAGTTGACACCGGTAGACATTCCTCTTCATTCTTCAACACTCTGTACCACTGTCTGTCACCGTTTTACAAACTAATTTCCTTATGTTTCGGTTTATGTCAGTCTGTGTGCTCATGTGATCAGGTCTTGTGATATGACGTCAATAATAAATGAGACTTTTTAAGAAGAGTATCTCACGTGTTTTGTCTTTCTCTGATCTTGTTAATTTATTAAATATGTCCGTTGTGTGAATTTAAATAATGTGTTAAGTATTGCAAAGTGACATGGGGCTTCAGCTCTACTACATGGCATCCACTTCAATAATTCAATGGCAAACAAATTGATATCACTATATAGTTTTAAATACTTCAAGCAGGGTCCATGATCAAAACAATGTAAATGAGTGAATTAATGCCATGATTAAGTCTTTGTGATAACTTCCATAAAATCCTACAATCTAAGTAGCAGAGCCTCCCAACCTAATTGTTACTTCCAAAAGGGTAAAAGAGTATTTCACAGTGTACAGAAGTGGCCAAAAGTGATGTCTGGCCGAGGAAAATTGACATCTCTACCCTTTATTCACAAAATCTTTAATGCATTTTTGCAATTTATTGTGTAGTTGTGCTTGGATTCAATTGTTTTATTAGTGATTTTTTGCATGGTATAATAAAACCTGTAGCTGTAGCCTTTTTTGCCAAATAATTTTGTCAGATGAATACCTTAACTAAGTTTAGTGTATTGTTCTACCCTCATATTTAAAATATTTAACAAATATAAAATATGTTCTGCATATTTTGATGGTTTAATTGAACTTGTAGTGTCATTAAAAACAAATATAGGTAACACTTTATTTTACAATGTCCTTGTTATACATGTTACATGTAGTTATTATGCATAATTGCATAATAACTACCCCTAAACCAAACTTATTCCTAACCCAATAGTAAGTACATGTATGCCCGGTTTTCACAGACAAACCTAGTCCCTGACTAAAATGCATGTTTGAGCTGTCTTAACTGAAAGCATCTTGTACTGACATACAGTATCTTAAAACATGTCTGCCATTATTTAAAAAAAGTTACTTAAAGGGGTCATCGGATGCAAAATTCACTTTTATATGGTGTTTGCATATAAATGTTTCTTTGCAGAGTGTGTATTCACCATACAATGAAAAAAATCAATTTTACTCCTTTTTTTTTTAATCCTCAAAAAGTCTAAACACCCTCAATAATCAGGCCGTTTGGATTTTCTGAGCACTATGATGTCATAATGCTCATGCTCCGCCCACAACCAATGACGGACTGTCCCGTATTAGCATATTTTTGCCCTCAGCCATTCAACACCCCCCATGGAAGAAAGGGGTGGGGTGAGCAATTGCTCATTATCATTTAAAGAGACATGCACCGAAACAGGTCACTGTGAACAAAGCTGTTTTTGAGGAGGTAAAAAGGGTGTTGTTTTACACAACCATTGAGGAATTTTAACTGAAGTATATTACAAACCTTACATGAACACCCTAAAGAATCATACTAACTTGTGGAAAATGGGCATCTGATGACCCCTTTAAACGTCCTGAATTAACTAAGGCCTAATCCTGGCTTAATCTAACCCTGTCTGTGAAATTTGGGGCATATACCATGAAGCCGGTTTAGGTGGCTAGCCAAGTATGTTTCAGTTTAGTTTGCGCCAACCCTGGGTTTTAGGCACCATGAAACATAGACAGTAAAAGAAATGGACACAGCGACCCAATAGACTTCAACGGAGAAAAGTGAAGTCAATTAGGCCCTGTCCCAAATGGAACCCTAAGCACTCGCGGTCTTCCTCTGAGTCCGCACTTTCGCGACGTAACGCCGCTTTGAATGTCGGGAAGAAGTCTGCTGTGGAGTCCGCATCAGCGCGGGCTCGGCAAAAGTGCGCATCAAGGGCGCAAATCGACCGCAGAGGGGGCGCTCGCGAGCACCCTTCTGAGATCTAAAAATGACAAATGGGACACACTGCGGTCTCACGGACTTAACGGACACGCGCACGCGGCAGCCATTGTAAGTCCACAAGACCGAAAGTGCACATGAAGTGTGCCATTTGGGACTGGGCCATTATGTGAGCTTAAATGTTCAATCTCTATACCTTTATCAACTGTATAAACTAACTTCACAACTTTTACTTGCACTGATATACAGTAGTGAGAGTTTTTCTTTTAGTTGTCCTCTTTCATAGACAGCTATTTTCGTCTTGCTGTGTAAATTTGTTTAAATTCTTAATATTTTAATACTTTTGCGCTGCTTCTCTCGCGAAAAATGAATCGCAGTTTCACTCTTTCTCAGCACGTGATTGGCTGTTCGCTACTGATGTCACACCAACTCAAAAACTCAGGATCAAAGCCTGTGTGTCAACAGAGAAAGTTGATGATCAGCATCATGGTACCAACAAAGCCTGGTTGGATTGGTTTGGTTTTAAACTAATCCTGTAACCCTGAGTTTGTTCAACTGACGTTACCATCATGGTACAGGTAACAGGCCCCAGCCCTTGGTTAATTAATATTACTCAGTAGTATTTAAATGTATAATTACGCTGTAAAGACATCTTTAAAAATGTAACCCAAATTATACCTTATGTTTGTTTACATAAAATATAACATTTTGAACTTTTTTTGCTGCAACAAAATATCATATTGTGGTGGAGTGTCTTGTTACCTGATGAAATCAAAATGTTGTCTGTTGAGGAGATTGTGACAGTTTATTCACTAGATGGCAGCACAATGACGTGAAGAGTGAAGACGGACAACCTGTTGCAAGAAGCCTGCAGAGGGAGATTAGAGATTTTTTTTATCTTTTTTTTATTTTATTCAAATTTCATGAAAGCTTACAATGACATTTAACATCAAACATAAGACAAACAGATATTGGGGAAAACATATAACCAATCTTACATTGTTCAGAGTAAAACATTAAATTCTGCAAACTATTTTTTTTTTCAAAATATGAGATGTTTTTATGCACTTCTTATTTCTAGTGATTGAATTCAATGAGTCATGGAATATTTTAAGATCTTTACAAAAGAAATTAAAGGAGGGTGTTATAGACATTACTTTAGCTGTATGAAACTTCCCAAGAAGAATTATTGAGTGTTATCAATTATATCTGAGCCAGTATTACAATCCAAGAAGAAGATCATAGCCTCATCTATTCTGATTATTTTGTAGAATGTATCAAAAACCATCATAGATACCTGCTTCCAAAAATCTTTAGTTTCAGATTACAAAAACAACATTGTGGTGAGAAGTCTTTTTTAAACTTATTAAGAAATGCATTACAGGGATAATACCCATGTAGTATTTTGAAATGAGTTTCCTTGACAGGGGGGGTTACGCTCTCTTAAAAAAGCCGGTAAACTTGGATCACGTGAGGCACCTCAGCCTATCATGCAATGGCAGTGACGTCAGTGCCCGCCGCCGTTCAAAGTGTTATGATTTTACCATTTTACAACAGTCTATGGTTATGACCTTTTTACAGTCTATGGTTATGACAGTCAGTTGCAGACTGTAAAAAAAGGTCAGTTACAGTTTGCGTTAATCAGTTTCTTGTGGATTAGCACGTTGGTCTTGTGAATAAATGATCTATATTTAGTGTATATCGGTAGTAAACGTAACGTTACGTACAGTAGGATTGCATTGTTTGCGGAATGTGCTTTACTGTGGGAAAAAAGAGCGTGAATATCTAACGTTAGCAGCAAAGTACTAACTTAATGTTAGTCACTGCAGGGCGCATACAACTACATTTAAGAGAGTACAATTAAGTCTAAACTGGCAGCGATAGAAAGAACACTTCATTTTTTATTTTCATTAAACAACATATAACACAATATTTATAATTAAATTATTCATTTTCTTTTTATTCATTAAATTGCATATGCATAGCCTACATGCAGTTATAATAGTCATTACAATTCAAGTCAAGTCAGGCCAATCATAACTGGTGTAAAACCTAAAAGCCAAAGAAAGAAAACATTGGTATTTTTTACTTTCTTTGAACCGAAGGCTGCATCCTACCTAGACTGCATCCTTCCTAGGCTGCCTTCCAAAGATCCTTCAAATTGAGATGGCCTTCAGCGACGATTGATGACGTAGGAGCCGAGTGCAGCCTTCGTAGGATGCAGCCTTCCATTTGAGTAACACCCTATATCACTCAATATTACAATGCCGTAAATGAGTCTTACCTGTCGCGACATTCCCTTCTCTGCCTTCTCTTATAACCTTTTATCATAGTAAAAATCTACATATCGTTTCCAAAAGTATTGTTTAGCATAAAACATGTTGAAGACTACCGGACAGGCAGTCGATTCATTAAGCTATTTCCTCAAAAAAGTGGTTTATTCAGTGTAGTGAAGCCTCTTCTCTATTGACATTCATTAAAAACAACGGCCTCTGGTCTCCTTCCCTGCTTACTGACACAGCTGCAGCGTTAGCATTAGCCATTACGCTTTTTTGGCTAAAGGTTGCAGGCTTGCCTTCTAGTGGCTTTGGAGCCTGCCATCATTCTACAGTGAAGGACACAAAGATTTTCAAATTATTTTTTATTGTTATTATTATCATTTTATTATCAGTGTTTAAATGGAAAAATACATTAATTAAAACATCATGATCATGAGCACTGTAAAATGTGCACTTGGCCTACATGATGTGACTTCCTCCAAGTGACTAGAAAATCAGAGTGTGTCTGAGTACTGAATAGTCCGAACAAAGACTTGTACCTACACACTCCAGGCCAAGTGTCCTTGACTTTATTAGATATATGTGACAATGGTTTACCCCAGTGAGAGCGGAGAAAGAAAGACATCGGGCGTGTGAGAAAGAGAGTGAGAGAGAGAGAGAGGATAAAGACAGCATCCCTCAGACTGTCACCATTGTGCCGTGATAATTGGATTCTCCCTGTTTGAATGGAGACTCATTCATGGGCATTGTTAGAGTAAAGATTACTATTGTGCCACAGGAAGTAAAGCCTTATGAATATGAAATAGAGGCCGGTGGTCTTTCCGACGTAAATGACGTAAAACATGCACAAGCTGAGGTCACTGGACTCGAGCATCGTAAAGGCCACTGCGATGCAAACCCCGCCCCGCAGTCAATTTCATTGGTCAATTTAATTATGCATCAGCTGTCAAGAAAAGTTCAGGCTTTTCATGAACTCAGTAAAAAAAAATGCTATCATCTTATAGTTTGGTTAAAGTACACCAACTCTATACTTTTAAGGTTTAGGTTAAGGGGTAGCTTTTTTTTATCGAAATCTGCCGAATATATAGCTATATAATATTTTGCATTTACAAACATTTTTACACAGTTCACAAAACCAGTCAACATCATTTGCACCAGCATGTTTGCACCTTCAGAGAAGGGCATGGACATTGAAAATTAATAAAGCGATTAATGATTGAGATATGGCTTGACGTTGTTTCTCTCTCTCTCTCTCTCTCTGTTTGAGAATACACCTTTCTCCTGTAGGGAACGCAGTGGTTTCCATGGGGACCCATAGCCACTCTGCTCTTCAAAAGCGGGCCGAGCAGAGGCAGAGGGGCCCTTTGTGTTGGAGAGGAAAGAGTGGAACAACGCTGGGCAGATGAAAGCCCTGCTATCCTTACGCCCAATCATAATTTAGTCATCAGTGCAGGAGCACAGAATCCAAATAGACACTGAAAACACAAACAGTGAAAAGGAGAGGCTCATGGGTCAAGATATGAGCAAGAGAGAGAGAGAGAGAGATGGGAGTCTGATATGAGGATAAATTTCAAAGACATAAAGGAATAGTTGTGCTGTGGCTCAGGCTTGTTTTTTTTTCATGCTGATGATCAGTTCTCTGTGCTGTAGTTTGTGCTGAAATGATGGCGCCCACTTCCATCCAATTTGAGAAAGTTATGCTACATCAACTATATTGTTCCAAAAATAGCAACCTTGTTTATAAGGATGTATTTCTTCTTTGTCTATCAAAGGAATATAAGTGGGCTTTAGATGGTCGATATGTTGATTTACCACTAAAATTTATTATGAATTAAAAGTATCATGTAAAAATACTAAAGTATTACAAGTATGATCCATAACTGTTTAACAAAGCAAACTTATGAGGGTATGGTACAGTAACCAAAGCTTTTGAACAGCAAGATGTGTGACTGTATTGTTAGTTACAATTTAACAAGTTAGCTTCAGAAATGTTCAAAAGTTTGGGGTCAGTAAGATTTTTTTTGTTGTTGTTTGTTTTTGAAAGAATATTTTTATGTTCACAAAGGCTGCATTTATTTGATCAATTTTTTTAAACATTGAAATACTCTTATGATTTGAAATAACTGTTTTCTATTTTATTATATTTTAAAATGTTATGTATTAATGTGATGGCAAATCATTCTAATATGCTGATTTGGTGCTCAAAAAAACATTTTTCATCATTATCACTGTTGAAAATGGTTGTGCTGCTTAACAAAGTGTATTTTGTAGGAAAGTTTGAACAACAGCATTTATTTTAAATATAAATATTTTGTATCATTATAAATGTCTCTACTGTCATCTTTGATCATTTAACACATTCTGCTAAATAAAATAATAAAAATGATACACATGATAAAATATTGATGCATATGAAATGTGAATTGTGGACTAGGAGTTCATATTTGCTTATTTGCATATTTGCTACATTTCTTTAATAAACATTAAATGAAGATAAAGGACAAGCATTTCATACAATTGCTACCTTTGTCAAGGTTAACAAGGTTAGCGTTTCAACATTAATTGCTGTGTCCCATTCTCTTCTCCCTACATGTCACTTACAGCGGCCTGTCCAATTGCTGACGCTCTTAATTGAATCAGAACAACAGAAAAAAGAAGACAGAAAAGAGAAGGGGGAGAGAAATGTTGAGTTTTCTGGGGCAGATCAGCATTCAGCACGGGTTCAGATGAGGGTCTATATAGGTCACGCACAATATGGCTCCTGCAAGTTTACAGCTGGGTCTCGTAGCGCCATTATCCCACAACAATATCGCGGAGAGGAACTTATTTGAGCCCATTAGTCCATGTCCCCTCCTCCTTCATTAACGAAGCCTTTCTTTAAACAAGTCAAGACAATGAGCTCTCAGAAAGGGTAGCGGGGGAGAAGAGGAGGATTGGAGGGGAGGTCGCAGGTTTAGCCCGGAGCCCACGATAATTACTGTGTTTCTGTCTGTGGCCTGAAAAAGACTTGAATAATGTTTCTTTTTCTGTGGGGACCCTGAACAATAGATGCAGGGCTGGCTTCAAGAACGGCTGTTGGCTATTACAAAAAAACCCATCTTTGCCCATCTAAGGCAAAAAGTCTTAATGTCGACCACAGTTTGCACATTAAGAATGCATAGATCTTTTATGCAGTTAGACTTCTTTTGTGTTAATTTGTATGGCATCTCATTCCAGGTCCACGTGGGTTGCCAATGACAGTGAGATATGTGCAAAGGATGCTGGTGTTTGTGAGAGAAGAGCGATCGATAAAACAAGTCTCTGCAATATTACAGTGTAGCTAAAATGATTTTATACACTCCTACACAACAGCTGATGTCATTATTCACGATTCTAATGGAGGCTTGGTGGCATGATGGCATGATGTCGAGAAGCATAGGCCTATATGACTAGCCTAATATTGATGCTGGGTGACTCACAGACGCTTTTCTTTTGCAAACCTTGCAGATTATTTTGTGACTCGTATTAACAAGGAAACACTGAAATACGTTGTTCCACTAAAGTAGCCTAAATCTAAAATCTCACTTGGCTTACAGAAATGTACTGTGGTGGTATGATGCAGTGATAGTGTCAGATGAGATGACAATACCACGGTACTGAATAATTATGTCCATGTACCATGAATTAACATGGTAGTCCAAGATACTACAAAGAATACCATCATAATCGCGAAATAAAATAAATGAAGTAGTAGGCCGGCCTATAAAAAAAATAAAGGGAGCCGGAACCATTTAACGTAGGATGTTGTTTTACCCGGTGCGCATTTTTGCTGACGGAACTGAATGTGACAGATTGTAAACAGAATCGGGTGAGTCACTTTCACATACAAATAACGGATTATCTGCTCTTTTCATGCTCGTACTTTGTGTTATAGTCATTCTCTTATTATCAATGACACATAAACGTATTATAATCGCTGTGAGTTAAACACAATCGGATGACACAAATGTCATTGGCAGCTGATGTAGCCGAGTGCTAACTAGCATCATGGTATGAAGTCATCGGCTAAATTAAGCGAAACAGCGACTTGTGAATAAAAGCACAATTTATTTCAGAAGAGGGGCAAACCTTGATATTAGAGGTTTTTTTTGTTTTGTTTTTTACGTCTGTTCTCGTATATCTCACAGCTTGCTTGTGTGTCAGCTGCACATGTGTGGACTGTAAGTACGTTACATCAAGTTATTAATTAAAATAATCCACGACTCTTGTCGATTTAGCTAATTATTGTCTATGGTTGTTATTCAGTGAAGAAGGTCTAGTGTGAACAGTCAGCATTAGATGGCTGAAGTAAGGGGTCGTCGCTTGTAATTTTGTGTCTGTTTTGTCAAGTCAAATCACGTTTTTTTTTATAAAGCGCAGTCAGTGTCAAGGAACCAAAACTCCATCAGGTGACAGTAGTGGAGAAAACCCCCCACTTGCCTTACAACACTAGTATAAATGTAGCGATGGTGTTTTACAATTGACCAGATTTACCATTGTATTAATTGAAGATGGTATCATTAGCATCTGATACCACAGTCCTTTTTAGTGTAACATGTCAAAAGATAAGCAGTTTAGTTTAACGTTACTGGCAGTTAGGGGTTTTTGTGTTTCCATAAAATAATATTATCATAGATCTGTGATAATATGATTTTATGTTATTTTATGATGACACATAACTTACTGCACATCACAGTGTAACAGAATAAATCTGATTTATTGCACTGCTGCTTCAGCAATAACGTGAATATATTGTATAAAATGACATTTAAGAGGGTGCACATCTCCTCTCTACTGCTTTCACTTTATGATTCTCACATGCTACATGCAGAACATAACTTTGCTTTTTCACTGCCTCCGTGTGCATATTGATGTTTGCTGTGAGATGGCTAAAAATAGAACGGCAGAAGAGGGCCTCCTCATCACTGTCTGAATAAGTGTGTCCACAAGCAGAGGTGTGAAGATCACCAGCTCAAGTTTTTACTGTTGCAGATCTGGTTCTCATGGCTGGCTGCTGGTTTGTACTACTAAGTCTCATCATCATATAGGCCACGAACACACTGCAGCTAAATTTGGTTGTCAATTCAGCTTTTAATGCTTAATCTTGTACTGTACAGAGTTCAGTAATTTACGGGAGTGAAATTCCAAGCATAAACAAAAAAACAAATCCACATTTTGGATGTCTCCCTCATCTAGGTTGTTCAACTCATCAGCTCATTAGAGATTGCAAGACTTGAGTTGGATGTGACTGATGAGGGGGACATTCAAAATGTGCAGTGGTGGGGGCGTCCCCAGGACAGGTTTGAGAATAGGGGTGGTTAATCTGTCTGATTTCCCGATTCGATTCGATTACGATTATTGAAGTCCCGATTCGATTACAGTCGATTTTCGATTATTAACGATTCTCGATTAGCGATTATTGATTTTCCATTTCACAACAGTAAACGAAAATACACTACAAAGTGATTGCAGTATTAAAAAATATCAGCTGCTGAATTACTTAACTCTTTTATTGAGTAACAAAAACTCAAAGCACTTTCTGTGTCGTGTAGTTATAACTTCACAATTATTTGTATGTAGCTTATGTTCTGTAGAACACAGAAATGAATACATCACATTGTGTTGTGACTCATCAAGTTGAACTAAACAATAACAAATAAATGAAAGGCTTATTTCCTTTAGGAAAGATCAGACAAGATACAGATCAGAACCAACATACTGTAGAAATCAGAAGATAAAAGATCAGAACCAACATACTGTAGAAATTGGACAATTTTCTTCTAGAAAAACAAGGTGTTGTTCAGGTGGAGGAAGACTGCAGGTTGCAGTCGAAACATGTCAAGGTAAAGAAAGTTTTTTCTCCACCTGAACACCTTGTCTTTCTAGAAGAAAATTGTCCAATTTAATCATTAAGAAGACAAAATGAAATTTTTTGAACAACTTACTGTAGCTTCAGCTTATATACTGTACTGTAGAACACAGTGACAAAATGCAAAACACTAACTTGTGAGTAATCAAGTTGTACTAAACACTTTAGTGTGGCAATGTTGACAGACGGCATGCGTTCTATCAACATGTTTAGAGCTCCTGCCATGAAAACCAAAATGAATCCACACTCTTGCTTTGAGCCCAGATGGAGCTGGGTGGATCGGTTGGTTGCTCGTTCCTGGTTCTTCCATTTTACACACCTGCTCTCACTCGCTCTGGCTGCCGTTACACGCGCTTGCTAATTGGAACTGGGCGCGTTCGTGACGTTCAACTTCCGGTATAACATTTTTTACAAAATAAAATAATGCAAAAAAAATTTTTTTTTAAATAATAAAACATCGATTTTTGAAAATTTAATAATCGATTCATACTTGTCCATAACATACTCGCGATTAATCAATAATCGATTTTTTTCACCACCCCTATTTGAGAAGCACAGGTTTAGTTAAATTTGCAGAACATAACTTTTGGTCACTGTAATATTACTTTGATACAAAACACACAACAGGCAGAATGTTGCTAAAGTCCTATTCAGAGTGGACTAGTCTCCTAAACAACATTTGAGTTACAATTCTTATCACTCAACATCTGTGATTTCATGTACCGATTCGTCATCTGCTGTGCTTGTGTGCATCACGTATGACATATGTCTTTTAATTTATTATTTGGTAATATCATTTTTAATTTATTATAAAAATCCTATTTAAGTAAACTTCACAAGTTTATCGCAGTGGCTGTTTATAACAAACTTGCATAATTGTGCAGAGAAATCTAGACAAGTATCTTACCTTCTGACTGATATTAAAATGGGCAATCTTCGCAATTCCACGATTTGGCTCTATTTATTGATTGTATTTGTTATTTTTTGTCTGAGACCATCCATATTGGAAACTAAATGAAAGCGTGTCGAAGATTGGTGTGCAAACGATAGCTCAGGTAGGACAAAAATGCATGAGGAGAAGCGATAGAATAATACTATTAATCAGCAATCACAGACATTTGCATTCAGACGGGATTAGATTTCTCAGAGGACCGTTAAGTTTGCTGAAAAACAGTAATTTGCCCTGGAAATTTTACAGAGGTTGTGTGAGAAAAACACTGATTTGGCAGACGCGGACGGGATTAAAATCGCGAAGTACGTCTGTGAAACATGCATTTCTCTAATGTCCCCATGGAAAACTAGTCCTGTCCGAATAGGGCTTATGTATACCATGGTGTCAATCATTGTAATTCATTTCCCATATTGAAATACAGTTGTCACTCCTGAAACTTTAAAATGTGGCCTTACACACCCTCATGTTGCTCTGATCCTGTATGACTTTCTTTCTTTTGTGAAACACATTTATCCACGGCCTTCAAGGTACTAGCATGAAATTGCTGATGCCTTATAGCATAATAGCATGACAATGCCTTGCTGTGATTGTGCCTTGAGTTTGAAGAATGTTGTCTTCAATGAGACTTTTCAGAAAATGACTTCTTTTTAAAGATTTGGAATGACTTTATGGTGAGAAAATTATGACAGAATTTTTTAGAGAACTATCCCTTTTAAGTTTTGACACTCATTATTTTATAGTATTATTTGATTTGAAGATTTGCTTGTTTTGTTGGTGAGTTTTAAACCAACGGAAATCACCCATTTGCATAGCTGTCTGTTGGTCTGCATTTATATGTATTTCTTTGTTTCTACATTTATTCTCATGGGTCAGGTGAGCCTCTTCTCTGAGATGATGTAATGGTCTTTTCAATAATTGATGGTTCAAAGAAACTGAAAGACACTGAGCCGGAGTGCAGAGGAAATCAATGTTAGTGCGGGAGGATGTAGACATGAGTAAGATGAGGAGAGGCTGCATAACTATGTTAATCGAAAATTCAAGAAAGAACCAAGCCATGCTCATGTTTGGAGAGTCTGGAAACTTCCAGGTTTGTCTGTGTCGTGTGCCTGAAGCTCTGGAACTTAAGGTAGCCTGTTGAACGGATTCCATGGCTCTAAAGTAGTATTGTGAAATTGACAATGTCTTGTTATGATTTTGCCATGAGTGTAAATACAGGTCAAGGTGAGTGAAGTTCAGCTGCTGATACATAGTTTGTCATAAAGATGTGAAGGCTGTATCAAAAGGAAGCAGCATTAGGGGGCATTCACGCAGAACACGTTTTTGCGTTTGTATTTAAGTGGAATGGAAAAGAGCGCAAACATGAGCTAATTTTTACTTTACACATAAGTTACTGTGCAAGATGCTGAAAAAACAGCAAGACGTGGAGCAACTGGGAAAGATGTCCATCGTTGGATACAAACTGAATCCGAAGTTTGATCGGTAGATGCCACATTGATTTGACACACAAGTTGAGTACCACTTTGAAAAGTAAATTCTTTATCGAAGTAATCTCTAGTTTGAATGTAATCTGGACGTACTACAATCGTCATGTTGTTAACCTACCAGCATCAGTTGCATGCATCAGTGCGCATGTCTCACAGAGTTGCTGGAAAATCAGTCACTTATGATGTTCAATTGCAGAGTGTATGCCACCTTAGAAGGCAAATGTCTATATAGCTGGTAGACTGCAAGGAAGCTCACTAGGGTTTGGGTGGGACAGAGCTTGGTTATTCAGAAAAATTACTTGTGGTTATTGTCTAGTTGGGGCTTAACTGTTATACAATTCCTGATGTTATACTTTTTGCTCAGAGGCTCATCATCAGCTGTCCATAGAGTTACTTTGCTGACCGTATTGTCCTTTTCTTTCTTGTTTGTCTAAATTTAGGATGTCTGGCTCTGGGGAAGGACGTCCTGGTGCCACCTTGGATTTATCACTCACTGAAACAACGCCTTACTGACTGCAGTGATTTAATTGAGGAACTCGTCTGAGGCAACACCTGTTCTAGACAGCTCTGAGTTTACACTCAGGTTCTGCTGACCTCACCTTACCCAGTGGTGATACTGATTGCTGGCACAGCGGTCAGTTCTCATTAGGTGCTTGATTAACAACGTTGGCAGACTTGGCACATAAAGTGGCAGTACTGGAAGGGGTTCAGGCTTTTGTGTACCATCTGTTTTGCAACAGTCCTTTTGGGTTCAGACAGCAGATGTTCCGTCTGCGGTGCCTTGAGGCTTCTCGATCCTGCCCTATCTACCCTCGCACATGTAAGGAATTGGTCCATTTGCCCCACCCCTCCGCTTCTGTGACGCCAAAACTGTTGAGGTGATGGAGGGTCTGGAGGTCGAGGACATTAGCCCTGCCCTCGAGGCCACTGAGGATTACCTGCACTGCCTCGCTGACAATCAAGGGGATGTCCAGGTACGTCCGCCCAAGCTTAAAGAGGCCTCCACCATGGACAAGTTGAATTCCAGTGGTGTGTGGGGGCTACTGACAGGAAAGCAGTCGGAGATATCACCAGGCAATATGGCCTGGGCAGAGCAGACGTCCTTCAGTGTGCTGGGCCTACGACATGGAAAAAGGAACCGGGCACGATCCACCAATGATTTGGCGGCGCATGCCAAAGAGGCGAACTCAACCACCAATACATCCAATGGCGGCTTCAAACGTGGCCACAACCGTTCCCGTTCAGACGTCAACAACCGCACTTACACCGATAATGGCATGCCAGCCATTGACAAAAATACCCTCAAGAACATGGCACTGAACGACTACAGAGATGGTATGGATTAAACTATAATTATTATTGATACATTTAATTGGAATTGATGTGTAGTGCAGAGATGCAACAAGTTAAACAAATTGTATCTCATTCAAAACCAAGTGTTTTACTTACAAGATTCCAGTGACAGGAAATTTGTCCGTCCACACCGAAAGTAAAAATGCTGAGTGATGCCATATAATCACAACCAATCAGAACATTATCACTGTGCAACAGTGCACATCCACTTGGTTAGCAGTCTTGGTCTAATTATTTTTTTCCATAGGGATTTAAAAAAATTGTTGTAGAGATATAAGCCATGAAATCAACCACCTGCTAGGTAAATAATCACATTAAAGCTGCAGTCCGCAGTTTTTACTCTTTGTCGCCATCTCTGTTCGAAATCTGCAATTGCAGTCATTCGCGGAATTATCAACTTTACGTGAGTTGTACCTCGGCATGGCACAGCGCGGATGAATCCAATGTTTTGAGTAGAATGTGCAGCTGTCAATCACCGCGCGGTGTGGATACTGTCATTAAGAATCACAGATTCTACTTTTTGGAAGTATAACCAGACCAACATAATAATTTTCACCCTAAAATGTCCTCTGAACAAGTATGTAACATCCACTTTTGTTCTTTTGACCAACTAAGGGAAAAAAACCATTGCAGTAAATCGTGCTGATTAAACCTAACGATCGCTTATCATATCACGTCAAACCGTGCAAATTATACTTTGTTCTCAAATTGTTAATGTTAACAACATCAGCATTGCGTGACTACATTTAAAGCCCTTCATATATTTATCCTTGTTTCGCATGGGCCCGGGTGCAGTCTCTTTTTCCAAACTCTCAGTCCAAAGTCTTTTGCATTTTACAACGGGTGAATCTCTAGTTGTCACTGGTGATTGTCGTTTGAACCTTTCTGGATCCGCCATCAAATTAATAAGTTTAATTATATCAAGTGCTGTGAGAAAAGGCTATAAATCTCCACCTCTAACATCCTCACTCGCAATATAGCCTACTAGCCGAGACTCCTTCTTTATGTGTACAGATGTGACGTAATGACACAAAGACATGCTCAAATTTCCCACGGAAATCCACCAGTACCACTGGAATTAAAAACATTATTACAAGCTTACCGTTTTGAATAGATCGAAGGCAAGCAGATAGTTTTGAACACTGGCTGGTTATGCACTTGCTCCAAATTTTTTTAATTTTGGATAATTTTTAACCCAAAAAAGTTACGGACTGGAGCTTTAAATGATTTTAACCAAAAAAGCATTTGGGGAAAAAAGACTAAGCTACAAGACTGTATACTTAGGACCCTTTCACACCTACGGTCCGGACTTTCGGACTTTTCAGTTTGGTCTGAATCAAAATGACAGGTGTGAAACCTACCCCGGACCACGGTCCGGACCAAACAGATGAAATTTGGTCCAACGAAAAGAGGTAGTCTCGGTCCGGATCAAACTGAACAAAGGTTTGGTTCGTTTCTAGTGTGAAAGCATTTCTGTATGGTTTGGACTTTCAGACCTTTTACAGGAAGTTCCGGTGGTTCCCGGATAGCCCAAAAAACAGAAGATGGCAGGAAAAATGAGCCGTGTAGCACATGGGGAGAGGAGTAGCCGAGGTTTTTAATTGAAGTATGGTCTGATGACATAATAAGAAGTCAACTTGCAGTCTTCTCCTCCTTTCCTGCCGGCGACGATAAAATGTTCGCACGACGAGGACGTTCATTTGGCGAATTTGAACTAGCCTTGTGTATATTTGGTGCTGCAGGTAATTATGCCATAAAAATAACAATATAGTTGCAACGATATGCGTCTGTTCATCATGTTGTCATAAGTTACCCGCCGAATTGACATCACGCTGACGTCAGAGTCAGACGCACGTCCATTTACAAAACCAATCAAGAGATGCAGCCCACATAGATGATGACGACAGGACGCAAGTATGTCACGTAAAGTTCTTTACTGCGCTCGCATAATTGCAGTGTGAAACCAAACCAAAACTTTCTGAAAGTATAAAATGTATCAAAACGTGAACTTTGATTCGGACCTAGGTGTGAAAACACCCTTAGCAGCTTTAATGATGGAAGGAACTACAATTCCTATAAGTACAATAAATTCGATTTTTTTATTATTTGCAGAATCATAGGAAATGTACTTTTGACTAGGAATTCCACTGTTAAACACAATTATTTAAAATATGTGTTGAAAGAACGCAATCTGATGGCTTCAACAAAACTATATACCATTGATTAACAACCTCATAGCTGACAGTAGCTTTGTCTTTAAAGGTTTACAAGTTGTCATTAAAAATCAGTTCCTCTATGGAGAAAGTGAATAGGATATTTACTAGTTCCGGAACTTGAATGTTGTGCAGTAAATACCACGGTTGTGTTAAGTGGGCTTTTGGACCAATGCGATTTCACTGTCCCACTTGTCACTTGTTGTGGCTGGTTAGGACAAAAGCTCAACATGGAAAAAACTCTCAACTTTTATCGGACATCTGTCACATCTGTTTAGATGGTATTATTATTACAGCTGTTATCCATCAAAAGACTATCCACTTGCTCAAATGACATTGTTTTTCATCACTTTGTACACTTTATTTAAATGTCATTATGTGATGTTGTAGCTTTTATCTCCTCACACCTGTGATTTGTTGTGTCTATGTCTCTGTCAACACCGCTAACCTGCGCTCTTTGCAGGAATCACGTCCTTTTATGTCGAGGGGGTTCAATGAGTTTGTTTGTTGTGTTTTCTACTGAAGGGTTTATTTAGACAAGGTCATACCAGAACAAGAACAATAGAAACCCAGAGGCATATTATGATTAACATGCTACTATGATTTAATAAAATACACATTGACTAATATAAATGGTCACTTTGTTTTAAAGCTTTTTATATCCAGTGTAGTCTGGTTTAATTTTATATTAACTCATTTCGAAAAGGCTGATTTATTTCTACATCCAATAAATCAGTACTAGGTTTTGCAAATCGGCAGGTGATACCAATCCTCTTGGCTGTCCTTGCTTCCGTATTAAAACTTAATGGGGCAAATTGTTAATTACAGCAAAATGTGCCAAAGGGAGCAACTGGAAATAGAAGCAAGTTCCATGCTCGAATGCCCACCGTTTCTTCAGTGACTGAGATTGAATCCTAGGTGACATTAAGATATTGGCAACCCACCCAGTTTCTAATTCTGATAGATCTACTGATTAAGACTGGAGAAACCCATACACTCTTCACTGCACTGGTCTCAGTGTTTGCGCTATGCTTGACTTGGTTCTGTAGTTCATTACAAGCGTCAATTTCAATTTAGTCTGCTGTGTTTGCACCCATTTTTCAACGTCTTGTTTGACTGGCCTTAGATTGAACTTAATTTAAATGTAGTTTTTTTTTATTTATTTATTTTATTTTTTTATTAAAGCTGCTGTCCGTAGCTTTTTTTGGGTTAAAAATTATCCAAAATACATATTTGATAAAATACATAACCAGCCAGTGTTCAAAACTATCTGCTTGCCTTAGCTCGATGCAAAACGGTAAGCTTGTAATAATGTTTTTAATTTTAGTGGTACTGGTGGATTTCCGCGGGAGATTCGAGCATGTCTTTGCGTCATTACGTCACATCTGTACACATAAAGAAGGAGTCTCGGCTAGTATAAGCTATATTGCGTGTGAGGATGTTGGAGGTAGAGATTTATAGCCTTTTCTCACAGCACTTGATATAATTAAACTTATCAATTTGATGGCGGATCCAGAAAGGTTCAAACGACGATCATCATCAGTGACAACTAGAGACTCACCCGCTGTAACATGCAAAAGACTTCGTTCGGACTTCGGAGTGGCTACAGAAAAAAAGAGACTGCAACCGGACCCATGCGAAAACAAGGATAATATCGGAAGGACATTACATGTAGTCACGCAATGCTTGCTGACGTTGTTAACATTAACAATTAGAGAACATAGTATAGCTACTTTGCACGGTTTTGCGTGAAATGATAACTTATAAGCAATTGTTAGATTTAATCAGCGCGATTTACTGCAATGTCAGAACCAGAACAAAAGTGAATGTTTCTTACTAGTTCAGATGACATTTCCCGGTAAAAATTCTTATGTTGGTCATACTTCCAAAAAGAATAATCTGTGATTCTGAATGACAATATCCACATCGGCACGGTGACTGACAGCTGCACACTCTCCTCAAACACTGTGTTCATCCGCGCTGTGCGGTGTCGAGGGTGTTGAACTACAACCCACGTAAAGTTGATAATTCCGCGAATGACTGCAATTGCAGATTTCGAACAGAGATGGCGACAAAGAGGAAAAATGCCGGACTGCAGCTTTAAAGAAACCTTTTTATAGACATTTTTAAATCACACTACCATTCAAAAGTTTGGGAACGGATTACTGAAAGATTTTTTTTAAAAGAAATTAATACTTTTATTCAGCAAGGATGCATTAAATTGATCAAAAATGACAGTAAATGTATTTATAATGTCACAAAAGATTTCTATTTAAAATAAATGCTGTTCTTTTGAATTTTCTATTTTAATAATTTCTGTTCATTAAACAATCCTGAGGAAAAAAAGTCTATCATGGTTTCCACAGAAGTTAAAGCAGCAAAGGGTCAGTCAGTGCAACAGAACTTACTAGTTGTCTTTAATTGAAGTGCTAAGTAGACAGAGATTATACTCCCGACATTTCATTGTTTAATATGATGTCATGTTATGATGTGACTCTTCCGTGTGTTGCTTTCTCTTTGATTACAGCAGGTCTGAAACGAGTCGTGCCTACTCATTTGCATATTTATTGGACCTCAAGCAGTACAATTTTATTGTTAGTTGAATACAGTTACAGATCTTAAATTAGATTTATGATGAAATCACAATCTAAAGCAAATTACAGGGATTCTGGATAAAAAATCAGGGAGTCAATCAAGATTGCTTGATTGCTTTGGTCTGTTATGTCAAACTTAACCAAATTAACCCATCACTGTGTAGGTATAGCCTACTACTATTTATTTTGAGTTAATGTGTTAGTTTCAGAGACCGTAATATTGTTAAAAATCATTACAATATTTTAATATACTTTAAAGTTTTGTTTATTTCTGTGATGCCAATGTTACATTTTCAGCAGCCATTATACTAGTCTTTAGTATCACATGATCCCAGTTGTGCTGCTTAATATTTTTCTCGAAACTGTGAAGGTTTTTTTTTTCTTCAGGATTTTTTGATTAATAGAAACTTCACAACAACAGCATTTATTTGAAATATATTTTATCTAGCAATGTATTTACTGGCGGATATTTTTTTGTATCTTAAAATTAGTTTTGGGATTCACTCAGATCTTTTCTGTTCCATTATGTCTGCTTTTTTCCCTTCCGGCTCAGATTTTGAGTCATTACTGATGACTGTTTCCCTCGTGCCCATCTGTATAGCCTCACTAGTAAATAGGTGTTTTAGTAACTTGCAGAGGGAACGGTCTTGGAAAGGTTCAGGCTCTGCAGGCCTACTGGCTTTGCACCAGCTTGCTAATTGGGTCATGTCAGCACGCCTCATGTCCTCTCTGCTGTGAAATTAGTTGTGACTCTTTCCATAGCTGCAAACTATGCACCTTTGAAGACCTCTGAGTGCAAGGAGTCCCCAAACACCCACAACAGCACTCCAGAGGCCCAAAGCATGTCAGCTGTCGCAGCTTTTGCTGGCTACTCAAAGTAACCCAACCTTCAGAGCTCACGGTTTATCAGCAAAAAGTGGGAGGGGATTGTCCATTATAAGTTACAGATGTTATGGAAGGTGCAGTTTTGACTGGTACATTAGAGATAAGACTTAAAGAAAACAATACAAGGGAATTTGCTTTTAATTTACCCTCCTCTTGGCCTCTGTCTGTTTCTATTGGTCTGGCCAGGCACAGAAATCCGGGGCAAACAGCAGGTTCCCGATGGTTGAGAGGAAAACGGGCAGTTTCCAGCCAAGGAAGTGTAAGGATGAGGAGTGTTGTGGACCAAGAGAGGAAAGGAGATAAAGGAGGGAGTATATGAAAGAAATGGACAGAAAAAGGAAGGACTGAAAAGGAGTGCCAAAGATTAGGGGTCACTATTTGCCGTTTTGTTTGCACAGCAGCCCAACTCACAATAATGGTTCTTCCTGCTTTGCGGTGGCTGGATAGACTGCTGTCACGTAGCATACTAGCATCCATCATGGATGATGTGAACATCTCTCACGCAGAGCTCAAGAGTAACATGAGAGAGGAGGGGCACTGGTTCCACTGAAGGAGGTACCAGCATGATGGGCATTTAAAAGGAAAAATTCATTCATAATATTACCATATAGCCCTTTTCGGACAGGACAATATTTTTCTAGTGACTAGTGTAAGTGTTTCACATTCATGCCTTTAATTTTACGATTTTCTCACAACCTTAGTAAAAATTGGCCCCAAAAAGGCTTTTTTTTTAGTTCTCTGAGCAATGTAATGTTCATAAATGTCTTCTTTTTTAAAAATACGTTTCTCATTTATTTGGACATCTTTTGATGGTAAATTGGCTAAAATTACAGATTGAATAATTACATATTTTAGCTAAAGTCTTTTGAGAAATGTAATTCTTTTTGGGTTTTTTTCAATAATGCTTCTCATTTATTTGGGCTATTTTGCCATTTTTGGGTTGTTGTTTTTTCTATAGTCCTCTGAAAAGGTAATCATTTGAGAAATGTGAGTTGCTAGTTTAAGTAATGTTGGCATTCTCCTCTACATGAAAATTAAATTAATAAGTTTAATTGTAGTTTTGTATTTTTACTTGTCGGACCCCAGGAAGAGTAGCCACTACCTAGGTAGTGGCTAATGGGGATCCAAATAAACAAACACAATTCTTTCCATTTAATGATGTACTTGTTATAAAAGAAACAAGAAGTCAAAAGTCTCGTTTGCATAGTGCAAGTCACCAGAAAGTATTGGATCCACAATATTGCCTAAAATTGTCCTGTGCAGTCACAGGTTTGCCATTGGCTTGATACAGTGCAGCCAAAGGCCTAATATTCATATTCAATTTTATAGTTATTTAGAGACATTTTTAGTTTGTAGTTTATTATTTGTATTAAAGGTGCTCTTTCTGACTTTTCTTTTCCAGCTCATAAGGAGAGCAGCCCAAGCCTGGTGAAGCAGGGAACGCTAGAACAGAGAGAGGGACCGTGGGGACGCTGGACCGCCTGTCATGTGGAGCTTACGCCCTGTGAGCTGCGTCTCTACAGCCTGGACAGCAGCGGCAACCAGCAGCTATGTGCCGCCCTCTCGCTGTCCCACTGCCAAGGGGTGAGTGCTCCCCAGACGCAGGATGGACGTGTGCTGCAGGCCGTCTTCTTTAACAGCACCCGTGTGCAGTTACGCGCACCGTGCCAGTGGGAGGCACTGGAGTGGCGTAGACTCCTCTGGGAACGCGTCTTGGCCGCCCGTGCAGCCCATCGCAAAGGGGAGCCGGCACCTACCCTCCATGAACCCGATCCAGACACGGCGACCGTGCCAGCCCCTCGACCGCTGGTACGTCCCACGGCCCTACCACTGTTCACCCAGCAGTGTGCCGATGTTCTTAAAGCTGGCCTTCTGCACCAACTCACTGACCTCAACAACTGGAGGGCCTTCACGTTTGTACTGAGCCGGACCGAGCTGCAAGCCTTCCCGACCGAGGGAAGAGGCCCGGTGTCGGAGCCAGTGCTGCGGTACCGGCTGGCTTGCTGTCTGGCTGTGCAGCGGGATGATGAAGACGGTGGCTCTAGCTCCCGCTTCCAGGCGGTCTTCCCTGATGATGTGCTGCGCTTGCGGGCAGAGAGTGAGTCCAAAACTCAAGACTGGGTGGAGGCCCTAAGAACAGCGGTGACGGCTCAGCGGCCACAGTGTGAGAATAGTCAAGTCCCCAGCGGAGTGCTGATGAGGAGTAAGCCAGCCAGGGAGCGACGGCACAGGGAAGCCCAGAGAGCTAAACGACAGTCCGTCACCACTAGCTTTCTCAGTATCCTTACCTGTCTGGCTGTAGAAAAGGGTCTCACCACTCAGAGCTTCCGATGTGCAGGTGACCACCTCTCTAATACGCTTTCAACATTTCCTCATATTGTAATAGCTCTTTGGTTCTCTAATAGGTTTGGTTCATCATCATTAAAATGATCGGGAAGGAATTCACTAAGAGTGAATTGTCTTCACTTATTGCGCATTCATTTGTATCCGTTGTGGCACAAGCATGCCTGCATATTTAGTGTCGATCAAAATTTTCCTTTTTTGGGGGCCCAAATGTGATAAATCTAAAGATCAGATCAATAAATGTACTTAGAAGTTAATTGAAATCAACATGTACAGTGATAATAAAATGGAAAAAGCAATAGACAATTCACTTCTTACACACATCACAAATTAAAATAACTTTATTATTTCAATATTAGTAATTAATAAACATATTTAATGAACTCTTTAATATTCCATAAATGTGCTTATATTTTATTCATATTTATTATTTGACACATTAAATATTGTATTTTCAATTTGCTCATTTACCTATGGCTATTTAATGGATTATTTTTAATTATAAAAAGAAATTTCTTATTTAGCAATGGGTGATTGCTTCACTGCTGTATCTCTTTTAAAATACATTTTTTTGTCTTTTTTTTTATCCATTGATTCATCAATTTCTTAAATGATGATTTGGCCCACGTTATAAATGCTGTATATAGTCATGAAATTAGAAACCTCCTTAATGAAATCTGTTAACAAGTGGTCACGAGACATATTTGATATGCATTTACATACCAGGTATAATAAGCAATGTGTCTCGGGCCTCGGCTGACCGCTTGTGGTCGTATATCACTCGTGACAAATGTTAATGTCAGGTGTAAACAGAGCTAAAATCATGATCATTGTGTTATATTGCTCTTTTTGCAATGTCACTTTTTCTATTCTTAGATCTGGATCTGACATCACAGGTCTAAGGCTGCCAGCTCATATCGACGCCTTAACTTTGAATTTTGCCTTTTGAAAAGGGCATGACTGTATGAACTTCAGCCTTTCTCCATGAGTCAAATGATTCAGCAAGTTCACTCAACCCTCAAAGAAATAGATGTTCCACTCCCTAAAGAATTGTTTCAAACCAAATGCTCCATTTTTCAACATAGGCCACATGATATGGTCATTCAAACAAGCTTGCAACCTTTATACAAAGCCAACCCTGGTCTGTCATTTGAGCGTCATCTCTCCAGTCCAAATACTGTTTGATTATGTTGATGTCTGTGGCTTTGCTTTAGTGGCCCTCAAGGCCAGGTAGATATCTGAGCATTTACAGTTATGTCATATTGTAGTATCTCTGTCTTTCTTTTTCTGGTGTGAAATTTCCCCCCTTGAAGTGGATATGAATGAATCGCTTTCCTCTGTGGTTGTAACAACCACCTTTTTAATGCGGGATATTTGAAAGCCTCACCGAACAAGGACAGCAGGCACCTGACGATAATTGGCCCATATAAAGTGGAAAAAATCCCCTTTTAGAATCAAAGGCTCCCTGGATTCTGCGTTCTGTGCGGAAGCTAATTGTTTGATTCAGGGCCACGAAAGAGATTTTTTTGAATGGGACGTGTCAGCCTAAAAAGAACAGAACAGCTGGATACGTCCCTGCACTCAGCAGCCTCTCTCTCTCTCTTTCTCTCTCTCTCTCTCGCTCTCTCTCTCTGTCTCTCTCTCTCTCGCTCTTTCTGTCTTTGTTCTTCCTCTCTCTTGTACGTATATTTTTGTCACACAAAAACGCACACTTTTATGAATTTTTTTCTTTTATTTCCCCCAAACAGATGCTTGCACACTTTTTCTTTGCTTTATCAACACTATATTACTTTTGACTTTTGCGATGTGTGTTTGTAATTTTAAATTGTTTAAAAGATTGCTTCCGAGGTAGAACTACACTCTAAATACACCTCGTTTTTTGGCATCTTTCTCAAATGTTAACCTTAACCATAACTGCACCCAAAATGTCACAAAAACTGTCTTGTCTATGTGGGCTATCTTTCAGTCTATTCTTGGCCAGAAACAGTTGCAAAATGGATCAGATTAGTCGCATCAAAGCAGAAAATGTTGGTGGCGAGACAGGTGCATTAAGTATCTTGAATGTTGGTAGTAGCGTGTTTAAGAAATGGGCCTTGAGACTCCTGTGTTCTACTGTCTATTCCATCCTATAGTTTCTTCTCAAATTCAAGAATGTATTTCTATCTGTATGTGCCCTAAGAGGATTGGATCTAGTGTGGGAGAGAACGAACTCATCCAATGCAGGGTAGATTCAAAAGACAACATCCCGGTCTGGGTTGATGATTGGATGTGGTATTGGCTCTTCATTATGAGGGTTCATTGTGAGGTTGGAGTATTGTCTCATTACTGTTGCAGTCTTTTATTATCCTCTGTTTAGTTCTGTCATTTGTTCCCTTCGCAATACCTCTTGGCCCCGCATCCACAAAAGGTTCTGCCAGCTAACCCAAGTACTATGTGAAGGTTATTGAAAGGGGTTGTGATGCATTCACATTACTTAAAGATGACTTGAAGATCCTAAAGAGGAGAAGAACTATTGAAATGCAACAATAGAAAAGAAGGAATACTCATCCCTGGCTTTATTTGAATACATTTCAAACTTATACAATCTGTTGCTTCTGTTAAGATTTTTGTTTTTTCTTGCCCCAAGAAGGAAGAGCATTCATGCTAGATGTCTAATGTGGTAACATACTAAGGTGGCATTCTTTCCAAACAAAATTATTACATTTATCTTGCCTAAATATTTGCGCTCATTGCATTTTTACAATGGGGTAATATTGTTAAGAATTTAAACAACACAAGGAAGCTTGATTTAAATTGTTTAATTAAATTGAAAAAAGTAGCACAAATAAATACAATAGAATAAAGATACAAATAAAGACAAACGTTTTTGAATAGGTCTAACACTAGTATTCATATACAGAAACTGAATAAAGTAATCAAATGGAAAATAACACTGGGTAGTATTTTAGTCCTGAATAAATTAAATACATAGGCTATTAATCCTGATTCCTTAAACTTAAAGCTATCTTTTGTTGTTTTGACAACAAAATTAAAGAAAGACACATATGGCTGCTGTCACTTTAAGAGCTAGTGCACGGATCCTGTGTTCATTATACTGGCATGCGTTTTATGCTTATTAAAGACAAAACCGACTGTGTTTAGAGGATACTCACGAAGACCGAAATTGACACAATTTTGCGTGTTAAAGCAATATAATCTGCGAAAAATAACTTTTGTTACTGGGGAGCTGTTTTTGAGGCGGATTTTCTGTGACTGTGCGCATAGAAAATCATCTCAGAGAGCGTGCGAGCACTGATTAGTTTAAAATCGCTTGAATGTTTAAACTGGTAAGACGTGCAAATGGTAAACTTCAGTCACGATGCACTGCTGGCCCGATTGTGCAAGTGAATATTCCGGCATGTCCCGACACCTAAACGCGAGTGTGTATTATCGCCGCAGCGCTTGATGCTTACCTTGCACAACACATTTTGAGAGAAGAGATAGAAGACGCGGCACCGCTGAACACTCACGCTGTTTGTGAAATTGCGTCTGGCAGATAGTTGTTAAAAGAATGATTTGATTTTATAATCTGTGTGGGTTACGATTGCGGGAATTTCCCGCATTATAAGTTTCAGTATGTGTTGCGACCAACCCAGGTTGTCCAGTTCGCTCTAGCTTGTCTCCTGTCAAAACACTGCTGATATACACTCAATGAGAAAACTCTATTCAAATCGATCGGCAGACAGAATAACAGGACTTTGTTTAAGAGGGTCATGCATGTCGTCCATTTGAAGCAGTAGAAGAGACCCGCCCTCTTACCTTCCTTTCTCAAGCACACACACACACTTTTTCTCAAGCCAAATCACATAGTTTGCTTGAACCCAGCTTGGGCTTTTTTCCACACATTTCCACTAAAGTATCCTGTAGCGCGTATAAGGACAGCAGATCAAATGGGAAGATCCAGCTGTAGTTGAGAAAAGAGGGAGTGCAGGGTCAGGTGGAGAGAATGGGATCCAACGGACTGCTGTTTACATCAAAAAGATGGGCAGTGCATCTGTCTCAAGCAAACACATGTGTGAGCACACTTACGCACGCACAACCTTATGCCATCTTGTTTTTTTGAAGTGGATGTCCGCTTGAATAGGGGACATCAAAGCTGGGGCCTTGTCTTCTTTCACGCTTATGGAGCCACAAAGCCCCACCCTGGAGTTCTTGTCTCATGGAACCTGGCGGGCTGCTTGAAAGTGGCGCGAGTCACAGTTTTGCAGCTAGAAAACAGGAAGACCTTTCTCGCACTGAAGGACCGAACACCTCCTCCAGATCTGTCACGTTTATTCTACTAGAAAACCATTGTGCAAGTGGGACCTCAGAGCACCCCACTTCACCTCTTTTTTTTCCCTGCAGATAGTTGTCGTTTTAGGACAACAGGGCGCTGCTGAAAATGAAAGAGGGGAATCTTGCGGACTGTCATGCATTGAACACATCAAACGAGAGTTTGGCATTGCTCTCTGTCTTTCCCACAGTCTCAGGTTGGCCCCACTTTTTTGTGCAAAGAACTTGCCGTTCCCCTCCACTTATGCTTGGCTATGAGATTGAGAAATGTTGAGAACTGTATTCAATTCATGTAATTGAATAAGCACCACATGTGTGCTTCAGAGCCGCAGTTCCAACCTACTAGAATGTATCGTAGGCTTCAATTGGCCCTGAAGGGATGTCCACAGACATCCCTTTACACAGAATGGCGTACCTGGGGATATATTCTGTTCTGTCTGGCTGTGCTGTGCAAACTAGCACCTTGTGTGTTTGAATGTATGTGGGAACTCATGCGTGGGGCTGTGTTTTACTGGCACAGACTGTGATGTCCACAATACACAGAGCCTGCGGTTTCCAAGCGGCCAACTCCTTCTCAGAAGTTACATGCTCCCTGGCCACTGTCCAGAATCTCTTTAGCCCAATGGGCTTGGTGTAAATAGATCAGACAGTTTGCTAGAAAGCTGGACATGTTAATAATTGTGCTGGCACTATGTTTACATGCAATAAAAGTTCAGTTTTAGTATGTCTAATATGTGATAATTTGTCTTTTTAAAATGTCACAGTAAAGCCCAAAATAACTGTAGTTTGGATGCTAGCACTTAGTGTATGTGTACAGCCAAACGCACAAGTAGACTCCATTTAATAGCGCGTGAAAGATAGCACTAGAAAGTCCTTGTTCAGTGTCTGCGCTATGTACACTGAACAAGGACTCAAAACGCATGTGTGAGCTGATCGTACGTTGTACGCGTGGTTATAAAAATCGGTAACTCTTTAAAATAAGGTCTCATTTGTTAACGTTAGTAACTAACATGATCTAACAATAAGCAATACATTTCTTACAGTATTTATTAATCTTTGTTAATGTTGGTTTATAAAAATACAGTTGTTCATTGTTCATGTTAGTTCACAGTGCATTAGGTAATGTTAACAATTACATCTTTTGATTTTAATAATGTATTAGTAAATGTTAACAATAATTAATATTAAGTAAGATTAATAAATGCTGTAGAGTTCATGTAACTAAAGTAGTTAACTAATGAAACCTTATTGTAAAGTGTTACTGAAATATCTGACGTGCATAATGTTACTATGCTGTGATGATAAAATTAATGTCACGCACACTTTATGCATACCCTAGCATACACTTAAAAACCGACTTATACTTTGGACTTAATCAAAGTAATATTTTCATAAGTCGGGCTTACAGACCTATTTTAGCTTTGCTTTGACCAGCATATAAACTCTACAGTCAGACTACAATTGGCTGATGCACGGTTTGTATTTAATTATTTATTTTTTATATTCAGTTAAATTTTACGTATTGTGTGAAGATGAAGACTATAGCTTGACTACTAGCTCGAATTTACACATTATCCATGTATTCTAGGGCCCTATGAATTCCGCGATCACGGAATCGCGGACGGAATTACGGAATTGGACAAATAACGCGGAATCTAGTGTTAACGCGGAATTTCGTGGAATTTTACATATTTGGATTGAAATTCTGTTTTTGTTTGGGAGAAGAACGTATGTCTGGTGAAAATGCAGACCGGGGGAAGCAAATCTGGGCGACACAACCCCTCCCGTCATTTCAGCTCCAATGACGGCATCAAAACAATGAAAGCATGGCGAAGCGGCTCTCCATGGCTCTGCTTTCCTCGGCGAAAAAGTTAAGAAACTCGACGCTATAAGCCCTCAGTACCGAGCCGAGCAGTTCGCACGTGACTTTTATGCAGTGTTTTTCACACACATAGACTAATTTGCGGCCACAAAATCAACTCCGGCCGCCACATATTGCGTTTCGTTCATTTTTTTACGTTATTTAAAACACGCGGCGTATTCTTTCCGTTGTATTTCCTTTCCCCGCTCTCCCTTCGTCTCTCTATCACTCACGCGTCTCTCTCACATACACACACACACCGCGTCTGTCTATGAGGCGCCGGAATGGACAAAAGCGAAGCGAACTCCGCGAGCGACACTGGGTGAGAGAGAGACAGAGTGTGACTTTTATTTAAACTTTAAACGAATATAATTTATTTTACTGAACAGTTTAAAGCTCATAACCATATTTTGTTGTTACTTGAAGAGTGCAGTGTCATTTGGCATCATGCAGTATTTGTCCTGAAAAGGCTACTGAGTAAATGTCTGTAATTTAAGGTCATTCCTATTTTATTTGTATACATTTTAATCATTAACTTTAAAAGCACACTCTTTTTATGACTAAAATAACAGTAAAGGGTAAAAAAAAAGAATTCCCAAAAATTAAAACGGAAAAAACGGAATTTGGGAAAAAATAAAACGGAATTTGGGAAAAAATAAAACGGATTTCATAGGGCCCTAGTATTCTCTTTTGTTTTATTCCACAGCATGTGACGTGAGCTGTTAGCTGGTTTCTTCCATGAGGTTATACAGAAACTATGCTTTGGAAGCCGGTGTAATGCACAGAAACATTGTCGACAAGTTTTGAGTCACTGCTTCACCTTTAATTTTTGCGCAATTTTTGTTTTCCTTTTGCTGTAAAGCCCAGCCTCAACTAGCTCCCTCTTAATAATAGTCTCCGTAGCATGAGCGCTGTACAACGATGTGCTATTTTTGGAAAAGGGTGGTATTTGTGGGTTTACTCTCTGCATGTATGCTGATTACAAGGCAGCTCTGACACACGACACCCTGCTGCTTGGTCTGTGGTTCAGCCCAAATATCAGGCGCCCATCAGCTGTGGCATGGGGGACACCACCTCTGACTTTTTATAGTCTGGGGTCCCTGCCCCTAAAAACCTCAAGTTTACACTGGCAGCACAGTGCAGCGCATGATGCTAGCGCCTAACCTCAGCTAGAACAACCCATTACGTATGGGTTTGGAAATGGAATAGAGTGAATTCTCTTTTCTTGGTCCAATATGGCTGTATTTTTTGGCAACGTATTGTGCAAGTCAAGAGTCACAGAATAACATTTCACAGAATCATTTTTGCCTTGTCTTTTTTTATTTGTCTTATTTTATTATGCATCAAAAACGACTAACACCGTTCTCTTTAATATTTCTTAGGGCAGTGCAACAATGTTTAAGTGCCATGCGGAATGTCTTCATCATATTATTTTTATGGTAGTATACATATTACTGTTCCACAAAACCACAGAATAACTAAAGTAATTCACATAAAACAACACATACAAAAACATTTTTTCACTTGTTAATGTTCACTCTTATGTGAGTTACTTTAGTTATTTTGTGGTTTTGAAGCTCTACAGCATGCGTACCCATTCACTGTTATTTTTATGGAAATAACTGTATGGGCATTCTGCTAAACATCTCCTTTTGAGCTCCACCGAGGAAAGGACCTATTACAGGTCTGGAATGACATGAGGCTGAGTAAATGATAACAGAATTGCCATTTATGAGTGAACTGACTCTTTTGAATCTGGTGGTAATGATGTAATTCTGCTTACAGTCAGAGATGCACGTACTTCATCACTGTTTTCGGCTTGGCCCTTTTCAGTCGGCTAACAATGCTTCAAAAATAGACCTACAGCATTGCCTGTAAACACCGTAATCAGTGTCTCCCTCTACAGATATTTGTAGCGATAACATTCTGCCTCCCTCTTTTAGAGACTGTGTTTTCTGACTTGTTTTTGTCCTCTCTATCCTACCTCCCATCTTGTCCACATTTCTTCTCCCTATGAAGTGTATAGCTGACGTTACGCTCCACTGAAAAGATTGTAAAAGTCCATATCCGCCTGTGCCTGTTCCTTTCATTCTCTTTTTTTATTCTTTTAACGTCCACACTGTCCCGGCTCTGGTTCTCCAAGATGGCTAGGATAAGGGACACCTGCCATGTTCACAATCACCTGTTTTGGTTCCTTCGGGATAAGCCCTTTGGTAGAGTGCCGCCTGACTGTTTGAAGACAACTTGAACAAGACATTTAAAAGACAAAGCAAAGTACTTTCAGGAGATATCTCGCATTAAATGTGCTCAGTATTTGTGCCTGTTCACAACTAAGAAGCATTTGGATTCTTTCTGTTGTGTCTGGACAGGTAAAACCACCTTTTTAGTTTTGGTTTTTAATCAGTGACTCAATCGCTGCCTTTTGTGTAGTATAAATCTTTTTACATTTCTGGATTATCTGTGTTTAACCAGGGTTGTGTCGTAAACCTTGACATATCAGCACATTACCCAAACAGATTGATCACCTTCCACTAATGATTGTCAGATTTTAACAGGGTCGTGCCCCCATCAGTAGATTAGCTAGTCATTAGCATTGTCATTAACCCAGACTTGATCTCTCCCGTCCCAGGTTTGATTTGTGTGTTGTTTGAGGTTCCTCCTTTTTATTGTTGCTTTGTTTTTTCATTCAGGGTGTCAGAGGCCAGTGGGTCTGTCACGGGGCAAAGCTAAAGTTTGCTCTTACAGTGGCTGGTACTACTGCCCAAGTTGTCACCAGGACAACCTCTTCCTCATACCTGCTCGTCTACTGCACAATTGGGACACTAATAAACACAAGGTATGTGTACAGACCTATTTACCCAATCCATATCTTTAATATCGTTAATAATTCTATACGTTTCCTTGCATTTGAGTTTAGAAATCAGCTCAAGACTCAAGACATCTAACAAAAGCTAAAAGTGATTACAAGTAACAACATTGTTGCCATTGTGGTTCAGGTATCGAAACAAGCGAAGGAGTTTCTGGAGTTTGTTTATGAGGAGCCATTGTTAGACGTCCAGCAGTTGAACCCGTGTCTGTATGAGCATTGCGAGGCGCTGGCGGCCGTTCTCAAACTGAGACAGCAGCTCCAGTCTCTCAGGGCCTACCTCTTCAGCTGCCGGGCCACAGTGGCAGAAGACCTCCGCCGCAGGTGAGCTATGCCAGATAGCAGGAAGAGGAAAGATAGGGAAAGTAAGAGGAAAACAGATTAAAAATGGTATATTTTGATAAGGCACATCTGTCTGTTGTTTGAATTAACAACATTTTGTTTACCAACCCCGTTTTGCTTTATTAACACTGTGGGTACCGAAACAGCAGTTTATTGGAAATGGCAGTTACTGCACAAAAGGGGGTTTATGTAGCGATGACATAGAAGCCATTTTTGGTTCCCCAAAGAACCTTTCAGTGAACAGTTATTAAAAGCTAATTTTCTAAGTCTGAAGAACATTTTAATAATCAAATAATATTTTTCCATTCTAAAGAACCTTTTGTGCAATGTTATGTTAAAGGTTGTTTATGGAACCATCAATGTCAATAAATCTTTATTTTTAAGAGTGTATAGCGATCAAACAATAAGGATGTTTCAGTTGCCAATGTGACTATTGATATCACACAATTCAATGAGTCATGTACTAAAAATTGCATTATAAATATTACATATTTATTTAAAAAACTTTTTTTAAAAGTAAACAATCACTTTTATTTTGTTTTTAATAGGGTTTAAATAAATGTATCAATTTTTATTTCTTACATTTTTAATTCTTATGATATTTTTAATAAATAAAATTGTAAAGCACTTTTAATTACCACACTGTGTATGAAATGTGCTGTATAAATAAACTTTTAAAAATATATATTAAGCTTGTTTTATTTTATTTTATTTTTTGGCCTTGTTGAGATCGGTTGACCACAACTGGAGTAGTGTTTCTTAGTTTCCTTTAATCAAACTGTAATTTGCTGCAGTTTTTAAATGTTTTCTTGTAGGTCGTCTGAGAAAGTGTCAAGGTGAGAGTTTAATGGCACAACTTCTGCTTAAAAAATGACAGGTTCAGTGATCTATGAATGTTTATGCTCCTGTGAAACTGATCTCAAATGGGTTCTCACCTATTTAAAAAGGTGTTGCAATAACTCGAATCATATGCAAATGAAATAAAATATGCAAAGGCTAATTATTGTGACTAATTTTTAGATAAAACACATGACCATGGAGCGAGAGCAAACTCACCGTGGAGACTGTAGAAGTGATCGGTTGTTTCATCTTCTATGCCTATATGGTGTTTTTTTCTTTTTTTTTCTTGTTAAGAACCAACACAAGAGATTATATTGTTGTTAGTGACATCAAAACAGTTGGTGGACTTATAAAGTCAGTAAGATAAGAATAAGTTCATAAATACTTCATTGATATCAGTACATGAGTGTATAAATATTCCCTGGTTGTAGTTGTCCAGTGATTCTGATAACAGTGTTTGATTTAGCCTAGCAGGGATACACACTGAGCTTTTCCTCTCTGTTTCTAGATTTGTAAGATAGGACTAGAAGTAAATATATATTGTGGAAAAATGTATTTTGTTTCAAACAGGACATTATCCTATATTTGAATAATAAACACCAACTTGTAATAACTACCTTTTTCATGATAGCATCTTCATGAATCATTTGATGTAGGCTACATTACTGTGATAAATATTTGTAGAGTCTTCCAAGGCACATAAAGTAGTGGTTGACTGCTGCTGGTAGCATCTGGTTTGTTAGCCTGCAAATGTGTACAATAGAGAAGAGATTCATTGTAATACAGACATGTATTTAGCGTGTAGCACTGACAAAGTATGAATTTGTAATGCTATTTCAAGGAATGCATTTGGGTTTTTGGGAATAAGCAGATCGTTCGTGGATTTTTAAGGTCCATGTTCAGCAGGAATGTGAAGGAGCTGTGTTTATGCAAAGGTTTCAGCACTAAAAGGCTTGTCTATGTGATGAATGCTTTGTGCTCTTACCAGGGTCAGTGTGGAGACCATAAGATTGCGCTAAGAGGCCTTAAACATTCACACCATAGGAGACGAAAGCATGTACAGCTCTGTGATGAAATATCACACAATGGAAAGCTACCACCAGCGTTTCCCCAACAAATGGCTCAGCTCCTTTTATACGAACAATTAATCATCAGAAAAAGATAACTGTTTACTGAAACTAGGGTTAAGTGGAAGTTTAGGTGTTTCACCCAAAAATCTACTGTACATTTTGCGATCATTTACTTTAGTGTGGTTCTTCTAAGCCTGCATCACAATCTTTATTATTATATATTATATATGAAACGCTGAGACATTCTTCAAAATATCTTCTTTTGCGTTCCACAGAAGAAAGTCAAAGAAACTTTATAACATCACAGTGTGCAAATGATCACCAAAGCTTTATTTTTGAGTGAACTATCCCTTTAAGAGGAGGAAACTGCAGTTTATTTCTCCTAGTGCCCATGAAACATATCCTCAGATAGACATTGAGCTCTTTTTGTGGTAAACTAATTTCCATCTTATTCAGTCTTTTCCCTATTGAAATCAAGTATGGCATAACAAAAACGTCCATACAAAAAAAAAACTTCAAATGTTGACTTAATGCTGTTGCTAATGCACTCTTAGCTACATGTTCAGAACACTGTTTGTTGTTTTGAATCACTGAATTATTGAATGGGCCAGTACCCTTTCCTATGTATTCGCTCCTTTGAACTCCATGGTGACGTAGAAACAGGATGGCCGTTTGAAGTGCAGACGTGAGGGCTCTTGCAAAAGGGAACCTCAGCTTGAACTGAATATCCTCTCCGAGGTTCATCTTCTTGGAGCGGTCCCAGCTGCCTACCGAGCGGTGACTTTATCTGGCCGCTGTGTTTACGGGGTGTAGCAGTGGTGACCCCCGCAGGAGGCAGCGCTAGAGGGCTAGTGTTTATGGCCTGGCTATTAGCAGGCATCTGGCTAATGCTTCGCTTTTCCAAACAGTGTAGGATTGATGAGGGCGGTGGCGCTAAAATATTACCTTAGCCATTCATCGCCCTGCCCGGACGCTCATCAGCGGTTGTGAAGAGGCCCACAAGTGTTTACACTATAGCCATTGAGAGAAGGGGGAGAGCTGTCACTGTCCACACCTAATGCACCTCATTGAACTGCAGGGGCATTCACACACACGCTTTACTACCTTAGTCTTTACCTTTCAATAGTTCTCCCTCGTGTCTAGGCTTGGGATATAAGTTTTGATTTGCTCTACTATTCAGGGGCACTGCAACACTGCTACTGGATCCACAGTGTGAAACATACAACACGACCAGTATAGTCAATTTTCCAAGCGAATGACTATTATGAGCCAGATCTTTTTAGCGAATCATAAGCATACAGTGCAATTGGCATTGTCTGATTCTTGAGAAATTCTTTAAAAATCTTCTGAAGTGGATCAAAACCACACAGGACAGCCAGTGTAGTCTAATGGATTCCTGAATTAAAGACTCCTATAAAAAAGGGCTGCATCCGAAATCGCATACTTTAATATATAGTGGGCAAAAAAACAGTATGAGACAAAAAAGTATTTCGGAAATAACTGTACTCCTAAAAGAGTAGGCAAAAAGTACCCAGATGACCTACTACTTCCGACGAGGCTCTGAAGTGTGCATACGATGAACACTTTATTGTCCCATGAGGCCACAGGAGAGGATTTATGAATGACAGTGAAGCGATGCAACTGACTCTGGCAGGTCACATGATAATGACAACATGGCGGATGTAGTACGTCCGGATTACATTCATACTACACACTCGTACTATATAGAACGTGCTTTTTTAGCGGCCGTGAAGTAATTACTTATAAGTACCTACTAAAATAAGTACCTACTCAAGAGACTATGCGATTTCGGAACGAAGCCCAGTTTTTTTTTGTTAATCAATCACATACATGTGTTTTCTAATGTTTTGAAAGATGTCTCCTATGCTCACCCAGGCTGCATATATATGATCAAAAATTAATTGAAATAATAAAAGGATTAATTATGAAATATTGTATCAATTTTAAATAACTATAACTATAACTCTAAACAGGTGTGATGCTTCATATTTAGTGGAAACTAAAACTAAAAGATTCATTATTTTTCAAGATTCTTTGAACCGAAAGTTCAATTGGAACAGCATTTTTTTTTAAATAGATTTGTTTTGTAATATGTAAAAATATAAAACTTTTGAACGGTAGTGTAGTGCGTTTGTTGTTTAATGTTGTTGTCTAATATGTCTTTTACAAGGCGAATTATTGAATTGCATTTATGCCACCTTTTAAAAATTATTTATTATAAAAAATTCGCATCATTTTTCATTAGTCAGATTTCATTTCTTCTAAACATTTCTTGCTCAAAAGTACTAAAAATAGGTTAATGGAACCATTAAAGAATATATAATTCTTAACTGGAAACATGAAGTTCCTTGTGTTGTTTCGAACCTTTATCATTTTATTCCATGGAATGCTGTCTTTCCACTTGTTTGAATACTTGGTAGTATAAAATTAGCACAATTCTCTAAATAACAACTACAAGAAGCCTGTTTACTTAAGTATGGTGCCTGCTGACTTTTCTTCTTCATCTACTTATGACCAATCACAGGTTGTTTCATATCCACATAATCACAGTTCCTCTGCCATTAGAGAGTATCTATCCATAGGCGGTTGAGGGAAAACAGCAAAATCAACATATAGCCTCTTGCTTATAATAAGCTTGCCACCCTCTGATTCCGGTGGCTGGATTTGGTTGTCTTTTGTTTGACAACAAGTCATATATCGTCTGGTTACCAGCACTGCAAACACTTGAATGTATTTACCCTGAGAAATGACAAAAGATTCAGACATGAAGCTCTGCCATGAGCAGAGATGAATTTATGCTGGAGGATATAGAAAGCGGAAAATAGACTGTCACCATGACCAGAGGTAAATGAACACCCAGAGAGACACAGGTTTCTTTTCACACACTGTCCTGACTTGAACAAGCTTGACAAAGGCAGGCGAATCAGTGTAACAACACATCCGCAGGGATTAAGTTAGGATTTCATCTTGTCATACAGAAGATAGCGCATTAGAACATGGAATCTTGTCGATGCATTATCTTTTCTTTGTCAGCCTTGCTAAGATGTTCAGTAATACCTCACTTGTTGCACAGATTTGTGGGTATGTAAAGCTTTGAGCTCTGTGGTTTCCAGACCTTTTATTAGGCGTTCATACCTCTCTAAGGCCGCAAATCTGTCAAGGGTGATCTGTAAACACTTCAGTGGAAAAATCTTTATCATCAAAATGTACAAATTCTGCTTCTTGTCGGTTCCACTTCCTCAATGGTCCCATTATGACTTTTTAGTAAAAAATAAATTATGAGATCATTTGGATAATAAATACATTTAAAGAAAAGTCTTTTAGAGGCGTTTAGCCGTATGTGTTAATTCACTAAAGAACCAACTCATGCATTTTTCACTTTGTTTTTAATTCACTAAAAGAGTCATTTGTTCGGGAATCAAACATGCTCTATTTGATTTACTAAAAAGAACTGGATCATGATTTTGAGAGTCATTTGTGTTGGAATCAGTCAGACTAAACTGGTGTTTGCTGGTTTTGCATAATTTTGATTTACAAAAAAAAAAAAAAATACAATGTAATTTGTTGAACAGTCAAACTACACTGTTTGTGTGTAACGGAGGCCAGCTAGTAAAGTGCTTTTTAAAAAAATTGTATGGATCTCGTTTACCAACCCTACTCATCGTGCATCATTCTTCTTCATTAACGGGTTTAAAGAACATCTACAAATACTCTGACCCCTAAGAGAACAGTACGACATGTCCAAAAAGAAAGCACATTTAAACTCTCTCTCTTTAAAGGTTTAATGCATATATTTCTTAAACCTAAGACAATGCATTCACAACTCTTGATAAAGTATCGTTTTTGACGTGTCATACATCAAACCCAAAACAAAGCTGCTGTCATCAGCTCTATTTGTACTAATGAAACCTGCTGCAACTCTTGTCTGTTGACCCTTGAGCCTTCCATAAACAACTGAAAAGAGATTTCATCCTCAGCTTAGTAAACATCCCACCCCCTGCCTCCATGCCTCAGTTTAGACTAAGATTAGTGCTGTAATGAGGTCTGAGGGATGAGCTGTGAATAGGGCTGTCTGGAGAACCGCCATGCTTCTCTTCAGCCAAGCAATGAGATTATGGCAGTGAATGAAAAAATGGAGGTTCACCACAATCCCTAAAGCTGAAGACTGAGATGTCCAGCGAGTCTCAAAACACACGTGCATCTGTGCAACATAGGCCTATTTTTAGATCATGTGCGACTCTACATAATATAATAGCTAAATTCACTCATAAATGCCCCATTATAGCTCAAAACTACCCAGCATGCTTTCCTCCCATGCCTTAATGCCATAAATTCCCTCTCTCCTGTCTCTAGCTGTGTTTGTGGTCTGCAAGGCTGTCTCTAATTCCCAACATCTGCCTGACGGGCTGCTAATGACGGAACCAAGCCACTGAGGAAGCGGAGTGGAGGAACTATTAGTGGGCAGGAGTAAAGATGCACCGGTTTCCAGTGCCAAACTACCTAATAGATCCAATTTTCCAGCCTTTTGTGGTAAAAAAAAAGAAAAAAGACAGCAGTAGCCCGCTATAGTGTGGCTACACCAATAGCTTTGTGTCTGAGTGAATTGTTTTATGCATCTCCAATGAGGAACATTAACATTTCATTAGACTGAATCGCCTGTTCTGCTGGGTCAGTTGTCAGTGAATGTTATTGACTGACTAGTTAGTAAAAGATGGGATCAATAACCGTTTTTCGTTTCATTTCCTTCTCGCAACCGCACATCGTTTTTTTTTTTCTTCTCTTCACCTCACAGTGTGCCTGTTGCTTTTCCCTTCCCCTCTTTTCTGGATAATTCTGTGGGCCCTTGAGTTTGTAATGTGAGCAGGCGTGGGTGAATGAGTTAGGGAAAGAGCGAGTGTTGGCTCATGGGAGGAGAGAGGTGAAGAGGGCCATAATAGCCAGCCAGATGGAGAGAGAGAGACTGAGCCGCCCCACTTCACCCATAATAAGGGATAGTGCTTTTAAATGCCTATTTTACAGCCTTTTTCTAATTCAATTGAATTAACCCCTATTTCCAAGCAATTTGGACCCATGTTGTCATGGATACTGAGGCGGAAAGGCGGGAAACTAGCGATCCCCCTGAAATAGATTTGTACGTATGTGTGTAAGCTATTGCAGTTATTTTTCTACAGAAATGATCAGGCTTGTTATGACTTGAGGTAATATTTATATGCTTTTTATGCTATTTCATGTTTTTTTCTGCAGGATCTTTCCAAGAGAATACCTGTTACAGCACGTGCACCTCTACTCATTGGCAGACCTGCAGCAGGTGAGTTTCTTCCCTGTCTTAACCCTTTCTTTTTTTTTTCTTTATACATATGCATGCATGGAGGAATCATTTTCAGTATTGTTTCGTAATCTACCAAATAATCTATGAAGTTTCACCAAATGGAGTAAAATACTGTAAAATGTGTGGCCAACTAAGCTGAGAGCGCACAACAGAACGAACAAACTTGCAGATGTGTAGATTCTTGAAAGATTTGAAACTCTGTCAAAACACAACAATTGCTCCAAAAAGTATTTGGGCACAGTTAAAATTGAATGTCATTGCACTAGAAAATATCGATCCAAATGGAAATGAATTGGCAACCAAAATATGTCAGGTGTTTTCTCAGGACTAATTCACTTCTCTGGGCCTTTTATTTACAGCCTCAACTGGTGTATAGGTTTTTTTGTGTATGTATGAAGTCAATTCTCAGCATTGTAACCACATATATTCATCACTGTTACTATGAATATGATCCAGAAACAATACCTTTTCTCTTCGTTTTGAACAGTGTACACTTTTTTGGACAGAAGTTAATTTCATTCTGCAAGGATGCATTACATTCACCAAAAGTGATTGTAAAGACGTTGTTACAAAAGATTTATTTTTCAAATAAATTATACATTTATTACGGTTTCCACAAAAACACGAAGCAGCATGACTGAAAAATAAATATTTCAACAAATCAGCATATTCGAATGATTTCTAAAGGGTCATGTGACACTAAATATTGGAGTAATGACTGCTGAAAATACAGCTCTGCCATCACAGGAATAAATTACATTTTAAAATATGTTTAAATAGAAAACATACATAAATGCAGCCTCGGTGAGTTTTTTTTAAAAAGTATTGCCAAACATTTGAATGGAATGTTTTTTAAATGTTTTACTTTGTGCTTGTGAATTATTTCTTGAACATCTTGGTTTGATATTTTGTATCAAACCAATAGAATGACATTCATACATGTTTAAAAAGAGTGGCTAAAGTGATGTGTGTATGTAGGTGACTGTATGTACTCGTATCTCCTCGTATGATCCTGATAAAAGACTTTCACAGACACACACCTGTAGCACCCATCATCACCACGCAGAGTGTGTCTGGTCATTGTCTTCTGGCAGTGGAAGTTGAGAGGCTGTGAGAGTGAGGGTGTTTTTCACACCCTTCCTTCGCAACCCTGACATTCAGAAAGTTACTGTAGATCTATGTGCAGCTCAGTGTCGCTGACACATTAACCTTCTGCTTTTCACTTAGTGTTTTCAATGGCTCATATTTTTATGGCTTGCAAATAATTCGCTCTTGTTTTTGGGTTCATTGTGTCATCAACTTTTTTCTCTTTGTTCTTGCATATTATATAAAAAAACTGAATTGAACTAAAACTAAGAAATGTACACGCTTTAAAAAAGTTTCCTATTTAGTCCATTGTTGTTAATTAAACAATTGTTGTTTGCAAACAGTGTCCTCATCTCCCCTTTTTTCTCTCTCCTTCCCTCATTCTGCACCCAACCCCCCCCCCCCCCCCCATCCATACCCCCACACCCCTGCCACCGTGCCTGAATTTTTTTGTCACTCTTCTGTTTCTTAGGAATGACCCTTGCCCTTATTTTTCTGTTGCTCTCAGAACATCTATTCTTCTGTCCCACATCCCCTCTCCCTTCTGTCTCCTGGTGGGAGGCTGGAGTCCCTCTCCACCCTATGTTCCCCCCACCCAGCCTACTAATTACTGTCATTCAGAAGCAACAGGCAGAAAAACAAAGCATGACAGTCCTGCCTCTGCTTCTATTCCATTCTATTCTTCCCCAATATCCCATTGCCTGACACTGCCTCTTTAGCTTTTTTTGTTAGTTTATGTATGTCTTTTACATTCAACATGTCAATTAGAGCTTGCTTTTTTCATTTATTTATTCATTTATAGTAAATTAATCATTTATTTACTTATTTGATAATTAGTATATATTATATGAGTTTTAATTCATTTATTTTTACTTATTTTTATTTTTGCCACAAAACAAAGCTGTATAGTTGATTTTAAAATGTATCTTTAAACCCCTAACCCTAAAGCCTCTTTCACACAGAGTCGGCGAAACGATCTAAGCTTCACACCCCTTTCGGCATCGGTCCTGCCTTTTGTTCACACAGGGCGCGTTCCGGGACTGATCCCAGCAATGTTACTAGATCCCCATCCCGGGATAAATCTCAGGACGTGTTTGCGTTCACCACAGAAGGCACTCTAGCAATTGTATGGCAATTTTCTGGGATCAACGCTCTGTGTGAAAAGGGGCTTAAGGAAGACCAATTGTAGTAGTAATGCTTACCATAGTCTTTCCCTCTCTTTTTCTCTGTCTGTTTGTGTCACAGTAGTCTTGTTCAGTATTGGGTCTGTGGGTCTTAAAACAGTGCCAAAAAATTGGCTTCTCTTTAAAAATTCAGAATATTGTTTTGCTATTGTAAACCAGTTTTCTTTGTCACAACAATTTGTCTCATACTTGCATCTTTTAAGTGAAACGGCACAGTTGTCTGTGGTTCTTAAAAACTCTCTGCACTGTCAGTACTTTGTCCCCCTTCTTGTGTACTTTTTATTCATCGCATTCAGCACAAGACCTTTATACTCTCTCCCCCACTGCCTGTGTAAGGCCCAAATTTGAGGCATTTCCCATTCACGTCACATTACTTTCTCTTTCAGCTTCTTAATTGGCTTACCTTATTAAGGAGCCATTTTCTTTTAGTGTTTCTTCTTAGTGCCGGTTCCTCCGCGGCTCTGGAATGCTCGCCCTCCGTGTTGAGGTCACTGAATGCTGATCTCCAGCAAGACTCCAAACACACTATAGACCAAATCCGAATGCTCTCCTCATTTATTCTAACAATTAGCACTAAGTTTTGGGCAATCTTCTTTTAAAAACATGACCCCATTTACCATATTCGTTTGCGTTAAACTTGCCCATAAGCCAGCTTTGTTTGGCCACTGCTTGTTTGATATCTTCACTGAAAGAGTATGAAAAGTTTACCAAGTGCACCAAGATGGACACAAGTAGAGTGCTATATAAATGCTAATTGCATTGTGTGTGTTGTACCGAAGGCAACAGCATTAGTCTTGCCAACAATCTGCAACAATATGCACTTAATTGAGCTCAAGCGATGACATTCAGGTCCTCAGAAGTTACATATCTGAATCGAGTGTTTTTTCTCACCAAGAGAAACATCAACTTTCGGAAAACCATTTAAAATCACACCTGGGGCCTATACCATGGAGCCGGTTTTTGGTGGCTAGCCAAGTATGTTTCAGTTTAGTTTGCGCCAAACCTGGGTTTTAGGCACCATGAAAGTGGTTTGGCTTTTAGCAGTGTTCATCGCCATAGTAACTTGCGCTCCACGGCTAACCCGGTCCAGGGCAGGTTATGTTCCAGGTAAGAGGTTGCAAACTGAACTTGGACCAATCAGCTGTGAGCAAAGTGACATGTCTGATGCGATAAAGTCACTCCACCTGTTTTTTATTCCAAATTAAAGGTCACTACATAGCAAATGATTTTTAAAGACAAAATCGTCTGGCTTTTAGTACAGGTATATATTATTTATGTAATTATACCCTTAATCGATCACAGAGTTTAAATGAATAAATATATAAAGGTAATATTAGATTTGATACAGCTAAACAATGACTACATGTGAGCTTAAAAGTTAAATTCTCTCAATACCTTTATCAGCTGTATAAACTAACTTCAACTTTTACTTGCACTGATATACAGTAGTGAGAGTTTTTCTTTTAGTTGTCCTCTTTCATAGACAGCTATTTTCTTCTTGCTGTGTAAATTTGTTTAAACTCTTAATATTTTTTTAATCTCGTAATATTCTGCAGAAGAGAGAAATGAATCGCGCTCGCGAGAAATGAATCGCAGTTTCACTCTTTCTCGGCATGTGATTGGCTGTTCGCTACTGATGTCACACCAACTCATAAACTCAGGATCAAAGCCTGAGTTAACAGAGAAAGTTGATGATCAGCATCATGGTACCAACAAAGCCTGGTTGGATTGGTTTGGTTTTGTCAACTCGAAACTAATCCTGCTGTAACCCTTCATGAGTTTGTTCATGGTACAGGCCCCAGGTCTGTTATGACCAATGCGTTTACTGTACATGGTCCACACATATGATGGATCTTCACGCCGTTTCTCTCATGCCCATCTCACGCGGCTGTACCCTGGCTGGCCAGTTCTCTCTCACTTCCTCACACACGCCAATTGTAATCCTGTTTTGCGAGGCCCTGGCAGGGAGGGTGTTATCCAAACAGAGCTCACACTTTCTTTATCTGTCTAATCTGGGCCCTTTCTCTGCCGTTTAATGGAGCGGGCGAGGACATTAGGGCCAGGGCTGAGGAGGGGATGAAGAAGTAGGTGCTAAACTGTGGTTTTAGGGGATTAAGCAACTGACAACAAAGCACATGCAAGACAGGAGCAAAAGGTGGGGGATTTGGGGGGAGTTGATTTGGCAGACGTCATCCATGCCCCCCGAAATAGCTACAAAGATGCTGGTTTTAGTGAGTTGCCCAACTTTAATGCATGTTTAGCATTTTTATAGATTTTTCTCTTCAGCATAAAAATTTGAGGAAAATGATGACTTTAAAATGAACATGAATTTCAGAATATCTTATTTCAGTGTCTCCCTTTTGCTTGAACTGCAAGTTTGTTTAAAACCTGAAGATCATGTTCCCCAGCCTTATTTGAGATGTGCATCTTGTGCTTCAATAGATAAACATCGTTTTTACATTAAGATTTTACATTAATAATGTCTCATTTGAATAGTGACTAATATTTCTTATTAGTTTTATGTTTCATTTTTTGTAATGTTTATTTTGAGGATTATATTGTTTTATTTTACATATATACATTTTCACAGTTCAAAAATGTGGGGTCTGTTTAAGTGTTTTTTATGTTTTAGAAGTCTCTTATGCAAGATTGCATTAACTTGATCAAAATTACATTATAAACAGTTAATTAAATATTATAATTTAAAATAACTGTTTTCTATTTTAATATATATTTTTAAATGTAATTTATTCCTGTGATGCAAAGCTGAATTTTCAGCATCATGACTCCAGTCTTCAGTGTCACATGATCCTTCAGAAATCATTCTAATATGCTGATTTGCTGCTCCAGAAACATTTCTTATTATCAATGTTGAAAACAGTTGTGTTGTTTGTGGAAACAATGATTTTTTTTTTTTTCAGGATTTGTTGATGAATAGAACATTTAAAGTAAATACTTTAAATAAATATTTAAATAGAAATATTTGCAACATTATAAATGTCTTTAATGTCAATTTTGATCCATTTAATGTGTAGTGTACAGTAGTGTATATTATGTATAATAAGTGTATATTAATGAAAATTAATATACATTTATATGTTTTAATATATAGTAATATTTTAGGTAACATTTATCCTTATTACCATTTAACTGAGCCCTTGAGGGTGACTTACTGCAACTAATTTTAAATCAGTTGATCTTGTCTAGCTGTTGATACATAAATTCACACTTTCACTTCTTTGTCTAACTCTTTTTAACAGCCCTCTTGCTCTGCACAGTCCCTCCCCATCAAGTCTGGCGTACGCGTACTCGCCGTTTCGCTCACCTTGCCTGCTAAATTATTGAAATGTTTAATTACTCCCTCTGCCAGCATTGATCAAGGGGAGTATCCATCATCTTTACCAAAGGACGGCAAGTGTGCTCACCACACCGCTTTGATTGGTGGCTTGCAGCGTTTCCTTAATGCCGTGCTATATTACTCCACCACATGGGAAAAGGCAGGGTATTGGGCTTCTGTCAGCCCGGGCAGAGAAAAACAGGAGTGCCTGACTCTGAACTGAAAGCTACTTGATGGATGGATGGTTAAGGGCTCTCCTGGTGTCTGTACTGAGAAAGCCTGCCAACAGCTTCACCTTTATGTTCATTGGGCAATGACAATGACTACTTTATTGCATGTGGGTCTTTCTGCCTAGTGTCTTTTTGACTTGGTCAGTGCTTTGGTGGAATGTGAAGATTTTTTTCTTTTAGTGAATTATGAAATGTTGAAAAGCTACTTTTTTGAGATATCAACCTCAAATTTGGAACACAGCTTGTTTAGATTAATGGCCTTGATTTTCTCACAGTTTTAAAATATATTTTTGTATAAAAAATCCGAAATGGTATTTTTGTGCATTTTTCATAACAATAAATTTAAAACTTTTTTTTTTTCAATAATCTGCCAAGTGTTGTCTTTAAAAAGAGAGAAAACGTAGCCTCCAAAGCATTCAAGATTTATGGCAGTTTAAGTTGGAAATTTAACTTTCAGGTCCATGCTCAAAAAAGTGAATAAATGGAATAAATTTAATACCATAAAATGCCCCAAAATACAAGATATTAAATAAAAAACATGATCTAATTATTAAAATATAGTACAATCATTTCATTGGAATAAAAAAAAAATCTGTATTTTTTTTACTGACACTGACACAGAGGGGTAATAGATTTTATTTTTTTTTCTTTATTTTTTTTAAGCACCTTAAAGCTACTTATGTAAAGTATAAGCTAATTTTAGGTGCTATATAAAATTGACGATGATGATAATTATTAGTATTATTACATTTTGAGAACACGGTAGGGTTTGGCGTTAAGGGTGCTTTCACATCTGTAGTTCGGTTCATTTGGTCCGGACCAAGGGCGAAAAATGATACTTTGTAGCATTTTTCAGGCTTTTTGGTTCCTTCGAGGAGGTCTCGTACGCTTGTTTGGTCCGCTTTTGGTGCGCATCCGAGTGCGATTGCTGCATTCACACCTGCCCAAACGAACCGCACCAAGGGGGACAACGAACTCTAGTGCGATTCAACCGGACTAAATGAGGCAGGTGTGAAAGCACCCTAAAAACCCTTTGGACTATTTAATATAATATAATCTAAAAATATTTATATACTATATTATAAATGTACATCTGCATTATGTTTGCTTTGAAATGTCTTAAAAGGGTTATTTTTGCCATCTGTCAGGAACCATCTGCAACAATGGTCAACAAAATTATTGCCAAATAGATTTAAAATGCTTCTTTGTTGCTTAATCTTATATCGCTGGAAAAATCATAAAGTATTCGGTATATATACAGTATATACCTTCCAATAAACCCTGTAGCTCAAACATTAGAGATTTGCACTAGCAATACAAAAGTCATGGGATTCCAAGGGGAGGCAAGAACTGATAAAACATGTTCCTTGAATCCCACCTAAGTCGCTTTGGATACAAGCGTCTGCCCAGTGCATAAATGTAAACCCTACACACCATGTTTTAAGTAACTAAACACATCATCTGGCAACTTTGGTCATGGCTGTAGAGTCTAGATTCGCTTTTCCCACACAAACCTTCCCCTTTTCAACCCATTCTCCCCACTCACGCTGCATATGTGTGTGCGTGTCTTTCGTGGGAGACTGCGGTGGTCCTCCTTTTATTCTTTCTTTTCCCTCGAGCCTTCCCGTCCCACCCTCCCCAGCTCTCCTGCTCCACTGTCCCCTCTTCTCCTCCTCCATCCTTGTGGAAGGGCTGAAGAATGCTGGCAGGGCCTTTAATTGGTGTGCTGCAGTGCTGCCAGGTGTAGCCACTTGTCTCTGCCCCCTTGGTGAATATGCACTGGAGGTCTAGGCCCCTTCCCCTGTCTCATTCAACATCCCACAATACACCTTCTTCAGCGCCCCGCTTTCAAAGACCAGGCCGATTTTTAACTACTCTGGCCGATAAATGGCATTCACATATTATTTTTTGCAAACAGTCTCCCAAAAGGAATTACCCCACCCTCGATCCATAGCCAACCCCCCACTCTCTAAGCATTCATTAGTTTTCATGTGGATTCCTGATGTGATGTCTTTTTTTTCTTCTTCTTCTTTTTTTTTTCTTGTACTTGGCTCCCATTGTAGCTTGTTCCTAAGTGTTTGTCCTGTCGCTAAAAATCTCAGATAGAACTGTTAACAGGATGATTACTGTAAATTTCAAGATTCAGTCTTGTAAGGGCGAGCGACATACTGGTAGAGTACGGCAAAAATGTGTTATTTAACAACTGTTAGATTTTATACTATTGCACCTACTGCGGTTACGCTCATATGAGGTTGCAGTGCTGTGCTGTCACAAAAGTATATCATTTACAAAAAGCTACTGCTCACACAGCGTGGCTTTACATCCTACATTTCTGTAATATTTCTTCCGATAGACCTACCTGAAAAACATAAAGCACTCTTTATTTCGTTTGTATATTTGTACTGTTGCATTTATTTGTCCTTTTTGCTTGTAATTAGTTCCTTATTTTATTGCTAACAATTTTGCTGCGAAATTGGTGTTGAGAATTGTGAAATTTGATTGGAATCTAAACTTTTGGTATCGCAAAAATAACTATATCTTGTTAAAGGGAAATAAAATGACATCTATTGTGACAATCATATCGCCCACCCCTCAGTTATGGAATGCTTACAGTTTCCACTTTTGTAATGTCTTTCTCTTTTCTGCAGGTCATAGATGGAAAGCTTGCTCCCTTCCTCTCTAAGGTGATCAAGTTTGCCAGCTCTCATGTCTACAGCTGTAGTCTGTGCCGGGAGAAGGGCTTCATCTGTGAGCTTTGCCAAAACGGTCAGGTCATCTATCCCTTCCAGGAGAATTCCACCAGAAGGTGAGACATGTAGCCGCTGTTTCACCTCTAAATGTCTCATGACATTTCAGCTCTGTGAAATCAAAGATGCTACATACAGTGGCCTAAAAAAATAAAAGCAGCTTAACTTTTCAGCCATTGTTGCAATTACGTTTCACTAACTAGACTCAGTGGAACCAAAGGTGTGGTTTATATAAGTGCCAGTTGTCTGTCAAATGGTCCGCAGCTCATTGCTGATGATTGTCCAGCCTCTGTGTCATGTTAGTCACACCCAGCGGGTGGTGGATTGAGGTGTGATGATGCAGCGATAGTACACCCTTTGTAAGGGGACAGTTAATCCTTCGAGCATCTCAGCTTTTTTTCAGCAGGCTGTGTGTTGGCCGCTTATGGCCTGCAGCTGATAAACCGCTCACTGGTCTTCATACCACCAGTGTGACTAGAATCCAGCGAAGTGGAGTGCAGTTCCCAGAACAGATGCTGCTATTTAAACATAGCTCCTCACACGGCAACACTGATAAAGCCTCAATGACTATTGGTTAGGGCTGTTACATTTTGAAATGAATTAGATAAGTTACATTTATCTAAAATAGTTCAAATGTTTTTCCCCATTTCGTATTTAAACTTTCGATATTTCATTCTGCCTAATTTTCTGTTGACTATTCTGACCAGTCTACAGAAAATTAGACAGAACAGAATGAAATATCGAAAGTTTAAATATGAAATGGGGAAAAATATTTTAGTATTTTTTAGCAGACCTATAAAGTATGTATGGAGAGAGACCTTTAAAAGCGAATTAAAAAATATATATTTTTATTTGTGTATATTTATATAAACATAAATTATATATTTTTCTTGCTCAATATGTGAATAAATTTTGTTTCTTTTAATATTTACACATTTTAAAAGTATGTAAAAATGTTTTAATAAATTGTATATTTATATATATTTGCTTTTTTAAAATACATATAAAATTCAGAATATTACAAATATTTATCTATATTGTGCAAGACGTTTTTTTTAATATTATATTTTTTTTCTGAGCATAAGACAGTGTTTTATTTTCTCTCCTAAAAAAGGAATGAATGCTTGAGGAGATGCATTGCATTTAATTATATAAATCGTTTTACAGCCTTACTATTCGACATATTGATTCACTGATTCGGATCTGTCCATGCTTGATTGAGCATGTCTGTTAGTACAGCTGGATCCAGGTGTTGCACTAACTGCTTCACTGTGTGACCTGTTTAGTTTATCCAGAATTTCATGGGTGTGTTTGTATGCACTTCATGTTGTATATGTAACAGTACATGCTCAATAGGCCACTACTGTGCAATCATAAGAGCAGAAGGTGTTTCCACGCCCCACTGTAAATCCATAAATTCCACAAACCACCACCACACCTCTCTGATGAGCAAGTACACCACAGCCCTTATGGCTTTTGGATCCTTACTGTTGGAAAGAAATAATTTATTTATAGAGGCCGATTTAAAATAGACATCCTGTCAGCTAGTATTATCTTGTTAGCATGCTTTAGGTTTTATTTATGTTGGGCATGCTTCAGATTGCAAGACTTTTTCAGTTCTGGGGTTCTGCTTACTAATAGTTCTACATAAAGAGGAAATCATATTAGATCAAGAGGAATGCCTTATAAGAACAAGGCCTTTTTCTGCTTTTGTGCAAAGCAGACCGTTTTCAGGAATAGACCACCAGTAGTACTTCTGGTTAGTATTGCACAACCTCTTTGCCAACAGTGATCTTGGTTTAAGTCTTGGCTTGGCAGCCCAAAAACTTTAACCACTGGGCTACTACCGCCCATGATGGTGCACAGAGAGAAGTCGCTTCTCTTTAGAGGAATGAGGAGCCCTTGAGCTCCTAATTGATCTAGTAAAGGAAGTAGTAGTTTTATATAGACTGGGACTAACCTTTTTAGCCTGCATAAAAGAAGATATTTAAAAGGACATGTACTATATGTTTACACACACACACACACATACTGTATATATATACAGTATATATATATATATATATATATATATACATATACACACATATATATATATATATATATATATAATAGTCAACATTTGAAGTGGATCACATTTTATTGTGTTTTATCTAATTCGTTTGAAATTGTACAGCACTTTGGTACACAGTGTGTTTTTTAAGGTGCTCTATAAATAAACTTTGATTTGATTTGATTTGATTTGATTTGATTTGATCAAAAAAGTTAATCAAAGTTGTCCTAAGACAAGAACGGGTATTGTTCAAAATCCATGTATAACTTTGATGAAAGGTTTTGATCTACTTTAAATGTTGACAACTGTGTATATATATATATATACAGTATATATTATACACAGTATAAATTCAGACAGGGGCAGAGACAGAACTGTTTTGAGTATCAATGAATGTTTGGATCAACCATCAGCGTTCTTCTGTTTTGACTGCAGATGCGATGGCTGCGGAGCCGTCTTCCACGCCGAGTGTCGGATGCGAGCCCAGCCGTGCCCGCGATGCGTACGCAGAGAACTGCACAAGAAGCCGGCGTCATTCTGGAGGAGGCTCGGCCCTCACGACAGCCCCGATGATCAAGTGCTAGACTGCTTTGAGCTGGACACCTGAACACACTGCACTAATGAAGTCCGAGTGCTGCTGTATCCAAGAAGCACAAGATACTGTGGTCCTTCGGTGGAAGTGCTCCCTGAAAACCGAGAAACAGAGGAGTTTTTGTTTTTTTACATTCTCCCTCACCTGAGAGAGATGGGCACAGAGACAATAATTCAGCTCCCGAAGAGCAGAGGCTTCATAATGATACCAATTTACCCTTCCCTTTCATCTACCAAATGACAGCCAGGGCCAACCGACAAATACAGGCAAAGTACACTCACACACTTGCACATAAACACTCTCACTGGCTGATGTAAAATAATGCACTTTTTTTTGGCAGACTCACAATCCAAGAGTGATGATTCAAACCAATTTCTGGACACAAATAGAGCTTCTAATCCATTAATGGTTTGGTGAAAATGAGCGCTGCAAGATGGCTGTCTGGCCGCTCCATTCGGTTTCCCTCCACGCTGTAGTTAACCTACGATGCCGAAGAACCTTGATCTAGAACAGGAAGATGAACTTCCTTAGAACAAAAATATCTTTTTTTTATGTTTTTAACATGATTTCATTATTGAATTTGCAACTTGTTCAATGTTTTTTATATAAGTTCATTGCACTTTCAGTCACAGTATGTTTGCATACCTGTTTTCATTTTAAATCCGTTATGCTTTGAGCTTTGTGGACCGAAGGTTTGAGTTGTGTAATATGAACTAGGACTGCTGTCTTGTCCCGTCCAGCCGAAGTTTAAAAAGTTTGACTGTTTATCAACACTCAATGGCACTGCCTATAAGCAGCCGAACCACGTTGTTCTTGCTAACCGCCTGGTCTAAGATTACAAGCTACCCTCGGCCACCAAGCCCCAAAATTACAGTCTAGAGTTCCAGGGCTTTGTTTAGCATTCATACGTCTATTTAACAAGAAACGTAAAGCAAACCCGCCGTGGACGAGCTCATAATTCATGTCTAACTGACCTCTGCTTTTGATCCACGCTGCCTCTCTGCGCTCATACTGCGTTTTCTTGCTACTTGAACTTAGAGTTGGCAATGAAGTCACTTGTTTTGCTTTTGCTGCCTTATTTGACTTCCTGTTCTTCGACCAGACCTGTTCTTCTCTAGTTAGACAACATGTGGACGATACAAAAAATCAGACAACCTCTGCTGTAAATGTAGCGAGCTGACTGACATTTTAGAATGTTCCCTTGAATCCCTTGAATCACAATTAAATCTGATTTTCTCATTTACTTTTTTTATTTCTGTAAGCATACAGTAGGAGAAAAGAGCATTGTCTCTCTTCCTGGACACCTCGCCAGCAAACAAAGCGTTAGATATAAATCACATTCAGCTTTACTGCTAGAAACGCATACCTACTAATTCAAAAATCGGCTACAAGTTACTGGTTATACTGGATGTGAAATATTCGAACTGATTCTGTACACTTGATGTTTGAAACTTCGACAAACCATCTTTAGTTTATTACTGGCCAACAATTGACATTAATTGAACTCTTTCAGATGGTTCGAGGTCAATTTACAAATCATTTGCGACCATGTTACATTTTGTTTGTGAGAACGTGTTTATTTAAGTTTTTGAGGTTATGAGCTTGTTTTGCACCAAGAAGTTTACTTCTAAATGAGATTCAGTCTTAGTTTACTTGTGGTTTGTGTGTGATAGAATGATGTAAAATGGAGGATGGATGATCGTGTTAGAACATTTTGGTTGTGTTTATTGAATCTGTGTTTGTTTGCCTGCCCTAAATTGGAAGCCAACGCATTGGCCTGTTGATGTTCTTCGATTAGCAAGCTATAATCAAATAATGTTTCAGTATTTAATCTAATCAGAATATCAGGCTATAGAATATATCGTAATATAATCACATAATCATTTTGGTATTTGAAGGCGAAGACCTTTACTTATCTTACTAAAAAAAGGAATTTTCCCCAAATCTGGCAGTCTCTTGTTTTCCCACCAGAGATCTTGTCATTACACCGTTTTAAACTTGAACGGAGCGAAATGCACCATGTTTTACATGTTACTGTAAGATGGAATGATTTAAAATCTGTTCGCTTTGTATGTTTTATGCATTATGTTACATTGCATTATTCGTACTGTTCTTTAAAATCAGGGATTCTTAACACAATGAATAATGGGACAAACAAAAAGGGAACTCAGTGGATGTACTTGGTGAATATCTTTTGTTCCTTCAGTACACCAAATTGGTCTTTTATTTTCATGTTTGTTGAAGGTGTAATGGAATTTTTTTTTCTGCGGTCATCTTGTTCTCAGTTGTATATTTACATGTCAGATTTGTTTCAGACATATTTATTGTATTTATATACTTTACTGCAATTTCTGTATCAGTTTCCGGGATTTTCCCTGTGCTTTCTTGTACTCTGTAAACTCTCCATTACAGACAACCTCTTGCAACTACAAATATTTGTGTTTCAGAACTGGTGCGGGTTCCTTCCAGTTTTCCTCTTCTTTTCTTTGCCTTTTTTTTTTTTTTTTACCACTGTTGCCAATAAAGAAAATTACTTAACAACACATTGTGCTCTTTATATGCTACAACACTAATGGCGTCATCTAAATTGACTTTTTAGGATTTTGCAAAGTATTTTCGATTCTGCACGGATTATTTTCCTGGTCAGAATCCAAGGCAGCAGTGGAACAAATGCATCATGGCCGGGGTTGTGGTGTTCCCTTTTGGGTCCTGGTGCACCGGAGTGGGTCCAAGCACTGAATCACGAGCTAATTCCAAATTAAAAGCCACATGCTTGTATCTGGTTCTGTTTGGAGTTGTACCAACAACCACTGGACCTGTTAGAGACCACAGCATGAGGCTTCTAATTTTTTTTGCACAGTGGTACTGACGTATAAACATTTGAAATTCAGTCTTGTGATGTGATATGATTCTATTGAGAACAGTTACCATGGAGGTATTTTCTTCATCAAGGCATTTTAAATATTTTTCCAACCTATCTCAACAATAAGGATGGTCCGCTGGCCCAGGGCCAGTGTGAGTGAGTGTTTATGTTTATGCCTGTAAAAACTTAAGCATTTGGTTTTCTGTAATGTATACTACATTTCTGTGGCAAAATCTATAGATTTTTTGCTAAGTTGATGTTATTTAACTGACTAACATAAATGGGGTTTTGTTGAAATTACAAAAATTTCTTTCGGTAGTCTTGAAAGCATGAGTATGTGTTGAAAACTACAAACTTATTAGTGATGATTTTTTCTGATTACAACTGTGTGTGTGAGTGTATGTATGTATGTATATATATATATATACACTCACCGGCCACTTTATTAGGTACCCCATGCTAGTAACGGGTTGGACCCCCTTTTGCCTTCAGAACTGCCTCAATTCTTCGTGGCATAGATTCAACAAGGTGCTGGAAGCATTCCTCAGGGAGTTTGGTCCATATTGACATGATGGCATCACACAGTTGCCGCAGATTTGTCGGCTGCACATCCATGATGCGAATCTCCCGTTCCACCACATCCCAAAGATGCTCTATTGGGTTGAGATCTGGTGACTGTGGAGGCCATTTTAGTACAGTGAACTCATTGTCATGTTCAAGAAACCAATTTGAAATGATTAGAGCTTTGTGACATGGTGGAAGTAGCCATCAGAGGATGGGTACATGGTGGCCATAAAGGGATGGACATGGTCAGAAACAATGCTCAGGTAGGCCGTGGCATTTAAACGATGCCCAATTGGCACTAAGGGGCCTAAAGTGTGCCAGGAAAACATCCCCCACACCATTACACCACCACCACCAGCCTGCACAGTGGTAACAAGGCATGATGGTTCCATGTTCTCATTCTGTTTACGCCAAATTCTGACTCTAACATCTGAATGTCTCAACAGAAATCGAGACTCATCAGACCAGGCAACATTTTTCCAGTCTTCAACTGTTCAATTTTGGTGAGCTCTTGCAAATTGTAGCCTCTTTTTCCTATTTGTAGTGGAGATGAGTGGTACCCGGTGGAGTCTTCTGCTGTTGTAGCCCATCCGCCTCAAGGTTGTGCGTGTTGTGGCTTCACAAATGCTTTGCTGCATACCTCGGTTGTAACGAGTGGTTATTTCAGTCACTGTTGCCCTTCTATCAGCTCGAACCAGTCTGGCCATTCTCCTCAGACCTCTGGCATCAACAAGGCATTTCCGCCCACAGAACTGCCGCTCACTGGATGTTTTTTCTTTTTCGGACCATTCTCTGTAAACCCTAGAGATGGTTGTGCGTGAAAATCCCAGTAGATTAGCAGTTTCTGAAATACTCAGACCAGCCCTTCTGGCACCAACAATCATGCCACGTTCAAAGTCACTCAAATCAACTTTCTTCCCCATACTGATGCTCGGTTTGAACTGCAGGAGATTGTCTTGACCATGTCTACATGCCTAAATGCACTGAGTTGCCGCCATGTGATTGGCTGCTTAGAAATTAAGTGTTAACGAGCAGTTGGACAGGTGTACCTAATAAAGTGGCCGGTGAGTGTATATATATATATATATATATATACACACACACACACACACAAACACATATATTTGAATATGAAAATATGAATACTGTATTTGGACACTTCCATGTAGTCACATTAGTGAAGACCTGTATTTTTTTTCCTGTTCCGTATATTCACTTTCATCACCTTACATGTGCAGGGGAAAAAAAAGAGCCAGGCTTGTTTAATATAGTTTCGCAAACCTTTTCTGATTCTTGTCTGAGTGATGTCTCGGTTAAGCTAATGGCCGGCCACCCCAGACGCTTCCTCCTCTCCTTGGTTTACTTTTTCAACACTTCCCTCATGTTTTTTCCTCCTCCCCTGCTTTTTTCTTCTCTTGAAAGAGAACAGTAATTTGTCCTGGCCTTAGAGAGCTCTAAAGCCTTTCTCTGACAGAGAATAATCCACGAGAATCCAACCACTGCCGATGGGCCGGAACATGCCAAGTCTTTCCTCCTTTGTGTGTGTTTTTGTGAGAATGTGCTTGTTCCCTAACTCTTAAAGCCGGTTTTCGAGCCTCGGCTTAAAATCGAGGCGTCCTGCTGATCTCAGACTCCATTACGGTCTTAATGTGTGACAGCTCAATGCTGAAGATGCCTTTAAGATGGGTGTTTTCACACATATCTGGACTTGTTGCGTCCTTTTTTTTCCTTTTTTTTTTTGGAGCGGTGAAGATTTTTTCGTGTCAAGAGGATGTTTTTAGGGATATGCTGTGATTTTTTTTTTTTTTTTTCACACACACAGAACAATAGATGAAATATGCTGCAGTTGTACCTAAAAGAGAAACAAACACGGTAGATACTATGTTTATTAAGTATCAAAGCACAAGTTTTGTCAAATCTTTTTTTTAAATAAAAATCATAATGCATTAAAGTATTCAAAATAAAATAGCTTTTGTGGAATTTCCAATCCGTCTGGACAAGCTGAACAGCCTGTTCTTGTTTCACCCTCCTCACAGTTTGAGTCTCCTGCAGTATTTCCCTTCACAGCTAACATGAACTTGCTGAAGGGGTGGGAGCATATATTTGGTTGTTGCACTATGCTTATGAGAATAGCTGTTATTTTAGCAGGGCCGTGTGAATGTGTGTGTGAGCTGTGTGTGCACGGTCTGACTCATTTGCCTGTGATTTGTATTGAGGAGTGGGCAAATTGAACCTGAGTGTTGGTCGTGCTTAATTGTCGTTGCCAATTAGTGCATTGTTGAAAGCCACAATGGCTCCACTGTAGCGAGCGGAACACTCTCCTTTGTGCTTCTCCAGTGGCCCACAGGCCAGTCAAGACTCATTTAGGACTCTGACAACAAGGGGCCAGAAATGCCATCAGAAAAAGACAACAAAAGGGCGGTTTAAGGAGAAAAAGACGACGGCAGAATGGAGGCAGGAGGGGTGGAGACAATAGTGACATGGGATGGAGCGCCAGGGTCCGGTTCTCGTGTAAATGGGGTTAGAGAACGTCTGCTTCAACCCTCTGGTTTCCTAACGTCCACCTGCCGCTTAAACACATGGGACCACTGAGCAATAACACTCCTCGACGTCAGCTGTGTTCTGCTTTTTCATGCTCGTTTGTTTGGGATCTTCTTATGCTAAGTTATGTTACACAAATGCTGCCCTTAAATATTGATGTTTAGCAGGCAAGCTATAATTTATACTTGAATATGATATCATTTTATGATATATAAATGCACAAAACAGTACATAGTGAGTACACACAGAGGCCCAAAACTGTGTTTGTTTATAAAGTAAGAAAGGAAAAATAAACATAATGATTTGTGGAAATCAAAAACAAGATATTTAGTGAATACCTGCATTAATAAATTCTAAAATACATTTCTTTTAAAGATGTAGCAAAGAAACACTTAGCCATGATTGAAATAACACAGAGAATGAATACGGGTCCTTTTAGACCCATGTTGCGCATTAGAAGGGTAGTGACACAAAAATGATTTTTATTCGAAAAGTAGGAAAGGAAAATTTAAAATAAGGATTTGTAATGATCTAAAACAAGTTAATTGAGGAATACCTAGAATACTGAATGATGACATTAATTTCTTGCAAAGATATAGAAACTCAGTCTGGTCACTTTAGACCCATGTGCATCAAAGGGTTAAAGCCACAAAGTTTTAAAATAAACAGAAAATTTTGTTTTTAGGTTATATCCAAATATATAAAAATACACTAGTTCAAAGATTTTTGAAATGTTTTTGAAGAAGTCTCATGCTCACCAAGGCTGCATTTATTTGTTAAAAATACAATAAAACGGTATCACTGTGAAATATTATTACAATTTAAAATAACAGTTTTCTATTTGAATATGTATTAAAATGTAATTCATTCCTGTGATGGCAAAGCTGAATTTTCAGCATCATCTCTCCATTATTATATTGACCAGTTTCTAACATTGCGCTACCAATATATCTAACAAAAGCTATTTCAATTACATATCCTATCAATTTACTTCTCCTAAATACAACAACAGCATCCCATATCATATAATCTTCTCTTGAAAGAGACAGAAAAGCAAATAAGGATGAGATTAGGATCAGTTTGGTAAGACTGCATCATGTTGTCATTGTATGAATTGTCCATCCACAGACATAAAGAGTCGGGTATTAGATAAAGGCATGTGCCCAAACACATGTTCAGGCATGTAAAGAAAGGGAAGAGGGAGTGAATAAGAGGAAAAAAAGAGGAAAACCCAACCACCACCATGGGATGTTTTCATGCCCAGGAGACATCATGAAGCACAACAGACGGCTAGTGAGCACCAAACCTCATCACGCTTCAACATCATCTCTACAGCTCAACTAAAGTAAATCCAAGATCGACTTATCTAGAGCTTGAGCGAGACTGATTTTAATCAGGCTATTTCCTCCCCATATCAGTATTCAACAGACTCACTAAAGGTGATGATACACAGGGCAACTTTTTGAGCAATGTTGCTGGGCAATCTTGCCGAGCGATTGTTGCTTGGGTACTTTCCCATTGAAAATGGGCAATACATTTCTATCTGGATAATTTAGATCAGTCGTGGGCCCTGCGTCTCATCTGGTTGCCCGTTGACGGCAACATTGCCCAGCAACATCGCTCAAAAAGTTGCCCTGTGTATCATCACCTTAAGTCCTTTCGATACAAGTAGGCTATGTATACTAGCAATTTCCCTTGCAAGGCCTAACTGTATTAAGGACACAGTATACTGAAAGGAAGTCGGTTGGCGTTTGTGTGACTCCTTAAGGTGGGGTTTTGTAGTTAATGTGTGACAATGTTCGTAGGTAACCTATGAAACAGGTGCACAAATGGCTGGCAAGGTTGATTCGGTTGCCATAGCATTTAAGACACAATCAAACATCCCGAGCGTTACAAGGAAAACAATGTAATGGCCACGTCTGTCTCAATGATTGATTCCCTAAGCAAGTCTGTGGCATGTAGAGTTCTGTTTACTCTCGTCCTCTCAGACTTTCTGTGAGCTGATGTCATCTAAGTGTTAATCGAGCATTAGAAATACCTGACGGAGCAGGCGGATTGGTCACTTGCACTTTTGAACACACACGTATTCTGGCACACACCCTGTGAGAACTTTGGACTTATAGAAAGCTGTGAGATTACAGAATACTGAATCAACAATGAGAGAGAGAGAGAGAGGGAGGGAGAGAGAGAGAGAGAGAGAGGGAGAGGGAGAGGGAGAGAGAGAGAGAGAGAGAGAGAGAGAGAGAGAGAGAGAGAGAGAGAGGGAGAGGGAGGGAGAGAGAGAGAGAGAGAGAGAGAGAGAGAGAGAGAGAGAGAGAGAGAGAGAGAGAGAGAGAGAGAGAGAGAGAGAGAGAGAGAGAGAGAGAGAGAGAGAGGCCAATAGTTGGTCACAATTCTCTCTTAAAATAGCACAATAATTTGACTGTACTTTATCAGTATTATACTGTATACAGTTGCTCCCAGTTGTAATTTCTGAGCCATTTTTGCAATGATATTTAAACCCGTTCAAAAAGTGATTTCTAGAGGATGTATGATGTCATTTTTTCCTTCACACGGGTCTAATTCCTCCCAAATACTATGAACTTGGTCCACTGTTTGACAACCAGAAAGTGTTCAATGTCTTAATTTTGAATTATAGCCTATATCTTATCAATTTTTTTTTTTTTTTTTTTTTTAAAGGATAGTTTTTGTGGAACATTTTTCTTGGAAAGTGTGTTTGTGCAGCTTTTCAAATACATGCCACTTTGTTATTTAATCCAATTCATACATTTTTAAATGTGGCTGACTGATTTAAGTATTATTTATACACTATAATAATATTTCTTAGAATTTTGAATTAACTTTTTTTTTGTTGATGTGATTTTGTCAATTGTATTAGTTTTTCAAATATTTTTTTATTTAGTTTTAGTTTTAGTAATTTAAGTACTTCAATTTGAATTTATTCGAATTCTGCCAGTTGTCAAGGCAACATTTCAGAAATGTTTTTTAAAACGTTTTTCCATCTAATGTTTATATTTTCCTTCATTTAAATTACTGCACACAATTTTAATAATTTTCATTTTAGTTCAAGTTTGCAAATATAACACCAAGTGTGGCAAAATTGTCCAAATCATTCGCATGATCATGCAACCATAGTCATAAAGATTTACAGATGAATGTTCAGTGCTTCACAAAACTGAACAAAAATACTTTTTTTTTTGGTTGACAATTCATAACATCATAAATGAACTCTGACCTAGAGATGCCATCATAGTGCACACTAGCTGTTCACAAGCAGAGTATCAGTGTGGCAAGGTGCTCCTCTCGGTTGCTTTCTTTGTCTTGTTGAGGCGTGAGTGATTAAGCTTGCGTTAGGAGTCATTATCTGAGTGTTTGCACAGCTCCATCTGTCCTGAATGGGCCCAGAGGGTAAACACAAACGTAGCCTAATACAGGATACACTTGCACAAGAGACTCAAGGCCTTTTCATAGTCAAACACACACACACACACACACACACACACACACTCACTCGCCGGTGCCATTCACTTGCCCCTAAATCTCCACTGACTAATTTAAACATCCTCATTATGGTTAGAGGAGTAACGTGTGGCATCTTCCTGGTATTTTTTTACTAACATGAATTTTCATTGTGTTGATCTGTTAAGCCATTGTTGTAGTATCTAGTATCACATTTTCTATTTAATTGAGGGTGGATACCATGTCATAGTTCAAGACTTATTAATTGACAGACAGACAGACAGACAAGAGATAGATAGATAGATAGATAGATAGATAGATAGATAGATAGATAGATAGATAGATAGATAGATAGATAGATAGATAGATAGATAGATAGATAGATAGATAGATAGATAGATAGATAGATAGATAGATAGATAGATGGACCAGTTCTTTTCACACAGATGATTGTCTGTCAGTGGCCCCTGGTAAAAAGGGGTTGGGGCCTGAAAGTTGTGGGCGTGTCAACGCGGGTGGAGTATTTTCACTCCACTGAACCTCTACGGAGTGAGTAATTACTGGCTCCGCAGCCAACAGAGGGAACACACAGAAAAATACGATCTCAACAAATTAGTAAAAGAGTTTAGTGTGGAATTGTGGAGTTTATACATGTTAAAGTGCGTGAAAGGACTCCAGTGGACTGCTGGGAAACACACTGAAGGAAATGGCAGGAAGCACCTGAAACCTGTTGCCCTGAGCAGCACTAACGCGAAAGGTGATTTTTATTATTATTATTAATATTATTCACCTATATTATACTCTTAAAAAAGGATTTCATTTTCGGACGTCAGATTTATTTTCCCTTTATTCTTCTTGCTTTTTCGGCGTCTTTTTTGTTGTGAATCCGCCGGATTGCATTCATCGGATGCATTCACCTGCCATGTGGAATTTAAAGGAGATAAGAAAGGAAACCGACGCTTAAAATGTTACTTTCTTACAAAGTATCTGCGGGAAATGAACTTTCGACCTTAACACGGTTTACTCGGTGAATGATTGACCATTCAGTCCACGGTTGCGCGTGCTTTTCCACGGTACGTTCTGATGCTCAATTATATGTTTATGATTTTCTGTCGAATTATTAAGCTATTGTTTGATTTAACTATAGTTGTTATTTGACTCTTTCAGCCCGTGTTTCAGTGTCCGTGTGAGAATCATGGTCTGGTTGAAATGCACTCACACAGTTGGAAGAAAGAGTGCTCGGGATCTGGAATGAAACTTCACTGTGATTTACAACCTTGTGGACTGTGGACATGCTGCTGGAGCAATTAAGGTTTCCTTTTGGGATTTCTTCTTTCCGAAACGCAGCAATAAATTAAAAAAGGAAGGAAGGGGGGAAAAACCTGAGCTGAGAAAATACTCAAGAATTGAAATTCATAGTTTTCCAGTATGAGAGAACCTGCAGATAAGCATCATTTCACCATGGAGACCTCTGGGATGCACCTAGTCGGATTTTGGCTTCACGTTCTGCTGCTGTTGCAACAGTCTCGGCTCGGCAATGCTGCCTCTAAGGATATAGTGTGTGAGCCCATCACCGTACCGATGTGCAAAGGGATCGGATACAATCACACCTACATGCCCAACCAGTTCAATCATGACACCCAGGATGAAGTCGGCTTGGAAGTGCACCAGTTTTGGCCGCTTGTCCGGATCCGTTGCTCCCCGGACTTGCTTTTCTTTCTGTGCAGTATGTACACCCCCATCTGTCTTCAGGACTACAAAAAACCCCTGCCGCCTTGCAGGTCTGTGTGCGAGAGAGCTAAACGGGGTTGCTCCCCTCTCATGATCCAGTATGGGTTTGAGTGGCCAGAGCGGATGAGCTGCGAGCAGCTGCCCATGCTGGGTGACACCGATCGGCTTTGTATGGACAGGAACAGCAGTGAGACTACGACTCTATCACCTCCTTTCCCCAAACCCACTCCCAAGGGAACACCACGACATAGAGCCACTGCAAAATCCGCTCCGCCGCAGAAGTGTGACCGTGATTGCCGTTGTCGCGACCCCCTGGTGCCCATCAAAAAAGAAGTTCATCCTCTCCATAACCGTGTGTATACTGGCTCTTTACCCAACTGTGCTTTGCCCTGCCACCAACCTTACTTTTCCCCTGACGAGCGTACCTTCACAACCTTCTGGATCGGACTGTGGTCGGTGCTGTGCTTTGTCTCGACTTTCACCACCGTGGCCACTTTCCTCATTGACATGGAGCGTTTCAAATACCCAGAGCGGCCGATTATCTTCCTTGCTGCTTGTTATCTGTTCGTGTCGCTGGGGTACATCGTGCGACTTCTCGCGGGCCATGAGCGAGTAGCTTGCGAGGGCTCTGGCGACCAACAGCACATCCTCTATGACACCACGGGTCCGGCCCTTTGCACGCTGGTTTTCCTGCTCATATACTTCTTTGGAATGGCCAGCTCCATCTGGTGGGTGGTGCTTTCCTTCACCTGGTTCCTGGCGGCAGGGATGAAATGGGGGAACGAGGCCATCGCGGGATACTCTCAGTACTTCCACCTTGCTGCTTGGCTCGTTCCTAGCGTCAAGTCCATCGCTGTCTTAGCTTTGAGTTCGGTGGATGGGGACCCTGTGGCTGGGATCTGTTACGTCGGCAACCAGAGCTTGGAGAGCCTCCGTGGCTTCGTATTGGCGCCTCTGGTCGTCTACCTCTTCACCGGCTCCCTCTTCCTGCTTGCTGGCTTTGTTTCCCTCTTCCGGATCCGTAGTGTCATTAAACAGGGCGGCACCAAGACAGACAAGCTAGAGAAGTTAATGATCCGGATTGGGCTCTTCACCGTCCTGTACACGGTGCCCGCAACTATTGTGGTAGCATGCTTGGTGTACGAGCAACATTACAGGCCAGGTTGGGAGCGGGCACTGGCCTGTTCTTGCCCGTCAGAGCGCCAGCGGCTCGGCATGGGCCCGGATTATGCCGTCTTCATGTTGAAGTACTTCATGTGTCTTGTAGTAGGCATTACCTCAGGAGTTTGGATCTGGTCAGGGAAGACTCTGGAGTCTTGGAGGCGCTTTGTGGCACGGTACATGCCCTGTAGGACCCGGAAGCCACCTGTATCAGGGTCGTCCATGTACAGCGAGGCCAGTACCGCTCTCACAGCCCGAGCTGGAACGGCACCCACTGGGACCTATCACAAATCAGCACCCTCATCACATGTCTGAACATTGGCCAGAAAAACCTGTTCCTTTATAAACCCTATAACAGTGACGCCGGTCATGACTCTAAATTAGCAGGTGTCTATTCGACTTCCACCAACATCACCAGATTTGATGGACGGCATGAACACATTATGAAGGATTTTTACAGACTATTGGTTTTGTTGTAGTCAAGCTCTTTTCATTCACTGGTCTAATTTGAAAAGCAATGAACTTGTTGATACTTTGTGAGGAAAAGATCATTTGTCAACTTTTAATTGTCACAAACATCTTAGCTGTTGTCTGTGGCTATTAGATCATGAATGATGGGAAAAAAAGATTGAAAAGTTTAGTACTTGATATGAGTCAAGACATGAGTTTCTGGAAATATTTTATTTATTTGTGTATTCTTGTAAATATGCTATTCAAGAACATTGTGATATCTCAGCTAACAGCCGCTCTGTTGTGTTTGTGACTTTGTCAGCATTATACAGGATGTGGGTATGTTCTGTTCCATCATTTTAAATACCATCTCTAGTTTTCTAAATTACCAATGTGTTTTAAGGTAGGACGTGAATAGATGCTTTCCTGCGCTCTCTGTAAGCAACAACACTATTCCAGCTAATACTGTGCAAGCGGAGGAAACATGCAAGTATAGTGAAGCAGCAGTTCACTTTAAGTTGTTGCAGGAGGTTCTGCACCAGTTCATGTTCACTATATTCTTCAGGGTCCCTCAACTGCCCCTTAGCAGGTTGTGTTTCAAAGATTATCAAGCTATCTTTCCACCGATGATAAATTGTTGGTTAGCATCAATTGGAGAGTGTTAAATGATAGGATGTGTATGTACCATCTATAGACTTGTGTGGAAAGTCTGTAGCTCTGTAATATGAGCTTGACTTCCCTCTTGTGGTCAAAGGTGCAGGTGTTAACCGGCAGCCATACTAGGTTCGCTGAATAGAACTTCAGAAAAAAAGGCCAAATATTTACTGGTTTCAAAACGATGTGGAACATTTCTTTTGGTCTGTTTAAAAGAATGATTTATTTCCATCAGTTTCCTTGTCAAGCCTCATGATCCTTTGGTAATTTTGTTTGTCATTTGAGCTTATTTGTGTTTTGAACCAGAAAACCAGTGTCGGGTATGCACTTTTTAGCAGGCAGAATCTGTAAACCTGTGTTGGTTTTGTAGATCTGTGTGAAATATTTCAGTGGAGCATTAATGTGTAAATGGCTTCTGTTGTAGAAATACTTTTCCTGTGTAGTCTTCAAAATGCCTCACAATTTCGCTGCATGTCTGGTTGAGTGTACATACTTGTTCAGCTCTATTCATATGTAAATCTTGTAGAAGACGTCCTTTTAAGAGTCCAGACTGCAACTTTGTACATATGTTTTGTAAAAGATATGAAATTCAGTGCTACAATTTTAAAGAGATTCTTAGATATTTATGAAAAGTGTCTTTTACATGTTTCTCTTATTGGTAGAGAATAAAAGTGAGGAGCAATTTGTGAACCTACAAGTCAAATGTTTGGTCAATCATTTATTGTGCTTTTTATTTTTACTGCGGTTTAAAAGAAATCACCCTGTTGATTTAAAATAAATCTGACTGGGCATGCTTACCTTGATGCTTTGTTAGTAGAGGTTTATACATTTCAGTCCCTTTTTTACAGGCACTAAAAACCTGCACTTTATTTATATATATATATATATATTTACATTGTTTAAAACAAATACGTTTCTAACATGATGTTAATTAGCACTTATTGAGAGAGAAAGAAAGAACTATGTAATAATCCCTGGGTTATTTTTTTAGTGTAATGCAACAAAACCCTTTAAACCAACCTTTTAAAAGTAAGAGTGACCTTGTAAAACATTCTTCAAAATTCAGACGTGTTACATGATTAGTGTTTATTTAAAATACTCCATCTGCAAATGATTTCAATTAAAAACTGACAGTTCACAGCTAGTAGCCTACATAGTAAGCAAAAAACAAAACAAAAAACCCTCATTCAGTTTGTTTTTGTCTCCATGTTGTTCTGCATTGGTTGGGTAAGGTGTAGGATCTTTCGATTGGCATAAAATCGCCGGGCAGAGAACGAGTTTTGTCCATCGAGTGCCGTCTGGTCCGAGCAAAAGCTCTAAGAAAGAACGGCGTTGGATCTGCGGATGCCCACTAGGTTGTCTGCGCTAAATGATCTCCTCATGGCCACTCTGCTCAGATCCTTGTACTTATCCTCACATAGTCTTGAGATTGCCTTTGAAATAAAGTTAAACGAGAACTTTAGTATTTAAATTGACCCATTAGAAAAAGATGTATGACTTTACGTCCAAAAAACAAAAATCGGTCACATTGTTTGTCTCCTCACCTCTAGTTTCTGCGCTCGTTCGTTGCTCAGTGGCTCCAAAGGAAAGCTCAGGTTGTTGTCGTCTGCTAAAGAGCGCAGGTCAAAGTAATACTTGGCATAAACGCTGGCCGGTACGTTAATGTTAAACTGCAGCAGCTCCAGAAAATGTCTTTCCATCTCGTTCCTGAAAAAAAATATTATTAGATTAAATTAGTCAAGAATGAGTCTTTTTAGTTAAAATCAATGTAAATAAAACAAACAGATAAGAAAAAAAGCAACATGACAACTAATATACAATCCCATTATTTCGCACGTCAAGCATTGACAATCTGACATACTAAACTTTTTGCTACATCCAAAACTACTTTGAACAGCATTTGCAATTTGTATACACTATCGTTCAGAAGTTTGGGAACATTTAGAAAATGTTTCTTTTTCAAAATGTATTTGAAAACAATTCATTTTCACAATTTGAAAGAAGTCTCTTATGCTCACTAAGGCTGCATTTCTTTGATCATAAATACAGTAAAACAGCAATATTATGAAATATTACAATTTGAAATAACCATTTTTGTGATGGCAAAGCTGAATTTTCATTATTACTCCAGTCTCATCATCCTCCAGAAATAATTCTAATATGCTGATTTGGTGTTTAAGAAACATTTTTATTTATTTTTTCTTTGAATAGAAACTTCAAAAGAACAGCATTTATTTGTCTTTACGGTCACTTATAATCCATTTAATACGTGTATTAATTTCTTTTAAAAAAGTATTAATTTCTTTTGAAAAAATGATACATCTAGTTAGTAATCTCATTAAACGAGAAAGAATACACTGAATAATTGTCCTTTTAAAAATTGTACAATTTACTTTGGGCTATTGAAGTGACCTGCACAAAAGCCATGAAATAAAAAGATAAATTCACCATTCACCAAAAAAAGTTTATGCTATTTGTTAACTATTATAATAGTATTATTATAAACAATAAACATCTTTTACACCTCCGATCCATCACAGGTACGGAGACAGTGACCCGAATGTTTTGGGAAGAGCAGACATTAGGTTGAGGTTGGTATGGGTGGTGTTGGGAAAGGGGGAGGGGGGAGGTTCGGTCGCTAGGGGCAACAAATGGAGTGGGCAAGAGCCTGGACCATTGTAGAGGAGTCTAAGAGCACTTGAAGCCCGCCAGCCCAGAGGCTCACAAAGACTGCTTCAATGAAAGGGATGAAAATAGAGCGAAGGGGCAGAGAGGAGAGAAGAGGGACATGGCCTTTAACATACACAATCAGGTAGAACAGCACAAAAACAGACACGTACACACAAAAACCCTGTCTGTGTCATTTATATGGATATTGAGACATGAGAACAAACAAACAAGGTTTTGAAGTGTGTTGCTTCATTTTTTTTGAAAATCTTGTTCCAAGGGATATGGGAAGTTGTGGGGTATGTGGGAGTTGTAGACTGGAATGAGTGAAGTCTCCTTCCTGCAGCACGTGCTAGATTTTGGATGGTGCATTGATGTATCACATCAGGACGTTTTGTTCTATTTATTTATACACAGACGGTACAAACGAGCAGTAGCATTTCAGCAGAACGGACAGTGATAATATTATCTCACTCACATGTCCTCAACAGTGATGTCTTTGAGGATCTGACAGTAGTCAACGTTCCACACAGCCTGATCATCCCAGACTTTCGAGGCCAGCAGGATGGCTCCCAGAACAATCCTCTTCCAGTTACATGGGCAAATGTCCAGCTCGGCATACGTCAACAGCCTCTCCAAATATACCTGCAGCAAAGACAGTGGGGAAGTATGTTGTCAGAAGACGCTTTTTACCAAGGCAACTCGCAAGAAAGCATACATATTAGTGTGTGCCGATTAGAAATAAAATATAATCTGGATTAATGTTAATTTCTAAATACAGTAAAAAAAAATAAAGTAAAGTAAGAAAATGTCAGTCACACGATCCTTCAGAAATTCTAATATGCTGATTTAATGTTTAAGAAACGTCATATCTTCAATGTTGAAAACAGTTGTGCTGCTTAATATTTTTGTGAGAGGTGTAATATTTTTTCCCAAGATTCTTTGATAAACAATAAGTTCAAATGAACAGCATTTATTTGAAATATACATTTTTATACTATTATTATAAATGTCTTAACTGTCACTTTTGATCAATTTTTTGTGCCCTTGCAGAATACAAATATGAATGAAAAAGTAGGAATTAAAAAAAAAAATCTTACTAACCTCAAAGACTTGAAGATAGTGTATACTAATACATTATTTCATATTGTATAAATCAACATTAGTTAATGTATTATATATTAATCTCCATGAACAAAGGTATATTCACAAAATAGCATTACCCAGATTAATAAATGCTATATAAAAAAAGTAACTATTATACAATGTTTTAATCAAAATATTTGTTTGTAAATAATCAGAATTGATTAATAAACTGATAAATTAACTGGTCATGAAATAGGTGAGCAGTACCTAACATGATTTACTTGAAGGTAAAAGAAAGAAGTTGGAATTGTGGAAAAGTACAGGTTAAACAAGCAAGCAATGATTCATTCTCTGGTGCTCTACTGTCCTCTAGTGGACCGTCAGGAAATTGTGCCTAAGCATATCTCTGTCAAAAAGCAAAGCCTCATATTTTGTCTGCATTGTACCTGTTATTTATTCTACTATCTTTTTTCTCATTGTATTGTTGAAAGTGGAGCAGACTAGTCGGACAGACTGCCATTGTCTTACCAGAGTGACGATTGCACATTCGGCCGTGAGCTGTGCTGCGCTGAACAGTGTCCGGACGAATCGATAGATGAGTTTGTGTTCGGGGTCTGTGCGGGAGTAATCGTCAGGAACCTGCTCCCTCTGCCAAAGGTAGCATTTATATACATAACATGCTAATGTTCACAATTTCTAGTTCAACTTCAAGCTCAAATGCCAGCACGATGCCAAAGAGACCTTCCACTATAGCAAAGAGTCCCTGTCATTGTGCAAAGTACAAACACTTCTTACAGTGCTACAACAAATAACAAATATAACAGACTGTTCAGAAACGCATTTCCAAAATCAATTTCAGCTGGATTTTAAACCACACATGAATCAGATCAAATGTACAAATCGGATTGCATAAAATGCTCAGACTAAACAGCTAAATGGATTTGATGCACACAAAAATAGATAATGCAGTCTGTCTGAACAAAACCAAACAGTGACTGTAAAATGTGAAATTGTCCATCAGCTGCTGATAAAACAAGATAAATAAGGGGTTAACTTACAGATAAGGGGTGCATTTTTTCATCAAAGATGTCCAATGACCTATTGGAGTCCCTAAAATGGATTATCACAGAACACATTTAAAATCTATATGAAATAATACCTCATCAAATGTATAGTTCAAATTACTTTCTCGTGGCAAAGTACATAACCAAACCTACCTGTTTTTAATGTGATAATATATTGCTAATGTGACACTGGAAACAGAGAACAGAAATGTGTCAACATGCAAACAAAGACAAAATAAAACAACCAACAGTACCTTTTCATTTTGCTAATTATTTTTTACATGCATTAATTTGTATGTACTCATTATGGAACTCATTAATGTGTATATTTGACTATACACAATACTGTAGAAATGTTGAAATAATACAGTGAACCTTCACTGACCATTTGATTGTGCTTTTCAGGTTGGGCTGACTAACGGTACTGTCATCAATGAATATTGTAGAGCAGGAACTGTACTTCTTTGAAAGCAGACCAGGTGAGACCTTTGGAAAGGACCAACATTTAATACGCTTGCAGCAAGACGTTCCAATCATATAAGCAAGCACACAACCACAAAACAGACTCCGTAGCACATTCACTCACGTGGTTTATGTGATTGCTTTTTCTCCTATCCCGTACTGAAAAAGAGAAAACCAAGGGTTTTTTGTTAAACATTTCTTCAACAAATATTGACAAGCTGTGCCAGTGGCTATTTATGGGTCAGGACTCAGGACACTTAGTTAATATGCAGCTGCTGACTAGGTAGTAAAATTAAATTATTAACTCATTAGATTTGTTTAATCACTCACCATCCGTCTGTGACTTGCTAAGGAAGATCGTGCTGGCGCGGGCATGATCTGAGGGGTTGGACTCTAAAGCCAAATCTAAAAGAAAGACAGTTAATCAATTAATTGATCACACATAGGCATAATTAGAAACATTAGGAAAATGACCCTAAAGAATGGGTGGTATGTACTTAAATATCAATGAAATATAATACTTCTATAATTTCACACATATACTACTGTTCAGAGGTTTGGGTTGATTTGATTTTCTAATATTTTGGAAAACAGTATCTCACGTATCTTACGAAATATATCATTAAAATTTAATTTTAAAAAAACTTTTCTATTTTGATAAAATGTCATTTATTTCTCTGATGGCAAAGCTGAATTACTCCAGTCTTCAGTGTCATATGATCCTTCAGAAATCATTCTAATATGCTGATTTGCTGCTCAAGATACATTATTTATTATGATCAATGTTGAAAACAGCATTTGATGTAGAAATCTTTTGTTAATGTATTATATATGAATCTCCATGAACAAAGGTATATTCACAAAATAGCATTACCCAGATTAATAAATGCTATATAAAAAAAGTAACTATTATACAATGTTTTAATGCTCTTTACTGTCACTTTTATGTATCCTTGCGGAATAAAAGTACTAATTTCTTTAAAAAAAAAATGTCTGTATGCAGTACAGCATAATATTTACCATACCTGCTCACTATATCTGCCAATAACAAGGCACTTTTTTTTAAGATACAGAACTAGAAAAGCACTTGTGGCAGTGGTGATCAGTCAGAATAAATATTCATCTTCAAACTGAAAACCCCCCTACAACACTAATAAAGGTGGTGTGTCGTCCTATTCGGCAGGCTTAAACTGACTGGCAGGAACATGCCGCTACCCGCTTTTGCCACAGGAGCGAGAGGAGTGTGGGCACAATGAGCCTATTGTATGGGCACTGCAATACAACGCTAGCTTACACCCATAGCTCCGCCCACAACACCATGCACCGCAGGAGCCGTGCCAGTCAGATATGCTACAATAACAGGATATTATACTATACCGAGATGGTGTTTATGCTTGTCTATATCTGTAAAAAAACGTTCTACCCAAAGTGGAGCTCAGAATGCTAGAATTGAGGATTTTGCGCAGGCCACTTCTTGAAAAGTTGTCTTTACCAGCCAATGAAAAGACATTCTTTCTGGAACTCACTGGAGACAGGGTCAAAAGATTTGTGCCAGTGCTGCTAAGTTTTACCGTAAACACACTCCAAGGAGATGTTTGGACAGCTGCAACCATGTCATGGGAGCCTACAAAACTGGCAGGAGGTGTGTAGCGCAGGTGCAGGGCAAAAGGATCCTTGAGAGTTCTCCAGTTTTAGACGACTTTACAGTCTACAGTCCGAAATGTACTTTAACAAGTATGTGAAAACAAGCACAATTTTGTGTCCCAATGGATCAAATGTCAAATCATAATGCATGTAGCATTGTCAGGAGTACCACAAGGGGCACTATGCCTGCAAGTGGGTTTTAGTGTAAACTTTTCTCTTGCAGGTCAACAACTATGAAGCAACAGTTTGAGAAAAAAGTCTATAGCAAGCTTCATGAATAACAACATATATATTTAAAGGTAACTATAAAAATGTCACTCAGAGATCCTATTCCCGCTGCAGTTTACCTTCATGTTAAATTATGGTCACTGCATTGCGTTTCCAGGGGCTACATTCAGGTACATCCAAACACGTACTCTAGAAAATGAAAAACTCAGAGCCTGGCAGTACCAGTCTTGACATCTTTCTTCAACACGAATAATCACAGCCATTTCCTATCAGAGATTATAAATGTCATGGCAAAGTAAAAATGCCAAGTCCAGTTCAGTTGGGAAAATCTGAAGACTTATTTCTCAACCAAACTCTTGTTGGAGCTGAGGCACAGAATCCTTCCCCGAGAGATCGATGGACATGGGTGAGAGAGAACGCTGACCGATAGGAAGGTGCAGCTTTAGTTAACACCTAAGGGCGGCAAACTAGAGCCAATTATCTGTTTGTCAACTCAGTTTTAAAATGCAAAACTAACGTCACACTGCAGGAAAATACAAATGCTTTCTTGGTGGAGCACAAACACTCCTTAACTGTGGTAAAAGCCCTGTAAGGAACTCCCATGAATTATTGCTTTAAAGGACTAGTTCAACAAAAACAGAACATTTTGTTATCATTTACTCACTCTCATGTTACTCCAAACCCGTTTAACTTCTGTGGGAAAAAAAGAGGGAGACCAGTCACTCTCTTCCATGCAATTACAATGACTAGGGGACTGGAGCTCAAAAGAATGATTTTTTGACGGCTCAAGCATTGCTTCTATCATGAACTCTGATAAACATGCCAAGTAAATGATGACTTTTAGCTATTTGAAAGGAAATATAGACCACTTTTTTGTCATTTTGTAACGTGACATACCCACTTTTCACTTTTGTTATTGGAAATGATAACTTGGATAATCTTCAAAAATTTATCTTTTGCGTTCAGCAGAATAAAGAAATTCATACAGGTTTGGAACGACATGCGGGTGAGTAAATTAATGAGTATTATTATTTTTTATGATCTATCCATTTAACATTGTTGTTCAAAGTTTGGGGTCGGTATTTAAAAAAAAAATGTTTTCGAAATAAGTCAATGCTCACCAACGCTGCATTTATTTTCTGTTTTAGCATCAAAGAACATTTCTTATTATCATAAATGTTAAAAACAGTTGTCCTGCTTAATATCTTTGTGGAAACAATGACAGATTTTTACAGGATTCTTTGATGCATAGAAAGTTCAAAAAACAGTATTTATTTGAAATATAATATTTTTTTGTGACTGTAAATGTCTTTACTGTCACTTTTGATCAATTTAGTTGATGGAGGGCCACAGCTCTGCAGGGTTTAGCTTCAGCTCAACCTGCTTGGAAGTTTCTAGTAATCCTGAAAACCCTGATTAACTGGATCGGGTGTGTTTAATTAGGGTTGGAGCTAAACTCTGCAGGGCTGTGGCCCTCCAGGAATTGAGTTTGAGACAACTGATTTAATGCATCATTGCTGAATACAAGTATTATTTATTTATTTTTAAATCCCACCAACCCCAAACTTTTGAACAGTTCTGTATGTGCTAAACAACTGAGATTCATTTATTCCACAGGTCTCTACAGCTCATGTACTTAACTGACACTCCTATTCCCCCACCACCAAAGTCAAAAATAAGCCCTGGGGGTAGGGCAGCCGTCCTCACTGAGGGGAGGAACACGGCTGTAGTGTGGCGCGTGTACAAACAAGGGGTATGTGTAGTGTACCTCACAGACAGATTTTGTTACTTAAAAAAAGAGAATTCACGTCTTTGATAAATAAATGTCAGTGCTGTCACTACAATAGAAATAAATCACAAATAATATACTTTAATGAAGATATTATCAGCGCTCGTCTTTCTTGCACTTCTCTTCTGGTTAGGTGGTTATTAAAGGGTACGTAAGGCCTACTAACGGGTAAATAAGACAAAAAAGATGGGGAAACACTGGCATAAGACACCAGCGAGAAGTGATTCTGTTCATGAAAATGGTGAGACAGTTTAAAACAGGAAAACTAAGTTTATCCAAACTCAAACTCTAAGCCCCAAAGGGAACAAAACATGCCTCATTCAGATTCCCAACGAGAGAGAGAGAGATAAGGAGAATGCAGCTGTCCCAAAGATCTACATCACTGGGATGCCAGAAATACTAAACATTTTTGATCGTCTCTGCCAGTTAAACTTAGAATGGTTTTTATTCACATCTCCAACAGAATTCCAAATGAACCATGACCTGGAATGTCCCAATCATAAAGGATTAACCACAGCCAAAGTAGTGGAGTTTACACTGCTGTCATATGTGCTTTGAAACAAAGATGAAGACATGTTGCTCTAAATACAGCACTGGACATTAAGTTGTGTGTGTGTGTGTGTGTGTGTGTGTGTGTGTGTGTGTGTCTATCATCTCCCCAGAGGGTAAAATAGCTCAGGCTAAATAAACAGCAGTAAAGACTGCAAACAGCCCCAAGAGGCTTCACACACGTATCCCACATACTAACAGACATCCTTCTAAAAATCTCCATAAACCTCTTTTCTTTTAGTAACAATAGCTGATTTTTAAGTTTGAAACTGTAATTTTGACAAAATATCATAGGCCATCCACTTTCAGAGCAAACCAACCAACACAGCACTTAAAGTGTTGAGCTGTTAGGAGAAACCCGACCCGTGAGATGAAGAGGTCAAGGCATCGGATCTCAGTGCAGTTCTTCAAGACGCTGTGACACACGAATGTGGAAACACAATAACAGAAGAATAGAACAGAATAGAATAGTTTCGCATAGATGGATCGACCCTTGCATGGTTCAAACTACTACATTTCAGTTAAAGCTGTAGATTTGATTCTCAAATCTGGTCCTGGGGAACCTTGGAAGTGCACATTCTGGATGTGCCCTTATTGGACAAACCTCTTCTAATAAGCACATGATATAAATCAGGTTAAATAAAGAGATGTCCAAAGAGTGCCATTGTCTGGCTCAAGGTTGCTCAGTTTTGCTAGTGGGGATCCAGCATCCTGCAAAGTTAATTTCCAACCCTGTTCAATCACACCTGTCTGTAATTATCAAGTAAACATAAAGACATTGATGAGCTAGTTCAGGTGTGTTTGAGCAGGGTTGATCTTCACTAGCAGGACTAAGGAACTGTGGTCTAGAGATGTTTTATCAGTGAACTACAACACACACTAACTTACCATCGGGCACTTCTCGATCACTGATGTGCTGCAGGTATGGACCGGTGTCATCGCTCAGGTCTGTGTTGATCTGATAGTCCTCCAGACGCTCCACCTGCCGGGGTAGTTTGGGGCTCCCACTGGGAGACACGCAGCAGGACACTGTATTCCCCATGATGACACACACAAGCACGTGCTCTACCTGCTCAGGTGTATTGGTCTATGACAAACACCTTTGAAACTCACACCGGGGCCGCTTCTGATGTGAATCAATGAATGAGCTCAAGCTAAATGAAGGTACATTAAGAGCTGAAATGGACACAGAGTCAGCATTACAGTTTTGCTGCTCCAGAATTAAGAGGTATTTTACTAACGTTATCTGTGCCAGTCATACAACGGGACTCCATGCATTTAGACAGTGCCACAAAAGACCTTTCGAACCCGAGTAATCAATACAACCGGATATAAGACACGTGACTGAAACCATATCACTAGAAAATAGCTGTCTGAGATTATCGAATACGGATTTATTCCTTTAAATTAGCCGTACATGCTAACGGCTAATATTGATTCATTGTGAATAGGCGAGTTATTAGCCTCCCAGCTAACTGAGATAAACAATCCCTTTAACGCTGATTTAAATGTCCGAATGAGTACTAAATCAGGCCGGTTCGGCGGTTCAAATCGGGGACAGATGAAATAGATCTTAAATAACAGACTTCCAAGCATTTATCCGTCGTTTATAGGGCAGATGTCTGTGTTGGCTGAAACTCTGAATCCAATAATCACTTAAATCCTCAGGCCTTCGGCCCGTAGCGAGAGAAAATTAGGCTTTGAGCGCAGCGAAAATAAAGTCCTGTCCATTTACATGCGCCCAATTCAAGCGCCGGGTTTGTTTTGAGTTATTAGAATTTGTCCACCGAGTCTCGTCCGAGAGTCCCCCCGTTATCCCCTCCTCCTAGCCGGCCAGCAGCAGCAGCGATCCGCTCCCCGCCACCACCGCCATCTGCTCCGAGTGACGCAAGAAAGGACCCGCCCCGTTTCGACATTCCATCAATTGCGATTGGATGAGTTATCAAAACAAACTAAATATTTGTTCGAGGATTGGTGATTAAAACTATCAATCTACGCCGTCATGCTAGAGATTTAAACCCCGCCCATTTACACCTCTTTGTGAATGGTACTGCACAGTGTATACTGTGTAGGATGCCTGCTATTTTTTTGAACGTGAAATATTATAGACTATGTAATGATAAACATTTCAAACAGTAGTATGCATGTTTAATTCAGGGAGTTGTGTGAGTTATCAACTCTGAAATAAAAATGATAGGGTCATTCAGCAGTCGCTCTACTTTGCAACAGTTTAAATAAATATTAAATACCACTGGTACCAGTAAATCATAAAATGCTCAAATTTGTATTCAGTAGGGTAAAAAAAAAGTGTGTTAATTTACATTTTTGTTTTAAAATACGTTTAATTGAGTTTAGGAGATTTCACGTGTAACAAAATCTGCATGTTCCTGCCACAAATCAGAGAGATATCCTCTTTTATTTATTTCATGTTTTATTTAATGTGTATAATATAGTAATTAAATTATTACAGTTTTAGAATGTTACAAAAAAGTTCTCCCCCAATTGTATGTGTCTCTGTGGTGTTACCACGATGCATAATGCTCCTTTAATAAAAGGGGGAATTCTTATTGGACCACTTTCTCTGTGTACAGGTCATTACAGGTGATGATTGATCTGAGGGGTGCATGAGGAACTCATTTATTCTTATTCATTTTCATAGGTTTTGCTAAAGTTTGGACAATTTTATGTGTCATTCACACTTTGTTACATTGATAAAAAATCTAAATGTTCTTACCTTCCATTGATTTAACTGAATATAGCATATTTAATTAGTTTAAATTCATAGCAATACATTTTATTACTTTAAAAAACAAGCACTTACAAATTCAGTAAAGAATAACCCAGTAAAGAATCCAAGTAAAGAATAACCCATTATTATAATTATATATATATTTTTTTTTACAAAATTGGTAAAGTAATTACATTGTAAATCCAATTTTGTAAAAAAAAATAATAATAATAATTTTTATGAAAACTGTGTCTACCAAATTACTACCCAACCAGACAATAAAAACATGTATAAAGAGAAACAATTGGTGCTTCAGACTTATTTGGGGTCTCATTTAGCTCTTTACTTGAGTACAAAGTTAAGCACATTGCATTGTGGGAATCATTTTATCAGACAATAAGACTCATTACGCAGTATTAGTATTTTATTAAAGATTTACATTTGTGTACAAAAGGGAGGTGGGGGGAACAACAACAAGTATCCACAATTGTAACAGTATTAGAGTGCAAAGCTTCTAAAAATGTAAGCCAAGTCACAAAGTATATACAATACACTTCTAAACTTTTGAAACACTATAAAATCCTACTGGTACTGTACATAGTGTCCAAAAGTTGAAAGCTATCATACAAAAAGTGCATGATGTGTTTGTCCAAAATGAGTGGGATCAAACATTGCTTTAGATTGATTGGTCTTTTGTATGCATGAAGGCAAACACACATATTTCGCATATTTCAGAGTTCACTTTGGCCAGCATGGCAGTAGATCAATCTCATTGCATACAGGGTACATACAAAAGGGGAATAAAGTTAATGTCAGTTCACAAAAGTAAAGATTCTATCACTGAAAACAGACAGAATTTGCATTTCTCTGAAAGCTGAGGTCAGTCTACCCTTCAATGAGATTCTTGTGTCGGAAAATAATTGGTTTTGTGAGGAAAATCAGGTTGCATGTCGGCTTGCATAAGCAGTTAAGACTGCAGATCTGGACCGTGAGCGCCTGCTGTGGAGAGATTGCTTCCCTAATTTGTCACGCTTGAGCACGTAAATGACATGTCAGGCAGACGGTTTAACATTTAATAGTAGCAGCAGATGATGCACTCGCCAACAGAGGACAAAAGGTGCATTTCAGTACAGACTGGAATTGTTGACGGACAGTTTTAATTCAGTCTGCTAACATGTCATTTAAAACATTCTGTCCTCAATGCAGAGAACATGCAAAATGTCACACTCCAACCAACATGTGAAACCAAAAGTCCAATAATTGCCTGATTTTTTTGTTGTTGTCATTTTTAAAATTATTATTAATTAAAAACTTTAAAAACCATAAACAGTGTCAACTGAGAAAACTTTGTAAACAAAATACAGCTAATGTAGAAAAAGGCAACTTAAGTTACCAAATGTTCAGTTGTTTCTTGAACTTTCAAAAGCAACTGAATGTGGACAAAGGAAAAATGAAACAAGAGAAATCCTTTAAACACGTCTTTTTTTATGAAATAGCTGCCAAAATGCATATGCCATTATAGATTGATAACATATACTCTTTGCTTGTGTTATCAAATACAAAGACACCGCCTCCACATTCATAGTGTTGAAATGAAGAAAAAAAAGGACCATATAACGATATCAAAGCCAATGTAATATTGATAAAACATGCTTTAGCCTAAAATGCCAGAGATAGAATGTATTGGACTGTATTTCATCCAATTATAGCTCTATGATATACAAGCTTAAAGGGATCCTCCACCCAAAAATGAAAATTCTGTCATCATTTACTCACCCTCAAGTTGTTGCAAACCTGTATGAGTTTCTTTCTTCTGCTGAACACAAAGGAAGATATGTTGAAGAACGATTGGAACCAAACGGTTGTTTGGCACCATTGACCTCCATAGTAGAAAAAAAAAATACTATGGAAGTCAATGGTGCCAAAGTTCCAATCGTTCTTCAAAACATCTTCCTTTGTGTTCAGCAGAAGAAATTAACTCATACAGGTTTGCAACAACTTGAGGGTGAGCAAATGATGACAGAATTTTAATTTTTGGGTGGAGTATCCCTTTAACACAAAAGTGATCTGCTGAATCTGATCAACATAAATGTTTGAACCTGGTAAACATTTTAAATTTACGTCTGTGCATAACTCCTGACATTGTAACGTGAATTTTGGTGTATTAGTGACGAAATGTCAGCAATAAAATAACCATTTTATTTTGTTTGTGCAACTGCTGCTACTGCAAAGGCAGGATTTTAAGCAATTAAATCATTAAGTTAAATTTGTTTGTCATCTAAAATGAGCAAAATGTCAAAATCGAAATGTACATGGGATATAATCTTGCTCTGTATACGATACACAATATTTCAGTTTATAAATGGCATAGATTCTGTAAATCGATATTCATATTTGTATATAGTTTGTTCATAATTAAATGTAAAAACGTCAACTTAAAACACAAGAGCACTATACACCAAATAAAAGTAGCAGTCAGACACGTTAAACCTTTTGAATCTCAAGAGGGAATGATGCCAACTTCAAGAGAAAATCTTTCTTTGTCTACCGTACTATTGAAATGTCAGTTAAATTATTATTCTTATTATTTTACATTATTTCTAACTCTTTTAAAAGTTACACCAGCACACTGGAAAAAAAGGTAAACATTTTCCTCCAAACCCCTCCTCTGAGTTTCGGTTTGAGTCCAGGAGTAAAGATGGCTGAGAACGTGCTTCTGTGTTTTAGTCCACAGTAAAGTTTTCAGCATTTTTTTTTTGTCTATAATGACATGATCCAATATTTCTAGAAGAGATTTGTGTTAGCCAGGGGGCTTCTGTTCAGTTCCCTCACATACCTGTGTGTTCATACAGGCAGTCTGCAGCAATTTAAAATAAGAAAACATTTAGAAAACATGCGTCCGTGTCAGGCTGACTCGTCCTTTAGTCTCTGTACACGCAAGTCCGCCAGAAAGAAGGGAGAATGTGTGGTACATCACTCTGATTTGTGACAGTACAGGTCTTTGAGTGCCTTAAGTTCCTCGATGAGCGTTTTGTTCTGGTTCTCCAAAACGGCCACACGGTTCTCCAGACACTTGACATATTCCTTTTTCTTCCGACGGCACTCACGAGCGGCCTCTCTGGAGGAGGAAAGAAATGTTGCATCTATTTAGCCGATGTTTTGACGACTCTTTTTGGTCCAAAATGGGGTTGTCAATATAAGTACTCAATACCAGAATTTTGACTATTTAAAAATTCATTTTTTTAAGATAAATGTTAAATAAATAAATAAAATAAAATGACATTTAGTAAACACAGACCCATATGCAGACCCATACAATTTGCATATGCAAATTAGTCCCCGTCTTCACTCAATCACACCTGATCCACTCGGTCAACTGTAGTAAACGCTACACGACTGCAAGTGGAAATATTGGTTTAATTGAGCCATACAGTAAAAACAAAAATGATTCCGACACCAGATATCATTTTTTTTACTAGTGGGTGCAGGACACTATAGTTCATTTATGTAAGTGAGGATAGCAAAATAAAGTAAACTGTGACATATTATACCCAAAACTCCTTCATACAGTGGACTACCAGTAAAATAAAATAAAAATTGGGACCAAAAATGATTCGGACACTTTGACCTGACCATGTTTTGCAAGTGTTTTTTCTTTAATTGCAAATTACCTTTTTAAACCACAGACTGAACAAAATTAAGCATTGCTTGGTAATTGGTTGACCTAAATTGGTATTATCTAATTTAACAGCTGACAGCTATTCAACCTAATTCATCTGTGAGAGAGTCAAACAGAAGGATGGCCAAAACCAGTGAAATATCAACTGATTTAATAACTCTGAGAAATAACTCTATTTTATTTTATTACCATTTTCTAAACTAGAGCGAATAAACTGTGATAATGTGAGAAATGTAGAAGCTATCTGAATACATTTTGTTTTGACTGTATATGTTTGAACCACTCCAGTGCGTATTTGTATTCTTAGCTCTCTAGAGAACGTCAAATGTTTCTATGTACTACGCGTTTTTGCAGCGGTGAGCAATGTAGCCAATCACAGACATGTTTGTTGATCTCTTGAACACAGTGACCAATCAGGGTTGTTTAATTTGTGGTAATTTTTAATATAGTAATCCAAACATATGCTTGTGACGGAAGAGAACAGGGGTGGTTTCAAACCGCTTAATGTCTAATAAATAGAACCAATATGTGACCCGATCTGGCGAAATGAGTCGGAAGTCGCAACGTTCTATTTTAAGATATGGGCCGATTATGTGGAAAAACAATGAAATAATATATATATATTTTTTTGTGCTAATTTCAAAGAGCAGACATTCAAAAATAATCTCCCAATGTTTCGTAGTCCAGATAATTGAGTAAAGGTATTTAAATTACTATTAAAGTGTACAAAGTTTTACTAAATTCGCTGGGAATGAACATTGCTTTTCTCAACTCCTCTCGTCACCTCTGAGCATTTCCCGGGTATCCCCTGAAACGTCACTATCTCTGCTCTTTAAATGGTGTTACACGTTGTATAGAACCAATCAAAAAGCTTAGAAATCTACACAAATGCTGATAATTTGTCGATGGGAAGCCATTTCGACTGACCGGCACGCGATTGGTCCAGCCACCCTCCTGTCAGACTCGCAGCAAGCGCTCTGTGTAATAAACAAGCTAGCAGATCTCATCAGAAACATTAAATATTATTAATTTGAGAAATGTCGCTGTCAAAAGCGAGCAAAGTTGCCAAAGCGTCATCAAGCCCCCTGGCCATTGCACACTGAGTCCGCGTTTTTTTCGTATGTGTTTTTTCGTATTGATTCGTTGGCTCCGAATTGTCAAAACACCATTCAAACTGCTTGCTACGGATGCGAAAAACTTACGATTGTTTTTATATCCTCCTGAGACCCAGAAAAAAAAGTTTTTTGAATTTAGTTTTTTTCCATGTCATCACACTGTTTAGAGCACAATAAACAAATAGTAAAAAAACATATATATAAAATAATATTTTATTCATACGTTATGCTATGTCCTCTGTAGTGGACGCCAGGACTAAGTTGTTTAAAAAATAAAATGACATGAAATTATATGTATAGGCAAAAACAATGGGATTTTTTTTTCAATCACCAATACATTTTGGGGTTTCAGGATTTTTTCAACCAAAATTTGTATAAAGATTATTCTCAACTATGTTATGAAAGAAATAATGGAATGAATTGATACACCATTTTACTTTTTGCAATATGTGGGTAAAATGGCCATAAGTTAATATTCCCATTCAATGCAATGTATCTATACACTGTATCTAATTTGCACATTAATGTGTTCTGGGAGCAACATTTAATAAAAGAATAAAGGGTAATAATTGGAGTAATAATTGGCAACATTTTAATAATAATATCTAACATTTCATAGGAATATTGATGTATAATTTATTTCCATATTCACTTGTCGTGTCTCCCAGAATGCCTGATAAACATGATTTTAGTCCTGATGTCCTCTACAGTGGACACGTTTGAAATCAATGCCCTGTTCTGTAACAGAAAGTTTTTTTTTTTTTAAACCCCTTAACATTTTCCTGAGATGTTGTTTTATGAAATACAATTTGAAAAGTAGTCCAATTTATATTATAATTACACTATATTATCATATTTCCATAAGAATGCTACATTTGATCACTAAATTAATGTCAGACATTTTTAAAGACCAAGGAGAAGTTGTTTTCATGGTGAAACCTCCAAACATTTGGTATCTCTGAAAAGTCCTGAATGTGCTCTTTACAGGACACCCAGGTTGTGTCATGTGACATGTATGATGTCAGAGAAATTCACTAAAATATAATGTCCACTACAGTGGACAAAAGTCTATTCTTGGGTCCCAGGAGGATATAACGGATGAAAGTTTCGTAGTGTGCACGCGTGATTGACATAACGTGATTGACAAATGTGAATGAGTGTAGCTATTTATCTGCAAGGAGAATCCATTACAATGTGTTTGATTAACCCAATATTTAACTGTTGGTATCTCCGTTATGAATTTGTTACGCTGTTATTGTCAACTAGCCTACACTAAGATATGATTGCATAGACTAGCATTATTTGATCTCTGTTTCCTTGTCTCTCTGCCTCTCACTTTCTCTCTCTCTCTCTCTCTCTCTCTCTCTCTCTCTCTCTCTCTCTCTCTCTCTCTCTCTCTCTCTCTCTCTCTCTCTCTCTCTCTCTCTCTCTCTCTCTCTCTCTCTCTCTCTCTCTCTCTCACACACACACACACACAGACACACACACCCTCTCTCTCAAGCAAAAATGTAGCACCTCTGTTCAATCTTTCTGATTTTAGTACATTTTTGTAAAAGGTAGGCCTACTGTTAAATTATTTATTCAAATAAAAACTTTTAAAATAATTTGAGCTTCAGCCTGGTTTAATAGCATTTATATATTAATGTCTTTGGTCAAATTAAGCTGTAAAATAAATAGTTTATCCCTTTACATGTAATGGATTTTGAAAGATATCAACAAAAAACGGGCAAAAAACTTTAAAAGCGATTTTCTCAGGTTTTCAATTGGAAAAAGAGGGCAGACGACCATAATTCAAATGTGTATATCTTTACAACCATTCAAGGTATGACTTTGACTAGGATATCAATTGAAAGCTTATGGTCTCCTCTTTCCATTAATAACAAAATCTCAAATTTTTAATTTGGGTCACTGTGACTCATTTTGCTGGATCAGGTCACATATTTTGTCACTAATCTGTTTTTTTTTTTTTTTTTTTTTGTCCTGGCTGTTCACATGAGATGGGCTATATTTACAATTAATATCTCGCAAACAGCTCTCGAGTATTGATAGTCAGTACTTGTACTACTGATACTGTTAAAAAGACTGATATTGTGTACACTACTGTTCAAAAGTTTGATGTCAGTAAGATTTTTTTTAATTAGTCAAATTGTATGCATTAAATTGATTTAATTTGATAGTAAAGACACTTAAAACATATATAAAAATATTCTATTTCAAATAAATGCTGTTCTTTTTAACTTTCTACTCCTATCACTGTTTCTACAAAAATATTAAGCAGCACAACTGTTTTCAGCATTGATGATAATAAAAAAAATTAAGAAATTCCCCATATTACAATGATTTATGAGGGATTGTGTGACACTGAAGACTGGAGTAATGGCTGCTAAAAATTCAGCTTGCCATCACAGGAATAAATTATATTATTTGCGACCAATAGTGAAAAGGTTTGCTTTTACCAAATTTCTTTTTGGTGTTTACCTGTTTTTCATGAGGCGGACTTCCCTTTTGCGTGTGGCTTCTTCAGCACCTCCTTGGCTTGGCAGGGCCGGGGAGGATGCCATGACCACACCTGGAGCAATAGTGCTGGTTGGGGCAGTACGAATTTGATAGGCCTGCACATCTCCAGAAGCAGCTGTCGGGCAGACAAAACACAGCCAACAAACAATGAATCAATAGTGAGTTTGACTCAAAGAACAACATCAAATCATAGAATATTAATGGCTAAACGACTTCATACAGAACAATAAGTATAACGATAACTATATTAGCGATAATCGTTCTGTATATTACAAGCGCACTGCAGTTTTGTCGTCTGCCACTTTAAATGCTCAAGCTCTTTACAGCATGATGGATTCTGATTGGCTGTCTGTTTTTTATCGCTCTTTAGCTGGACAAATTGTATAGTTATAGTTATCATCGTTGGTGTGAATGGCCCTTACCTTTTGCAGTGGCCCAGAATAATAAAATAGGTCAACAAGTTAAAAACATCAAATAAAAATGTATACTATTTACTTATTTAATAAATGACCTGGTTTGTATCATTGTGAAAAAAATTCAACTTACCTTGTACGACTACTTGATTGCTGGGCACCAGTATCTGCTGACCATCACTGGTCTGTGCGTACTGCAGGATGGTGGTCCCTTGCTGGGCTCCTGCATTTGTCATGGTGAGAGTCTGCAATCCCTGCATTCCATCTGTGCCATTATTTGCAAGCTGAATGGCTCCACCCTGTGTAATGGCGACTGAAGGAGAAATGGCAATTAAGAGGTTGTCACTGATTTGGTGAGAATGTTTGCACATGGCACTATGTGTCTAAGAACCAAACAAGTTGGAGTTATGGTCAGGGCTTTTGCGACCTTTTTTCCTGCCAGTGCGACTAAATTTTACTAGGTCACACAGGTGCCACCACCACATTGCCCAACTGATAAGTGATAAGAGCTGCCTTTTATGTTGCATATGAGAAAAATCAAACGAGACGGAAGTGAAACGAAACCGTGAGCTGCGCTGCATGGATCGTTCATCAGCTCTGAGCAATAAAAGAGAGTGCAGCACGAGCACAGAACAGGTTTGCTCTCGGGCCGATCTTAAGCATGCGACACCGTTATTACACAGCGCTGGTTAATTCTAGGGGTGCTCCGATCAGGATTTTTGGGGCCGATCGCCGATTACTGGAAGCTGTATCACCCGATACCGATCACCGATTACAGGGTCTATTTGAAGACTTCTTTTTATCATGTAGCATTACTTATTAAACTATATTTAACAACAATGTACATTAAGTATTACATTTAAGAGAAGACAATGCATAATGAATTGACACCTGTGTATTTATTTGCAAGCAACATGTATTAACATAGCAGCTTGGTTATTGGGAGCAGCTTAGGGCTTGACATACAACTTTCCTGTAGAATATAAAATAAAATTAATAAAAGACAGAACAGTCTTTAAATTTAGCTTTAGACTACTTTAAACTAAAAACAGCAACAAAAAAGGCTATAGCCAAAATAATGTTTTGAGTCAGTCAGCCATCAGTTTTTCTAATACACTTAAAGGACCACCGGTAGTAAAGTGCACAGCAACAAAAAACAAAACAAAAACAAAACTAACAACTTCCATATCTGTATCTATAACTTTGCTTTTTTCTGGGATGCTTAGTCAGATTTTGTGGGCATTTAGAGAGGAAGAGAAACCTTGTGTGTGTGTGTGTGTGTGAAGAACCCTTGCAAAATTATTTTAAACAGATTAAGAAAGCCACCACTACTGGTCACATCTATGGTTAGATTGATTTTTTTTTAGATCCAGTGAAGTCTGTCCCACCATGTACCTAATATAAATAAATAAAACATCTTCAGTTAACTAGCAGATCATTCATTTAGTTCGCTATTAAATAAGAAATCTAGCGCTAAAATGTGTTTTTGAACTCAAGCTGCGCGCTCGTTGCTGCGGCGATCAGTTGCATGGATACAGTGCTCTGTGCCTCGCGCAGTCTTCACTCGGACGCGCGCTTCAATCTATCGCCGTTGCGGACTCAGTCTATTCATTCCGGTGTAATCACAAAATAAAACACAAACGTATCCTTGCTTGATATAACTGTAACCGCTGATGAACATATTCAGTTTTGATGAGAGAAAAAAATATGTACGAGTGATTTGACGGACGCGGGGGGTTGGATACATTTTTGTCATTGGTTGTTGCGTTAAATCTTACCCAGATACAATAGTGCTATTTTCTGATTGGCTATTGTGTAGCTCGACGAACAACACCAGAGGAAACGCGCTTGATTCATGCCGGTTCCACAGTGAGAGAAGGTTTGTGAGAGAAGGTTCTGCGGCATATTAAATATATTACAAATAGTTTTTCAGCGTGAGAAATACAATGTGTGGTGGGAGAGCGTGACAAAAGACCGAAATGAGTGACTGTCACGCTCAATGCTTGACACTTGAGAGCCCTGTTGTAGAATTGCCAGACCGGTGAAGCCATTTTTACCAGGGCGTAAAAAAATTGTCTCGCGAGTTTTGCGTCATCTGATCGGCTTTTCTGGATCGGCCTTTATAGAGACCGCCGATCACACATCCCAAAGCAATTATCGGCCGATTATGATCGGCGACCGATCAATCGGAGCACCCTTAGTTAATTCGCCTCAGAATTGACAACCATCACAGCGAGATCTAGTGGGAAGCATTCAAATTTGATGCAGAATTCTCTGTTATGAATCATAGATATCAGATCAAACAGTGCTAACAGTGAAACCAGGAGAAACTTTGTGCCATGCCATAAATTATGAGCTATTGAAGGCTTTTCAATGCACAAATCACCAACATTCACCATGGATTTAATGTAGCAATGCTTACTGTAACCATGGTATTGTGGCAGAAATAGTAGAATGTTAATTTTTTATTTTTTTTACATTATTCATCTAAGTGTTTGTACAACCTTTTATGAGAGAAATTCAAGCACTTTCCAAAGGCTTTCAAGAGCTTCACACTTTTTCCAGCACTTAAAAGCTCTAAATATTACCCAGTTTGATTTCTTTAAGTTTAAAGATGTAGAAAAACTAAAACTTCATGGCAAACAAACACGTATTTAAAAAAAAGACATGAAATTACCACTATAATCAGTAGACGGTGGCAGAGGAGCACTTATTGACTTATTAGCCATTTCCATTCTCGAATATTTGGAAAAAAGTAGGACGTCACAAAGTCTCCTAAAAAAGAAAAACTTTTCTTCACATTGTGACTGAATTACACAGAAAACAAGTAAAGAGTGCTCCTTTTATAATCACTGAAGCTGTCAGTCAGTTCAGTAAGATACTATAGAAGAACAATCGTACATTTAATAAAGAGTAGAAAATATTTAAATTGTTTCCGATAAAAACGTGTTTTTTGCACGTTACTGTTGTTAATAAAAGTTAATTTTACCTGCATCTCAACTCAAACCTAGTGCTTTACTGTCAAATGTGCATTTTAAAGAAATAAACATGTAATATTATTAGTAGCTGCACTTATAAATGCAAGCCAATAGTAATTTTACTGGCGCTACCATCTGTACAACTAAGTGGCACCGGTGCTGCTGCTCTCAAATGTTATTCTGGAGCCCTGTATAGTCTAAAGGTGCTCCAAACATGTTGAGCAATGATGCTAAAGTGGGAGAATCAGAATATCTCAACTTCATTTGTGGACTTTAACGTACTGTACTGGCCACTGCTGGTCTGATATATTGGGGTTGGCACTGTCACTGTAGTGATGGAAGGCGCAGTGTCCTCCTCGGATTTCTCTTCTTCAATTCTCGGAACTCCTGGAGCATCTGATGACAGGTCATTCAGGATTTTCCTATAGATCACAAATAACTGTTGACTGGAAAATTCCTTATGTAATGCAAAAACCTTCAAGAAACGTATATGTACCTATATGAGGGGCGTCTAGAAAGGATCTCTCTTCGTTTTTGACAATCGGTCACACTGTCCACTGACTCCTGTGAGTCCTCACTCTCCGCTACTGTGGAAATCTGAGCAACAGACAATTGTGTCATGCGTAGCACTGACTATATAACATAAATTTCACATAATTGCATGTTAAGACAATCATGTGAGGTAAATGGAATATCTTTTCACCTGTCAATCAGTCATGAACATCTAGGCCCTGTTTACACCAGGTAAAGATGCGTTTTCGTCAATCTGATCACAAGTGGACGACGGTAAATAACAGGTGTAAACGGGGTCTAAATCGTTTTGAGCTTGTCCACTTAGTCGAAAACACAAATGCTTTCATAGTGAAATTTGCTCATGTGGTCAAATGTGTTCGAACAGCCACAAAAGAACGCCTACTGACCTAACGCGTAAACATTATGGGAAGCGCGATAGCCAGACGAGTATTTACACCTGGTCGGCTGAAGACTCAAGTTTGGTTTGAAGACAAAAGCGTTCCAAGCACAATGTTCTCTCAACATTCCTAATTTCTAACACGCACTCACAGTGTTCAGCAGTCTGTCAAAGCAGGAACGAAAGTATGCTGCTCTCCGTATGTTTTTCCTTCGTATCTGGTCGTGTTTGTATGTAAATTGCGCGAGCTTATCTTGTCCAATAGATCGAAAGATCTAACAAAGTCCATAGATTTACCCGCCCATTGACTCTCCCATCGAAGAAATTAGGACAGAAGTGGTTGAAAGTGGACATAAGAGACGGACAAAAGATCCAATTGACCATAATGCATCTTAATACCAGGTGTAAACAGGGCCCTAGAGATGTTGGAGGCATTAAGTTGTCTTACCTGGACAGTTTGCACCTGTGGTGACTGAATGACTGAAGGCTGAGCGGCCTGGATAACTCCGTGCACCTGTACCGTCTGACCATTGGGCAGTTGCACCAGGGTGACTGTGGGCGCTGTGCCACTTGCATGTCCGGCAGCCATCGTTACCTATCCAACAACACACACAGAGTCAAACTTAGATGTTCTGTTTCTAATGTCAGAATCTTGACTGAGTGTTTCAGCTCTTCATGTTTCAAAATGTTGAAATGATGATGTCCTGAGTTCATTTGACGTACTGTTTGGAGTACCTGTCCAAGAGTGGCGATTTGGGCCTGTGTGAGCTGTTGGTTCTCATTTTCAGAGACCGCAGTTTCTGCACCCTGTTGGGCATCGGCTCCCGACTCCATGGTCATTGAGTTAGCTGGTGAGAAACCAGATGGAATCTGACATCTTTAGAGTGTTTTTTTTTTTCTTTGTGAATTTGCCACATGAACAACTAAACAAAGTGGCATTTAATTAAAACAAAACAAAACAAAACAAAACAAAAAAGATGTGCACAGATAAACCATTTATAATAAATACTGCAGTAATCCATTCAAAAATAAGATTTGTCCATTGTGATTTTATGGTGACATTAATTACATACACTACCGTTCAAAAGTTTGGGGTCAGTGAGAATTTTATTTTTATTTTTTGGAGGAAAGAAATCAATACTTTTATTTATCAAGGACAGTAAAGACATTTATAATGTTACAAAAGATTCTATTTCAAACAAATGCTGTTCTTTTGAACTTCCTATTCATCAAAGAATCCTAAAGAAAAACAAAAAACTGTACAACTGACAGACCAACAACTGTTTCAACATTGATAATAATAATAAATGTTTCTTGAGCATCAAATCCTCATATTATACTGATTTGTGAAGGATCATTTGACACTGAAGACACTGACACTGGTGATGCTGAAAATTCAGCTTTGATCACAGGAATAAATTACACTTTACTATATATTCACACAGAAAACAGCTGATTTACACTGGAGATAATATTTAATACTATAACTGATTTTTGTTGTATTTTTAATCAAATAAGCGCAGCCATGGTTAGCAGAAGAGAATTCTTTTAAAAGTATTTAAAATCGTACCGACCCCAAACTTTTGAACGGTAGTGTACATGATTAATATGTTAAGCAAGTTAATTTCTATTAATACTAGTATACTACTATTACAGTCTCAACCTAAAACTTTGGATGTGGCATTGCAGATGAAGCATACATACCTATAAGAGGGGAACCTAGGCAGAATCTTCAGACTGTCCAGTGTCCGCTGACTCTGTTAAGTCCTCACTACTGTGGAAATCTGATCAGACAGACACAGAAAAGTCACTATACTAGTCAGCAACTTTGACATTTCTTTGAAAATCATCCTCCATGGCACTGAGGAAATATTGAGAGAAAACCTCTGCAAACACTTTTGTTGGTATACAGTATCAATCTGACAAGACTACCAATTGAGATGAGGACAAAGTGGCATTAAAACTCAAGTGTGTAATTGTAATGCTTTCTTCTATTACAGCTTAATATGAAGAAGCAACTTTAAGTAATTAGCAGGTTGATTCCCCAATAAAGTATAAAGACTATGGCTCTGTGGTGACATCAGTGCAAGTAATATCAGATTAGACAGTTCCATCCTTCCTTGTTACAGTGACTTGTATAAATGAATGGGCATTAAGTACCAGTGTTGCATGGCATCCTGGTGCCATGATAGTATGAGTCATTGCCATGCTATAACAAACAATGCATCTAAGCGAGTGGTATAATACTTAGTATCATAATATAGTTTAGCTGATATAGTACTGTATGATTAAGAGCACGAAAAACCCAACTCAAGAAAAGGTTAAAATCTACTAAATAGTTTTTTCCAGTTTTATAAGACAAGCAGATTAAAATGAAGCTAAAGACTTTCTTGGAAAAGGGAGCTAATTTTAGAATATCCAAATATAGACACATATTTGTCAAGTCTAAATCGTTCCTGTGCTGCAACTCTATATGGAGTTTTAATTGAATCATTTGACATTATGTCGGAAATAAGGGTGCAGATTTCCTGTACTCGAGACAAGCACAGTTATGAATCAATACTATGGCTGTTTGGACTAAAAACTGAGACTGCAACACTGCATGCCCATTGATAAACATTCTTCCCAGAAACCTTTCTTGTCCAGGGAAGAAAATGCATAAAATATGTCTTGTCTAAATGTAAGATACAGAAACCAACAGCTGAATCCTTGCTGAACATGTTTACAGTCAGGATACATTGAACTCTGACTTTTGATGCTTTGGCACAAAATATTGGCAGGTCTCTCTCTCTGAACATATGACTACATAAGCCACACTAAAAGATGCAATGCATTACAGTGCCCAATGGAAATTAATCGAAATCCCAGTGTGAATGTAAAGAGTTTGTAGGTTCTCATTAAAGAAAGTCCCAGTGCGCAACCCCTAGGTGCTCTGAAAATCTTTATTTCTGCATTGGTGTACAATAACGTCTGATATGAGATTGTAAACGTACTAGTGCACTGGCCAGTGATAAAAATTAAGTACTGCAATAAAGGTTATCATATAGCATTTTGTTTTATTAAAAGTGCATCCCAATATGCTGTGAATGCAGTCCTGACTTCCCTTGACTGTTCAGCATGTGTATTGGAGTGTCTGACCTCTAGACTACCTGGTGGAGAGGAAGAGTTGGATTACTTTAACCCATATACAGCTAACCAGGCCAGGCTATAGGGCTTTTAATGACTGGCTTCAGCAGCCCTCTTGAATGCTAGAGGGGCTAAGGTATGCTAACTTATGCTAGAGGCTAAGATATGATAAAACAGTTGATGAAAACGTGTAGAAGTTTTTTTCTTCTTCAAATGCATAATCACTAATAACAATGGAAATATCAGACTCGATCAAAAATGAACAAAAACTAAAGTAATAATACAATATATTAAATATTAAAATACAATATATTATAATATTAAAAGTAATATTAGAAAGGTAAAAACATATATTAGGATATAAAATGATATAAATACAATATCAAAAAGTAATGATAAAATGTAAAAGAATATATTTAAAAAAATAACACAATGTTTTATTACCATTAGTGGAAGTATTTTAAATACATGTTGTGTGTAAAACAATAAGGGCAATTGAGCACTTTGAAATAGAAAAAGATGAGAAAGAGTCTGAGAGCTCGAGCCCCGGAATGGCACGCGTGAACCGATAGTAATGTGATCTCATGACGCTTAAAGTCTATCTGTGGTTTGATTGGTCATGCGTAGCTCTCCCTCTACTTTTCAAATCCTATTTTCTGCCAGACAGATTATTCTACGAAACACATAGCTATTGTGCATTCCTTGATCTTTACATCTAAAACTGTAAGCATGAAATCAAATGACAGCCTACACATATTATAATTAAATACTTGATTGCATAAAAAAAAAAAGGTTGGCACTGTGTGGACAAGTTAGGAAAAATGCCTTAAAATGCATAACGTTAATCAAGATCACTAGTATTTGAATAGGTTTTTGCTATTTAACATGCAATTATGCAATACAATATTGCATTTCTTTATTCGTCATGTGCAGTACAGGAGGTAAAAAGTTTCCCATATTGTGCATAAAAACGGTAACGTTATTTACTTGAGGGCGTGCAATCACAGCCCTTGGAATAATAATGAAACTATGAAACCCAGTCCTAAAAGATTGCAATATCATCAGGGCATAGACTATCCAAAATATCGCACAATGCATCAAGGGCATTAGAGAAGATTAAATTATTCCTGAATGATATAAGAGTATTACACCCTGAATCCACCAGGCAGCACACATTTTGTCTAGCCAGTGTGTGAAAGAAGACGACAAGAAAAAGGGGAAAACCGACATATGAACTGCAAAGATGCATAAAGAAACTCAGAAATGTTGTGCATCCATATTTCGTTGCATTTTAAATGATCAGCCATGCATCAAGATTTCCCACCCTGGGTTTGTGTTGCTCTCCCGTTTGCCTCCCCTCCCTCTGCATGCAACAACTACAGCCGCCATGATCTCTTTGTTTCCAACGGGCCGAACCCAAACCAGACTTATATGCCATTCGGGACGAGCCCTTTCCCTCCGGACACTTGTCTCCTCTTACCGATACAGACTCCCTCCGTCACTCTCGAGCCCTCGGAGCTCCACTTTTATTCAGGCCGACACGTAAGAGACCGCGTCAGGCTACACCTCCGTCGCGTCACCGAGAACAACAACACAGAGAACGAGACGAAAATCCGATCATCAACCCACTGCACTGAGCGAGAGCGGCCGAGAGCGTGGCGGAAAAAGCCGAGTGGTGACGAATACAGACGAAGCACGACCGAGGCTTGACGAAATATTGCGAATACGACGTACTTGAACAAGAATTTGTGAATGAAACTCGACAAATATTTTTTAAAACAGAAAATTGTTTAGCATACGTAGAAACATCCAACCACATTCTTGACCAGGCTGGGAACAGCTGGAACCAGCAAACCATTTTCAGCAGGGTTTTTTGTCAGAAGCTTACCTCTATAATGCAAAACATTGCTAAACGTCATGTTCATCAATTAATAATTAATTCAACATAAATTATCAAGACAGCTAAGATAAATCACCCCTATTATTAGCATGGTCGACTTCAGCTTTTCCAAATGAATATGCAGAGGGCTGGCAAACATACACTGTCATTGTAGAAGAGGGAGAGGAATAACGATAGACAATTTTGTTAAATTACTGTTTCGATTTTCTTCATAAATTGATATTGACAGTATGTGAATCCATTGTAGCCTAGGCCTATATTTTAGAAAGGCATACAAATTTAATCTGTTGTCTAACATTCTATTCTAGGCCTATAGATTTAGTGCCTTTAGACACCATAGTAACTTACAGTTTTCAGATGAGACATTGAATGTGTAGCTAATATGAAGTGTGTGTCCCCAACCCCCCAACCCTTTATCCTGTCCAAAACTAGAAACAGTAATTATATTAGGCTACTATGTGTGATGGTATTGGTTGAATGATGTTGATTCGATTTATTAGATTGGATTTTGACATGGATGGCTATTTTTTTAAAAATAAGTTAAAAAATACATGCTCTCATTGAGCTAAAAATAATGACCCAGAAAATCCCTTCCATGGGTCAAATATTGCCCTTGTGATTAATACGTTTTTTTAAAAGTAATTAATTAATTATATAAATAAGTTATTTTTTTATCACTGCAGGTGCTCAACTAAAAGGTATCAATACACTACAAACAATATACAATACTCAATAGGCAATAAACTTGATATGCGTAATACACAGTTCAGAGTATAAACAAGCTGCATGAAAAAAGTCATTCAGCATTTTTGTTGACAGCAGAGCCTCTGCCAAACCAGATGTTGCTTGACTGGATGCTCTCCACACAAGTTTATGCACTAAAAAAAAAAAAAAAAGTTATGACAACATACGTTTACATTGCTTTAACTCATCAAAATAAGTAAAGCAATTTTCACATTTTATCGTTATACAAGGTTCAACTCATTTTTTTAAAATCAGTTTAATATAATTTAAGTTGAATTGACTTAAACATCCAAGGTGATTGTACTTAAAAATTTAAGGCAGCGAATTTTTTTTCTTTTTTTTTTTACAGTGTGGTGCTCATGCTGTTTTGAATCTCCTCAGGATGCCAGGAAGTATATTGGGCCTTATTCAGCATGAGGAGGAGGAGTGGGCCAATGGACACTTTATTTATTGCGTTTACCTTAAATACAATTACATTTCTGATATGCAGAATGCTACGATTTTGAGAGGTAAGATAAGCTGGACTCTTAAGTTAACACATGGCGGCAGCAGTAAACCTCTTTTGAGAGAAGACTCACAATTTTGTCTTCAATTTGCATGGTGTTGCAGCAGTCCTGAAGTCATCCTGAAGGGGGCAGCATATACGCATTTTTTTAGCAGCATGCACTCAATAACCCCTTTCACTGAGTGGCAATGAGTTTTTGGGTGTGTGAGTTTATTCGTGTGGCAGCCCTTTTTATAATCCTCCAGATGCCAGTTTGGTGTGCTTTATCTGTTTAATAGCGCTTTACTGCAACAAGCCATAAAACCTGCTTTTTATTGTGACATGAAGCACATTGTTTGGGGAATTGACCGTCTCGTTAATGAACAACCATGAATTTGTGCTTTGTAGATGTCTTCAGGGAAAAAGTGACAAATCTCTGCAATATGTGAAATTATCTTTACAAGGCTGCGTGGGCTTACAGTAGACCTATAGAGTGATGATAAGGGGAAACTCTTGTGATACACCAAAATCAATAAAAGAATTTGCTCCGTTATCACAACGCCAGCGCGTTCAAATTGCCCTCGTCCCTGTGATACAGCAAGGCAATGCTGCAGTTATTGAAAACATAAATCTAGAAGAAAGCATCTTTTGTAAAGCTATTCTCACTTTCCAATGAAAGTGCACGTTGTAGCCTGTTTTATTCTGTTTTTGTATAACCGTTCGTGTGTATAAGGTTGACCTTGAGAAAGAACTACATTCAGAGTTGGCCATAGAGACTCTCTTCCCCTCCTCCTCCTCCTCTTCACTCCCTCCTCCCTCCTCCACCACCTTCTTCTCTCCTTTGAGCTCATGCTGCGCATCATCCCCCGAGTGAACGCACACTCTCGCTCAGTCTCTTGTCTGAGTCTGGCATGGTTGTATCTCCTCTCAGCCTAAGAGGACCCATTAGGATAAGCAGGACTTACTGCGCTTGGGTTTGGGGGAACTGTTCCACTTCTGGTGCAGTGAGGGTGCTCAAGGTAAAAAAAAAAGAAAAAAAAAGAAAAGAGCGAAAATGAAAGGAGGATAGGATACATTAAAGCCTTTTCAATACTGCAAACCCTGCACATCACCAAATGAAAATTCATCAAACGTTGTCAGAGGAAGCAGAGAGGAGCCGGTGGCTAGTAGTGCTGTAGTGATGTGAGACATACAGGGCTTCAAACATTGTTACTTGCTCAGTTATATTAATGAATGGTTGACAAATTAAATCTGTGATCATCCTATTTGCATCTTATAGAATAATCCCTTCAATGTTGTCATTCAAAAAGAATCAGAAAAAATGTTAATGTGTTTTATAACTTAATGGACTATCGTTGGAATTGCAGCTTGTGTTTTTTTTTTTCTCCACACTGATTTATATTCAACTAATTATACAACCCAAACAATCGAGGAAACAAGATTGAGCTCTCAGTTGAGCAGCAACCCACACTGTATGGTGATTGAACACAGACTTGTGGAAGGTGATGACAGCTCTGAATCTGTCTCAGAAATGATCTTTTCTGCAGGGGCAGTATCATCCTGGGGAATTTTATACACTTTCCATAAAGAAACGTTCACATCTGCAGAACCTTTCCACCGCACAAAAGGTTCATTATAGGGTAAAAGGGTTCTTTAGATTATTAAAATGTTCTTCACACTAAGAAAAAAAATGGTTCACTGAAAGGTTCTTTGGGGAACCAAAACCCATTTTTGCAGCCTTTATTTTTAAGATTGTGTGCGATGTTCTGGTGCTGAGATGTGTCTTATTCGTGTGTTTGTATGGTTTCTAGGGTACTCTATGGTTGCTAGTGTGTGCTTATACAGTTTATGGGATGATATTTAAAGACTATTTTCCAGTCTGAATCAAAAGAGCCCAACTCCGTAAGTTTTTTAAAAACATGTTTTATTGGGTTTCAGTTTAATCAATTGCCAAATTCTTAAAAAAAATTAGATGAAGAATTTATTATATAAAATTTAAACCAACAATGTATTAATGTATTACAATAAATGTATTAGTAAATTAAATTAAAGAAAGATGGCAAAGTTGGTTGCTGGGGTGTTTGCTAAGGTGGTCACTAAGGTGTTGCTAAGACATTCTGAATTGTTGCTAGAGCATTGCTAGGCAGATGCAAAGTTCTGAGCAGTTCTAACTAAGGCAACAATAGAATATAAGTAGTATTAACATATACCATGTGTCACTTTTTGACTGATTTATGATGGGTCGCTGACAGGCTCCGGTATGTCTAGGCTGCGCGACGCCATGTGACATCCTCCGTGCCGATGTCCGGGGACTTTTAAAAAACAAACAAACAGATCAAACAGATGTTAAATTTTTGACTGTTTTTTACGACTGGGTTAACGAACTCACACCTCGCAACTTGCCATTGTAGTTTTTATGGTATGAGGTGTGCCTTTTTCACAACTACGTCACTACCTACGTCTTTTGTTGCAGTTTTAAATAAGGTTAGGGGTTACACTGTTGAACACAGAAGACATTCTACGACTTTCCTGATACAATGGCTACTCGGAGAACTCCTAAAACCCCTAGAAAGGTTATGTGTATTTCGCCGACAAGAGGACCTGTTGAAATGAGAGAAGATCTAACTTTTGCTCCAAGGAAAAAGCTAAATGTTAGCTTGACAAGATTTCTTCATGAAGACAGTGCTCTTGTGAAACAGGATTTCTCAATGTCTGGTGGTCGTGTGGTGAGGTATGTGTTTGACAAGGTGATGCGTACTGTGAAACTCTACACAGGAGATGTTGAAGACGATTTTACATCACAGACCCCATGTGTGATTTTCCACAAGAAGGACTGGTTTCTGTTTTTCAACTACGTTTGGAGAGATTTGAACGACTGTGGTGATGATCCGTTGTACGTAGCCGAGTGGGATGGCTCAATTCCTGACACAAGATTTCGTGTGGTCGGGGACCATAGTAAAAAGTTACCAGACGATTGTGTTTATATTTTCTGCTGCAACGACAAGACAAAGCTCTGCGAACGTGCGTGGCCTGTTCGTGAATCTGAGCATCACTTGTGCTACGACATGAAATTTTTGTTTCAGTGGAAAGATGTTCGTACGCTTGACAACGTATTTACATGCATTGACAAGATGTTTAGATGGTGCGACATGTATGACCGTTACAGTTCTGTAAAGATTAAATTGTTTCACCCTGAGCAGGGCGTTACCAACGCTGAAGACCGCCTCTTAACCCCACCCACGTATTACAGCCATTAAAAACGCCTGCAGATCGGTACAATTGCTACATTCATTCACCATGTCTCAAGAATCTACAACAGTCTACTGCTACACCAACAACCCTGAGGCTCCCCCAGCGATGCCTGATGACAATGCTACGCCGCTGGAGCCCCACCCACAAACTTGCGACAACAGTTGGTTGGATAAATTTTGCATGGATCTTGGATATCACAACATGACCTTCCTCACAACACCATACGGCAACACTGGTGCAATAGCTGGAGCTGCGG